ATATGGCATCAGAGGAACGATCGTCGGATGCGATATGTCTTCGGACCCGAGCACAGCCCAAGCGATATGCCTTCGGAAGAGAACTCGGCGTATGCGATATCACATCGGAGCGCCCAAGCGATATGCCTTCGGAAAGGGTGTATGCGATATCGCATCGGAGCAACGATCGTGGGGTGACATATGGGTTCCGACCAGAGATCGGCGGATGGCTGATGAGATGTGCCAAGATCTACGGGCAGAGATATCGTATCGGGCCCTACGTTGGCGGGACAAGGGATGGCGGGTCACAGAGACGGAGTGTTTATGGAGCGCACACAGCGAGTCGCCAGAGACGATGCACAATCAACAGACGAGGAAGCAAGGAGCAAAAGACGTGCAAGCAAGTGAGATGGAGAGGGGGGAGGGAGAGGGGGATAAGCCATATGGGCGGGCATCCTTGGCGCGGTGCCTTATGGCCACCATTATCCCGCGGGATATCCCATGCTCACGTGATCCCAGTTATACGGTTGCTCTCGAAGTTTGGGATAAATGCATGGCCATAGGACGAGGAGAATTGATGCCTCTGGTTGATGGCGCCAACCGCAATTGGTTTATCACTAGTGAACTCGGTCAGCACAGGAAGCCTCATTCCTCGTCGTCGACTTTGTGCACATGTTCTGATTGTAATCGCATGTTAGTTGATGACAGATTACCGAACACATACCCCCATAGTCCAGTACATCGAACGACAGAGAGGCTATTTTGGTCTAAGCACAAAAGCGCCTGCTCGACTCGTAGTGACGCCCTCGGGTGTAGGCATGGTCGACATGATAGTAATCACACTGGCATATGTCGAAAGGAAAAGACAAGACATGAAGGCCAGAGCTAATCGTGCTGCTGGCGCTGGGTGAGAGTCCGACGTTGCGCTGACTTTCCTACCGCGGGTTTGATGTACCACGAACCGATATGGCTGAAGATCGTTATGAATATCTGGCATCTCCCTCGATCGGTTGGCATTCGTTACGATATTGTACATGCACATATTCCGTCAACTTGTGACGAAAACACGCTACCTTCAGAGTTCCTACGTCTGATGTGCATCCTTACCCGTCAACATACGTCCCATTCTCAGAGCTACAGCTGAACCAGACAGCGCATTGGGGATATATGCCCAAAGGCTCTTCCCCGGAATCATTGAGAAGGAGAGCGACAACCCCATGTGAGGGTACGCTGGTAGCTGTGAAGTTACGAACGGCGGTACCGTTGTCTGTGTGCGCCCATAAATCCTGGAGCATCCATCAGAATCAGTGAACACGCGATTAGTTATATAGGATTAGTGGGTAAAACTGGCTTACTCTGACAGAATACTGCCTTCCTGCTCTAATCCAAGGCGATTCCGTGAGATTGAAGAACATGTCGGAAGGTGTGTCCAAAGTATTTATCTGTGCTCAGGCAATGATGATCGTAATCTTCGTTAAGGACTTCGTCCCGAAGATTGTGACTCGGGACGTACCAGCATGAAGACGGTTCCGTTCTCGCTGGGACCACTCCAGTATTGGGCAGGGAACGACGAGTTACTCGTCCAATCTGGCTGCAGAAACTCATGAGCACGTAATCGGGATACGAACGCCAGGGGAAAAAACATACGTTGATGCCCCATCTGAAAGGAGAAACAGCATCAGGTTCCACGGAATCTTGGTTAATGGCCAGAATCTCCTTGTTCGTGAGGATGCTCAGCGTCTCGTTCGTGATCGCAGACAGCTATATATGGTAGTATTAGTTGTATGGTCAGGAAGGATATACGGAACGTATACATTCGTTCCGATGAGAAGTGGCGACTTCATCAACTGTAGGACATGAAGGGGTCAGCCCGAGCGAGACTGCCAGGGAAAAAAAGGAATAAATCTTACGGCCCAAGCTGTGAAATGGGTCTTGGCCTCATCAAAGGTCATGTTACCATTGCCACTGAAGGAATCGGGCATAAAGCATCGTTCTCAGAAGTAGAAATTTATGGCTCACAGTTGAAGCTACTCGAAGTTTTCGATTGCCAATTAGCAATATATTTTGTGCACAATCGGGAATGCATACCATGTCCATGTCGTTACGTCCATAAAATCCGGTAGCTTGTGTAATGAAGGAGTTGCTAGACTGAGTGTCAACCAAGAGGACCAAATACGGAAGGAGCAGATACACGTACAAGTTAATGATGGACGCAATGGACGACCACTGTGACGATATGTCGCCCGTAGTCTAGAGTCGAACACAAGGGTCAGTCGCTCATGCATTTTCAGCTGTCAAAAGTTTGATACAAACCCTCCAACTGTGGCCGAGTCGTGCACCCCAGCTTCGGAAGCCATGTCAGAGCCACGCTAATAATAAGGGAGGAAAGAGACATACAGCCAAACTTGACTCTGTAGAACGTATCGTAAGCACTAACGCAGTTGGGCACAGGGAACGGACACTTACCCATCCCCACTGACACAGTGAGAACACCACGGGCTCCGATAGCGAACCATTTGTGGCCAAGTTCTGTAAAGCATTGGACATAGGAACATATTCTGCAACATAAACTTCAATAATAATGCATTGAAGTCGAAGTGACCAGACACTTGCTACCCATCGTGCCCTGCTGGATAATCGTGTCAAAAGGAACTAGATCGTAGCCATGAGTTTTCTGTGTGAGGTCAGTTGAAGATTGAGATAGACGCACTAGCGCAATTATCATACTTGAGGTAATCGAACCCCCAATCCGCGAACAGTGTCTGGGCATCTTGATCTTCGTGCTCAAAAGAACCTGGGTACCCCGCGCAGGTGAACCAACCCGAGTCGCCGTACTGAGCATCGAGAGACAGGTTTAGTAGGCAAAGCCTGGTCGTGAGGCAAACTTTTCGAACTCACGATCCCTGCTTTACTGCGAGCAAAGGAAGTCGGTCAAAGGAAGCGACAAATAGATTTGGGAACATACAATCCGAGAGCATGGACCTGATCCGTGAGGTTCTTCATACCACGAGAGAACCTGACGGAGTCTGAGAACATCTTTTAAGCATACCTCGTAGACTCAAGTGATGACAAAGATATACCAGGTTGAAGTTCTCCGGTGGAAGACCTATTCTTCTCTGCCCAACAATCATCAATGTTCACATAATTGTATCCGGCGTCCTACCCCGAGGCGTCAGATGCAGAGTGAGTCTTATACAGTGAGACTAACGAACCTGAAGACCCAGAGAAACCATAAGGTTGGCAGTATCAATTATGAGGTCTTGATCAATGTTGCACTGCATAGGGAGGGGCGTGAGCATCAGGACTCTGGGCGGAGATTGACCTGCGTACTTGGAAGAAGTTCCAGGCTGTTCGAGGAGAAACAAGCAAATTTTCGTGTCAAAGAGTCAAGGAAGACGGCCCAAACGCTTACTGTTGTATCCGAGGACTGTGAAAGCGTTGTTAGCCTCGTTCATGCAGCAGGCAAGTATGGTGTGTATGAAAACGTACCGGGTACTTTAGCGACACCATTGCTCAGACCGTGAACACCACGGGAGAGGATGGCACCTATCAATCCGATGCTAAAAGAAGCCAATCTGGGCCCAACAACAAAGATGCGTCTCATATTGCAGCAGAGCTGAAGGAAGATACGTGCAGACGAAAGTGTGGCAAACAAGTGTCGTGAGGTGTTGGCGTGCTTTATAGCCCGAGAAGTCTATATGAAGCAATCTACCTCGAGGTTCTACGAGAGCAATGGAAGAGAAGCAGCAGACGTGGGGCCGTATAGTCCCTGTGAGGTTTGCGAGGATCTTCTTTCATAGACCATAATTGAGGCAACCTTTGCTTCAAATGGTATTATGTACTTGGCGGAAAGTCTCAACCCAGACACGGGGTAGCATGCCGTCTATCTTCCACATGAAGAGTGGTCACAAGCATGTAGCATCCGAGTTATTCATAGCCTTTATTTGGCACAACAAGCGCGAGCGGGAATTGTCACTCGTCTTTTGAGAAGTGTCGTCGGGCCGTCGACCTGGTCAACAGACCTAGCACGAGTTCTGACGTTGTCGTACTGTTGGCCCGCTTTCAACGTCCAGATGTTATAAGACTAAAAACCATGTCAGTCGATACATTCGGGAAGAATGTCGGAGTCAGTGGTGCAGTGCAGTGTAGAATCGTTTATCAGTGTTGACGTTGAGCGACGACGATGATACCGGCGCAGCGGAATCCGTGTCCTGTACACTGTAACGATAATAGAAACCGCTCCGTCGTTGGTGGATGAAGTCTGTTGATTGAGAAATGAGACATAGGCAGCATGGGCGCGGGAGGACGGGACGAGCTTCGCAACACTGACTCGAAGAGATTCAACCTGGCAGAGGTGGCGGCATGAACACGGTCACGTGCCAACTTGAAACGCGTTGCGCGAGGCTGCGCGTCGCCGCGTTCAACGGTCTACCGTCTCGCATTTCTCAGTCGAAACCACCAAATACCTTCTCGCGATCTTCAAAAGAGATATATAACAGCGACATCCAAGTTGTATTATGACATAGCGGAACCCCAGCTCAGGACCAAATAACAAAAATACGTATATCTATTGAGCTGTGATGCCGACCTTCTTCCAATCGTAATTCTCTTCGAATGCATAGGCAATCTTATACAGAGTCAGCTCATCCCACCACTTCCCCACCAGTTGAGCAGCCGCCGGTAGCCGCACGTCCTCATCCCCATCCAACGATGGCAGAAATCCAATCGGCATGCTCAGCGCCGGATGACCTGTTATATCGAAGACCGCCGTATTTCCATTGACCGAGTACGCCTTCCAACCCGACTCAACGACCGGAGCTGAAAGTGTATGGTTAAATGTCGGAAGCTTGCGTGCAACACTTTGTACGGTGGGGAGGAGAAGAGCGTCGCATGAGGACAGGGCGCGATTGTAAGCGGCTCGGACAGAGAGCGAGAGGTTTATGGCCTTGCCCAGGATGGAAGGATCGGATTCCCAGAGGTATTTTCCGTTAAGATAGAAACCCTTTCCCCGCATAGAAATCTAGATAAAATCTCAGAGAGGGAAGTAATACGCGTACTGTGGCGCGCCACACTTACCTCGGCGAACCTCTCCGGTGAATCCCACCCCACCATCTTCTCCTGCAGGTCCGTCAACTGCAGCCCGACTCTGCCGTTTGTGGTACCCTCAAATACCTCCTTGGCGCATCCCATATGCGAGATGATATGCCACACCGCCGGACCCAGCACCTTGTGTTCAGGTATGCTCACGTCTAACACTTGTGCACCCAGTGCTTCGAACCTTGCAGCCGTGATTTTGATCGCTAATATCATGGCCTGATCTATCCCAGCCACTTCAAACCCCTCTTTCAAGACACCTAAAACCATTCCAGCCAGAGGTTTGGGGTGGGTAGGCGTGATTTTGGCTGGGAAGGATAGAAGAGCGGTATGATAGGCGGGCAGCAGGGACGTGGGAGGACAGTTCACTTGACGGTCATCGATGCCATCTGAGCCAGCGGTAACCTGCAGCAGCAGAGCATTGTCCAGCGCAGTTCGCGTCATCGGTCCTGATCTGGACGATGAGTCGATACACTCGAGGGGTACGGGAGTCGCGTGAACGAACCTGTATGATCAACAGAGGCGTCGAGTGATGCGATCTGGGCATAAGAGCATTAGTTCGAATGAAATCAAAATCACTTTGTCGAATGCATACCCCAGTGTAAGGAACGAGTCCTCTCGTTGGCCTTATTGCGCATGTAAGCAGAGCCCTCGTCCAACTTTTCGTCAAGGACGTACTCACTTCATTCCATAAATCCCACACCACGCCGAAGGTAGCCTGATACTCCCACCCTGATCACCTCCCATACCCATTTCCACTTCCCCGCATCCAATTAAACTCCCACATCCCGAACTCGACCCACCGGCGTTGTAGCCTTTCGCCCACGGATTATCCACCGGACCCGTCGCCGCCGTCTCCGATACACCACTCAACGAAAAATTCTCGCAAACAGCCTTGCCAACAATCGTCCCTCCAGCCTCGAGAATACGAGTGACGATAGTAGCATCGGTCTTTGGGACCCAATCGGTAAAGTTCGAAGTGCCCATGAGACAAGGAACGTCTTTGACCGTGATGTTATCTTTGAGGACGATGGTGCGTCCAGAGAGAGGGCCATTAGTGATGGGTGGTTTGGCAGTGATGGTGCATTTGTGGGCCCAAGCGTTGTTAGTGTTCTCCGATGGAGGTGGGCGGGAGATAGGTCCTCGGGGGAAACGTTCAAGGTCTACGGGAGGAAAGTACTCTGCGATAAAGGTAAGTCAACGAGAGGACTCGGGTACTCGAAAATAGCGAGAACGGTTGCGCACCTGCTTCCTGTTCAACAGCATCGACGTGTAACTTGAAAGCTTCAAGTACGCCCTCGAAGAACTTGTCTTCTCCAGGACGAAAGGTCTGACTCTCAACGTACCGAGACAGGAACTGGGCAGGAGTGAGAGACATAGTCTGTTGAGGTCAAAGAGTGAGAGGGGATGTGTGATAAAGAAGTCGACGCCGTCTTAGATATGCCTTTCGACTCAACGCCAAACATGGTATGATACGCGCAGAGAGCGGCTCTCCTATCATGGTGTGAACCGTACGAAACATAGAATGCGATTGCCGGTGGATGATAACCATGTTGTCCTGATAAGAGACTGAGCGCTCAGCCCTGGACCAATCGATCTGCCCTTGCGAAGAGCAGAAGCTCTCTGAAAGTGAGAATGAGGGCGGAGCAAATACTGCAATGAGCCCCAAATAAAGTCAAAGACGGTCATCACAGATAAGTCATCGCCGACACAAGAGTTGAACATTGGACACCAGTGAGGAGGAAAGCCTGTACAACAGTAGAGCTCGTTGCAATGACTGATCATGGATGTCAAAAACAAGCGAAAGTAGGACTCCGCCACCGACACCGGGACACAACCGGGACACACCGGGCCGGCGTCGGTGATGTGGCACTTATGTGGCGACGTACGACTTGATAGTATCATTAGCAAGAGGGTACGAATAAACCATTCCTCATGAGTTCCTGCAACAGACGTGCTACATATAATATTCCAAAGACCGTGACCGAAGGCGAGGGGGAGATATGGAAACAAGTACAGAAAGCAATGAAACAGATAGCGATCCAAGAGCAAAACAGGCGTAGCACGAACAGCCATATCAGCAACTGCACAGCAGCTGAAGATGCGAGTATGGAGGATACAGTAGAGGGTATGGAGGAGACAAATCAGAGAAATGGAATCGTGAAATCGTGGCTGTCATTATGTCGGGGCGTGAGCTCGTCGGCTGCCAGCAGCTCCATGAATCACCGCCCGCTCGCCGGCCTATTCTCCTTCTCCGGTCGTCTACCAAGCAGCGACGAGAGTCCACTAGACTTCTTGGGAGGGACAACCTTGTCCACGAGCTCGAAGCTTTCCTCATCCGCACCCGTCCCGTCCCATTTCTCCTCCAGTAGAGAAGGTTCTGTCTTCGCTTTGTGAATATCTAACTTCACGGGAGAACTAGTCTCCTCGACGGCGGGCAGTGGCGTAGGAGCTGCTACGCGATTTCGATGCCGTTCTCCAAAAGCTATGGTAGGACGCGAAAACGAGTATGAAGGGATCGAGCTAGAGGAAGGTGGCTCGCCACCGAAGGCGGACGCGTCAAACCGCTGGAGGAAAGAGAAAAGAGCGCGACTCTGCTCTTCGAACTGTGTGCGTATCTAAATACGTTGCCCATAGTTAGCGTGTGCTAAAGGAGACGAGGCGACTGGCTTACCTTCTTCTCCTTGTCTAGCTGGCGGACCAACTCCTCTGCCCAGACCTCTTTCTCCTCTCGTTTCCTCTTCTCCTCTTCAACTTTCGCGATCCATTCTTTCTCCACATCCTCCCTGACGGCTCGCAATGGCTCACCGAGGTTCTCCTCGTATCCAGCCACGACGATCTCTAACTCCCGGATGGTCTTCGACTGATCCGCGATGAGCTTGTCCTTTTCGGACTCTGGAGCGTCTGCAGGAAGAGCAGGACGGGAGCACAGGGCGGCCTCAAGAGAGAGGATCTGATTCGCCTGAGTCTCGATCTCGCGACGAGCAGAGAGAAGTTCCTGCTGGAGCTGTAATTATACCAGATCATTCAGCACTCAGTCCTGCCCGCTCGAAATGAACAAGCCAAATCGTACCTGATACGGCGACATATCAAAGTCCACCTTCGCCGGTGTCGCAGGCCTCGACTGCTCCACACTCTGATCCACCGTCTGACTCGTCACAATCAACTTCGTCAACTGCCTAATCCTCGAATTCAAATCCTGCATAGCCCTAGACTCCTCCAACTGCTCCCTTGCAGACAATCGGCGTCCTTTACGATTGATACTGCCGTCTTTCGCGACAGGGCCGGTGGAAGGTTGGGCGACATCTCGTTCTTTGTCGGCGAGACGACGCTTGAGGTCTTCGATTTCTTGACGGTAGCGTTCAAGGAGGGCTTCGGTGTCGACGACTTCTTTCTTTTTGGCTTTGAGCTTTGGGTGGCGTGGTGTTAGTACGAAGAACGTAGTATGTCACAGGCCGGAATGTTAACACACCTGGACTTTCTTGATGCCCTGGGCGAACTTGAGGGTGCTAGTAGTCTCAGCCACGGCATTGGTGTCGGGGTTGATGGTACAGATCACGGAGATGCGGGCGTTGCCTGAGAGCGAAGGCTCCAGCATGCGTGTAAGTTTGGAGTTGCGGAAAGGCACGTAGTCACTGTAAGCCCAGTGTCAGCGAATATACTTTAAATTGGAGATCCGTAGGCAACTTGCTGTTTGCGCTTCACGGCATTCTCTCCGAGCGTGCTGATGACTTGTCCTAGAGTAAGCAAACTGGATACACGGTTAGTCCGTCACCACAACTAGCAGGATCAACCGACATTGTTACCTCGTATTGATAAACTTCCCCTCCCTAGTCCTCTCCTTATCCGATGTAGCCTTCTCCGACCCCGCCAAATCAATCAAACTCAAAACCGAAGTCTGCACACTCCGACCTCCAATAGCCTGCAACCTCGGCCCACCCGGCGTCGGCGGCCTCGTCCCAGGAGTCTGCCTTCCACTCGGCACATCGCCAGTAGCTTCGCCTCCACCGCGCTCCCTACTCTCAATGACCACCCTAAACACAGAATGACTCCGACTGCTTCGCTCGTTCCAGTCTGTGGTAGCGGTCCTGCGATTCGCCCAGCCGCGTTCGAGGACCTGGTGCACGCCCTTGAGGGATGTGACGACCTCTTCGCGGAGAGGGGAGAGATAGACGTTAGAGCCTGTTCCGTTGATTTGGACGGAGGAGCTGAGGTGGTTGGAAGATGGAGGGGCGAGTAGATCGTTGATATTCTCGTTGTAGATTTCGAGGTAGGAGCAGCGAAGGAGGTATTCGCGCGTAGGCGTTCGACGGATATACGCGAATACGTCCTTCATGGCTCGAGGGATGATACCTGGCTGGTCTTCGTCACCGGACTGTATGTCCAGATAGGCATGGTTAGCGTTGATCGACGTTGTGATTGCGATATGCCGTTGACTCACCAGCGTGAAGGTCTTTCCACTAGCCGTTTGGCCATATGCAAAGATAACTGAGTTGTACCCATCCATCGCGGCGTAGACGTGATTCCGGGCTACAGCGTTGTATACAGGTTTGTTCTCTGATCCCGTTAGCATCTCGTCGAATGTGAATTCTGGGAGAGAGCTTGTTGAGTTCCGGCTATATTGAGGATTAAGCTTGATCGTCTTCGGTTGGGCTGCTGGAGTGTCCCATGCGACAGGGGCGTCAGAAGGACGAATTCTGTAGAGCACAAGCGATTAGTACCAGGGATGGTAGATATATGAGGTTTGGATTAGATTCAGGTCTCCCTATCTACAGATTTGACATCTTCATTGGAAGTGAAGACGATGTACTCTCGCGAACACAGCGCGCACGCCACATCGCGCACGCCACATCTGTTCTGCGTCCTGTACCAACAGCAATACATTGCCTTCCAGTTCATGGCAACGTTTCAAAATCCACATGTGGCAAACTGGCCAATATCGACTCATGACATGACGAGGTGAAGGTTACTCCACCCACGGTCACAGTAGTGTAATAAAGGAATGGCTGATTGGCTCTATACAGGCATGAATGGAAACTCCTACCTGACTGAGACAAGAACCTTATCTTCCTTTCCCTCCAGAATCTCCCTCAACATCGCTTCGTCGAGCTCCGCGGACACATCAGCCAATTCTACATTTTGCGCATCAACCAGTACTTCCTCCGGATCGACGCGGCTGACATCCATTTCGCTCTTGGACTCGAGCAGAAACATATCGTCCATAGTTGCTCTCTTCGGAGTATTGGGTGTCTTTATTTTCGGCACAGGTGGAACAGGGCTCGAGTTCGTATTAATTGGCCGTGGCTTGGATATGGTTCGGCGTCGGGCTTCTGTCGATACCGCAGATTTTAGCTTTGGGGTGGGAGGCCTCAAATTCGTGGGTGTTGTAGGTCGTGACGAGGGGCGCGATGTCGGCTTAGGAATTCCGAGCGACGAAGAAGAGCTCTTACTAGGCGTAAATGGTATGCGAGACATCTTGGTCGATGATGTGGACGCCATGGTGAGAGAGAGATGGCGTCGAAGGTGGTAGTTTACAGAAGACTCTTGAGCCTTTCGGATTCAAACAACCTTCCAAGCACGTGACCGCGTCATCGTGGGAACCATCATTATTGGCCTTGTTGCGACGCACCCAACACGACGGGGAAACCACTATTTAGAGCCCGCTAAAGTGGAATCTAAACGTTGGTCGAAATATTATATATGGCTGCCAATTTAGCGCTCTCTAAAGCAAAGCTTTAGCGAGCTCTATAGTGATTTCCATTGATTATTCTCTGAATTACCTTTAGAGGGTGCTAAAGAGATTCGGGGTTGCCACATAAGGCAAGCCCGAGGTGCTCGACAGCCTTTAGCGTCCTCCAAAGTCAATCTTTAGCGTTTGTACGGCATTTCTAAAGAAAATGCATAGAGTCGCCTCTGGAGGTCTCCAATGTTTCTCTTTAGTACTTCCCAAAGCCGAGTCCATATATAATATATAGAAGTGGCTTTAGAATCACCATTAGAGCACTCTAAATAGTGGTTCCCTGGCCGTGCAAGCGCTTGCTGAGTGCAAGCTGAGTGGTACTCTTTCTTCACGGCGGCCACCTATTCCTAGCATAGTTGCAGGCTGTCGTGATCTTGCAGCTATGTTATTCTGTACGGCGAGCTGTTGCACACTGATCTGGTACACACCAAGTACACACTCGTAAATCGAATCGCACCGGCGTAAATGAATGCTTACCACCCACTTGCGAAGCGTAATGACCATCCCAGCTGTGTTCGTATATGACTCTCCGGTCTTCAAAATTTACTTCGTCTCGGATGACTGTAACAAATAGAGAGGTTTCTCTTCAGACGGAAAGCTAGATCAAGTTGGCCGCCTCCCGATTCGGAAACCTCTGAGCAGACTCACTTTCCGCGATAAGATAAGGCGGTTGCGAATGAAAGTACGCACCATATCCAGTTCCTTCCGATGTATTTCTGGGACCCACCATAACTAATTATCACGCCGATTCATTTTTAGTCCACCACCACGACAACCTCGAGCATCTGACAGTCATAAAATGGCCTCACAATCGCCTTCAACGCGTCCTGTCCTTGCTTCTCTTGGTGCGTCCACTTCGTCCTTGGCTGTGCTCTGCCGTCCTGAGCCAAATCTGATGCTGTCTCCTTCTCGGCTCGGTGATTCTTCGGTTTCTGTTTTGTCTCTGATACACGCCATGTATCGCAGGCACTCTCTTGGTTGACTGCTTCTCTTGGACCGATCCCTCTACTTTGAAGCCACTTCCGGACAAACCACCGATCCAAAGGTTAGGTGGAGGAGGTTTATACGCGTTGGTCGGTGCTAGAATATGGTTAGGTCCAGAAGCGCTCCGAATACTTGTCGACGGTGGGACCGACAGTCACGCTGATGGAGAGAAATCATTGAGGGATGACGAGGGAAAAAGTGAGGGGGATGGGTTTCCAACAGAGCTGAAGATACAGTTGGACGAGTTGGGTGAGTATATGTGGGTGTGGAAGAAGGGAAGAACGCTGAAAGCGAGCATTGAATATTGTGGGGACGAGAGAACGTGAGTTTTTCTCTCTATCGAGCGTACGGTCTCCGGTGGCGCCCCATTTTTACGAGTGTAGCACCTGTACTGATTTTTATGACGACAGTTTCACGTATCTTTCCATACCTCCTATCCGTCGAGCATCAGACCTCCTATCCACAGCCCTCTATGGTGCAGAGTACGTGCACGTCGTAGCATCGCCTTCCGACTGTCTTCAACTAGTCGATGACCTTGAGCAGTTGCAAATCGAGAGTGGCGCAGCACCGAGTGAAATATGGAGACCAAAGATTGTCTACGAGCCACACCCAAAGAATTGTCGAGGGGAAGAGTTAGGCGCGTTGAGAGAGGTTCTCAGTAAGGTACATGTGTTGAGGTATGTAGAAACTCTCCCAATACTTCCTCAACGTATCCGCCATACTGAGTTGTATGATAAATCCTTGTGTGGCGCGTCCATAGCCCGAACCACGAAGAACTCGCCGCTTTCCTTTCTGATTCTATACAGGTCTCTGCATCACCCAACTCGTCAACAACTACACTCAGCAAAAAAATCGAATCACACATCCGTTCACTCATGCCTTCAAGAGGCATCGGTCCAGACGGAAACGGTGCCATCGTTGTACGCTCAGGCGCTATGGGTGCTTGTGTCGGGAGGCGGAAACATCGAAATGTGGCGGGTAATGACGAGCAGTACTCATCAGAGGAGGGACTAGAAATTGATTGGGTACCAGCGTATTGGACGCAAGAAGAGAAGGGAGAAGTCAGGGATGTCACAGGTGGTCAGTCTTGTCTCTCGCTTTGGCCGTGTGCGGGCTATTGTGCGGCGTATTGACAAGGTAGTTCATTATATTTCTGGATGTAGCTGGGAACTCATTCTTGGGCGGCCTAGTAGCTGGCCTCCATTTCACAAAAGACGATGCGCGCGAAGGTAAAAGAAATTCTCTCGTTCTTTGTACCCCGAACTTTGTGCCTGCATACTCAACATCGTCTTCTGGAACGACCTGATAGCTACGTTATACGCATCCGTCTCGGCCTCATACGTCGTGCAGCAGTTCGGGCTACCTATTCTCAGTTCAGGAACACAGGAAGATGGTGGTGAACACGGTGATGTGAGGGTGAAGAACGAGGTTTGGAATAGAGAATCGCCATGGATGCGTCTGGAGAGGTTGAAGGCACGCATGATGGACATCTCATAGCCGCCCCACTACTGACAGAGTGTAGAGATCGAGGGTGTCATACAGCATCGTTCTATGCCTTCGTCTAGAACGATAGAGCGTAGGGTATGCTGCATCCACGGAGCTGTAAGGTAGATTCAGAATGTAGTCGGCCCGCCCGCCACGGAGGCAGTTCGCCGTGCTAGTTATAACTGTATGCCCTCTTTTGTGGACGCCCAAGGAGAATATTTTGAGTTTCGAACCATGCGGGGGCCGCGCCCCGCAAACGTTGTTTGATCTCAGCGCTTCAAAGCCTCGTCTTAAACCATTAAATATAGCTTATAGGCTGAGCTTGTGTCCCATACGCCCATGTTACCATTCTCAGTGAGTGTATTGCCAGATTGAATGGGGAGGTAAGCGCCAAGACACTCTGCAGTGGGTGGGTTGAGTCAAAAGGCGTACATAGGCGTCGTGTCCGTGGCAGAGGGTCAGTATGGCGAACTACTGGCACTGTTTCAGTCGACAGCACCGAAGCTCTAAGCCGGATTTAAGGATGGACGAGGTATGTCGGTTACATTTCATACTTTCGCAATCTCTAATGTATAAAGTTTCGTAAATATACTTTGCCAAGCAAATACCCGTTTATGTCTTCCCCACAGTACATCAACTCTGTCAACTTGAAGACAGAACTACTATCGTGCGGCGCAGCGCTGAATCGGACCGTATGTGGGCGCGATGGAATGGGGGTGGAGGCGACAGATCAGGATAGGGAATCGAGGATAATGACTTCGCCTCCATTTTCATCATGGATGATTCGCAAGGGGAATATCGTTCCCTTCTGCAGTATCATGAGCAGTGTCGGCCACGGGTGGGTGTTAGTGATTCTGACTTTCACTCCAGCATCGAAAGAACCAATGAGAGATAAGTACAGCTGTCTGTGCAGTGCTGCTGTGGAGCACCTGATAGTGTGTCGAGACCGTTGCGATTTGACACCCAATAGGCGAGGCGACGGGGCTGTCCCAATGCAGATATACGATGGCGGCAAAGACATTGTGAGTGGGGAACGTCCGTGTCTGGTGTGAAGATCAAGACATGGAGATGGGCAAAAATGTATCACCGAAGGACATGCACACGTTTGGCGCCTCGCCTGGGTAGCCGCCCGTTTTTGAAGTCTCGAAGATGCTGAAAACGACTCACGACGTCAAAGGGATACAGTGAGGCATGGCTTTGTGGTTGCTCGCGACAAAAGAGCCAAACAAAGAGAGGAGACTCATAGGTCCGCTTTCGCTGCAGAGGAATACACGATGCAGCGGCAGTTACCAAATGCGCGCCTCGCAATTACTAGCGTGAGGCAAGGATGGGTCAGCTGAGGAGCGGTGGCGTTACGTGGCGATACAACAAGCCTGAGAAAGGGTACAAATACGTTAGAGCGCCGCGCACGAGTATCGCAGTGGGGGAAAACGAATGTATCCACAGAGACAATGAGGTGTGTGGCCCAGTGAAAAGCAGAAAAAGGACGTTGTGGCGCGCAGCGATCTCGAGGCAGAAAAGCTGAGAAAGGAAATACGCAAAAGGAGGGAAATCACGCCCGATAAACGGGCGAGTGGCGTCATCAAAATCGAGGAAAGAATCAGATCGCATCGGGCCACGTGGTAATATTTGGACTTGAGCAAGTTGTCCGCGACCGCAACGCTTCCTCCTGGCTTCATCTTTCCTTCCCCCACGACCATACGAGCCTTGCTACTCACACTTTACGAGTGGCCATTAGACTAGAGGCCAAGGAAGGAAAATATTCGGGGTATTTGCTTTGACTGTGCCGCAGACAATCCAGACGACGCCCAGGAGCTTGAGGTGAGTGGTGCTCCGACTCGATCACGTTTTCGCTCTCGGCAAGAGTTTCGGCTGGGCTGACCCTCCCAAGCCCTTTCTGCTTATCATCGTACCCCAGTTTCATTCATCTTACCCTCAACCTCGTCGATTCTGCTAGGCAGCCCTTCATATACGACCAACTGGACGAACTGACAAGGATCAAGTATCTGTACTACAGAGCACGACTCACGAAATAACCAACTCTTTACGACTCGGACTATCCAACCGTTACGATGGCACCGACTTTGGGACAATTTTCTCCAGTGCGTCTCTTTCCGCTCTCACACAGCGACTATGTTTCACTCATTGTTGTGCGGGATTGGTGGTTTAGTTTCAGGTCGATGTACCTCACGTCGCATATGCCGCCCTAGGAGGATTCGTCGTCTTCGTGAGTGCTTTCCTTGGCATCGTAACTCAAAAATTGCATTGCCTCAGACGAATCGTTGCGATGTAGTTTGGGATGTTCTCGCTCTTCATACGAGAGAAGGTGCGTCCTCTGTCTCAGTATCAACTTTGGATGCGGCGGGCTGATCTACGATGGGATGTATAGCTCTATATCGGCGAAGCATGCTGGGCATTTTTATTTGGTGTCATCATTGGTGAGTGTTCTTTCGCCTTATAACTGTGTTCAGGCCTCTCTCTCCTTCTTGGTCGTCGGCGCAAGTCTATTCGTTCAAATCGTGGAGGAGCATACTCCACTGCAACTTCTCTCCTGTTACCTGCTTCCCGCTGTGGTGTATCTCCGGGCTGATCTCGTCCTTGACGATGCCAAGTCATTCCTTGTTTCTCTCTACCAATGATTAGACAGGCACGTTCGGGGATAGCCAAGTCTTTGTGGCCCAGCGGAACATGTCAGGCAAATACAGACGGTGCGCCTTGGCTATGCGTACCGGACATATAGTGCGTGACTGGTCCTCCAATGTCGTCACGATCGACCTTGGTCCTTGCTGTGGGACTTCGGGTGTAATCCGAGTGCAATCCTCCTTTTCCCCAATGCCCGTCTTCCATTGTTCTCGAGCATTGCTCGGATAGCCTGACTGATTGTGCTATTGCTGACTATGCAACGGGCTATTATGTCTGTCAGTATTGTGCCAAACATGCGTCTTGGGCGTTGCACCCACTTAGCTGCTTTTGGGCTCCTTATCATCTTCAGAATCGATTGTACGCGACATTTCTTGAAGCGGCGTCCTAGAAAGGGGGCGGTTCTTCCGTTTGTGGAGTAGACCTTCAGGAACTGCGAGGTTTAGTTTATTCAGCGCAACTTCGTTTTCGGAGTACTGAGGCGATTTGTATGGGAGCAACGTAACGCGTAACGCGCCCTCCGTTCCGTTGCCAGAACAGCGTTACGTGACGCATAACAAGGGCTCCGTTGCTACGAAAAAGGCGTTATTTAATAATTTTTGGGGCGGCTACGGCGCCACACCACCTGGGGTTGCAATCGTAACGCACCATCCAGAGGCCGTTGCTATACTCCGGACCGTAACGCTTGACCTCGTCGTTGCTCCCATACAAATTGCTTCAGTATGTCTCGTCGCTTTCGGAAGGCTTATGACTAAAACGAGAGGCCTTCCGAGGGTATGTGGTTCTTCTCCGGAGTGCTTGAACGGATCAGGAGCCAATCCCGTCTTCGTGCACCAGTATCGCATCTTGCGTGCTGGATTTGCGCGGCGGATGTGTGGTATGCTGGAGTTCAGCTAATTGAGAAGGGCTTTTCTCCCTGGTGCTCTCCGCCATTATGCCATTGGTCACTTTGTGGATGGCGGGCAATGCACCAGGCAAGGCGCCACAAAGCCCTCTCTTTGCTTGCGGAGGCTCTTACCGGTATCATTGTGCGAAGCCTATCAGAGTAGAGTACGTTTGTCGGATAAGCCGCTGCTGATGGCATGTCTCTGTCCTCCTGCCATACCAAGCTCTGCCGCTATCCTATTAGCTTCCCGAATAGCAGGCGCGATTGGCTCGCGTTCATTTGAACCGATATAATACGATATGAACGGCGGTAACCGCACGAGATTAATACTCGTATGGGTGGCACACGACCTGTTCAGAGCCACACCTGCAGCCCTGAGCCGAGGGTTGACTTGACCAGGAGACCCACTTGCTCCGTGCAGACATCAAGGCGTACCCGTTGCCCTCTTCGTGTCTTCAACGCTCGCTTTGCATGGTTGAGTAGTCCGATTTGTGTGTCACAATATTTGCATCTGCCATCACCATCTTCTCACCCTTGGAGCACGTCTTACGAGTTCCACTTTCCTTCATGGGCTACACAGTTTACGCCGCCTGTTAATGGAACGACCATATATTCTCCTATGACTCTGCCTCTGAAATACTTCCATGTCTCACCAACGCCACAATTACTGACCGCGAACTTCTCTTTGTATAGGTCCATACTGCGCCGATATCTTCAATCCCCGCGGGTGGGGCAACGGTGACGAGGACGTTGTCAATACGATCACCCTGGAATTTACCCGTGTTGTCCTCGCTATCGGTGTCTTCGCGATCGGTGTCGAACTCCCGAAACAGTACATGAAAAGACATTGGAAAAGTCTAGCCTTCCTGCTGTTTCCCTGTATGACTTGGGTGCGTTTCCTTTTCGATTTTTGGTTGCATGGTTTCCTCGTACCCTGGTACACATCTGTGGCCCTCTGCCGTTCGTCGTACGGTTGATCGGGACAGGCGGTCTGCTTCTTCCAACATCTTCTTTCATTCCTGCCCTACTCACTCTCTATTTCCTTCTTTGCATCCAGGGCTGGTTCGTCTCCGCGGGGCTCATTTACGCCCTCATACCGAAGCTCAACTTCCTCTCCTCTCTCGCCATTGCCGCATGCCTTACACCAACCGATCCTATCCTCGCGGCGGCCGTTGTTGGTGGAAAGTACGCTGATAAGCACGTCCCTGCTCACTTGCGGCATCTGCTTGCTGCAGAGAGCGGGTGTAACGACGGAGCGGCATTCCCGTTCTTGTATATCTCGCTGTACTTGATCATTGACAAGAATACGGGTACGGCGGTGAGTGACTGGTTCGTTGTCCTATGGCTATGTAGGTTTTCTGTTCCCTCCACTTACCAATGAATTCAATATACTGACTGCCTTGGTGCTATAGACGAGGTGTTCCTTGGAATCGTCTTCGGCGCTATCATCGGCTTTGGGTTTCGACACCTCATGAAATTCTGCGAACGCAAAGAGCTGATCGATAGACAGTCCTACGTCGCGCAGTATGTCTCCCTCGCTCTCCTCACCATCGGCACCACCACCATGCTCGGGTCGGACGATCTTCTTGCCGCCTTCTCCTGCGGGACGGCATTCGCCTGGGACGGGTTCTTCAATCGTCAGACGGAGGAATCCGTGTTCAGCAGCGTGATTGATCTGCTATTCAACGTGGCGGCATTCGTGTTCGTTGGAGCGTGGACGCCGTTCAGCGATTTCAGCAGCGAAGAGTTTAGTTTGGACGTGTGGAGGCTGGTCGTCATTGCGATACTTGTCTTGTTGTTGAGGAGGTTGCCGATTATGTTGGCGCTGTATAAGTGGATCCCGGACGTGAAGAATTTCCGGGAGGCGGTTTTCAGTGGACACTTTGGCCCCATGGGCATCGGTACGTTCTTTGCCCGTCCTCTGATCTTACCTATGTCTACTTTGCTCATCATGATTTGTAGGAGCCATCTTCATCTCGACCCTCGCTGCCGAATCTCTCCCGGAGCCCTCGTCTCCGCCAGCAAACCAACAAGAAATCCTCGCCGGCACCATCCAACCTATCGTCGCCTTCATGGTCGTCGCCTCCATTCTCATTCACGGTCTCTCCATCCCCTTCTTCTCCCTCGGTCGTCGCGTCCACTCCGTCTCGCGTACCTGGTCGCGCCACGCCACTCTCGAGCCCACGCCCGAATGGGCCACTCACACGCGTGCCGTCAGTCGTCCTGAGGATATCGTCATCAATAGGGATGCGGATGCGCTGGAGAGAGGAGAGGTGCCGTCGCATGTGAAGGATGAGGAGGATAGTGGGGTGAGCGGGGAGGAGAAGTTTATGGAGGGTGTGGAGGCGGGTAAGGAGGAGGAAAAGAGAGATGTTGCAAGGGAGGTTGAAAGGGCTGGTGGCGTTCCGATCGTTGAGGAAGGCAGGGAAGGAAGTGGTTCGGAGACAGCTCAGGGGAGCACGCATGCACTCGGAGAGAGGAAGCTTGGAGAAGAGGAAGGACAGGAGTATAAGGAGCAGAATCTACCGGATGGGGAGGACACGGTGCAAGAGTGGAAGGAAGGGCCGCATAAGATCATCGAGAGGAGGGCAGGACCTGGGGAGGAGGTCGAAGTTGAAGTCCAACGCAATGCATACGCCAAACATCCTGACGCCGAGCCAGTTACTCAGGCGTTCCGTGGTACCGAAGGACACGTGCACGACGTCGCTGCACGATTTATGCACGGCCTTCAGCATGCCCCCAAGGACGCAGAGAAAGCGGTGGAAAAGGTGGAAGAGAAGGCAGAAAAGGCGGTGGAGAGCTTGTCACCTCATCTGTCGCCTATTACCTCACCGACCAAGCATTCGAAGGCCACGACCGAATCCCAAGCAGGACCGAGCGGTAGCGCCGATGCAGGAGGAAACGGTGGTGAGGAAGACGAAGGATGGGCTTCAGACGGGACGACTGAACGTGGTCAGAGCGGAAAACGATCAGGCTCGAGCCCAGGGTCCAGACATGGCAAGAGGCGCCTGTTCATGCACGGTGTGGGACGTATCGGTCGACGCAAGCCTACGACAGGGAATGTTACTGGAAGTCGCTCAAGCCGTCCCTCATCCGGCGCTAGCACTGGTCCTCTTCTGCAAGGGCACGATGCTGCTTCTCGGCGCTCGCCTTCGCCCACTCCTTCGAGTCCTATAGTCGTGGACTACGCTACACAACCGCCTCCTCAACCGTCTTTGCCACCGACCCAGTCTATTCCGCCTATTATGACTGAACTTGCATCTTCATCCCCATCTACTACACCTGAGGACGAGTCACCCAATACACCAGAGGACAGTCGCGGACGTCCGCCTCCACGACCGGAGGCAGGAGGCAGGAGACGGTCGAGGCAGCACCATAGACTGGATACGCTCAGGAGGGAAGGTGGTGGATCGTTTGGCAGTAGGGATTCCAGTCCTTCTAGGAGTATTAGGTGGGCGGACGAGGCTGGTGGTCCGAGGTCGCCATTGCCTTTGTCGCCTACAAGTGACACCTTTGGAGATGATGCGGGTGCAGATAGGGAGAGGGACGGTGGGGATAGTGGGGATGAAGACGGGGGAGGGAGGAGTGCAGGACCCAGGTCGAGCACTAGCGTGAGGTTCGAGTTGCCGGGTGCTGGAGAGGGAGGAAGATGAGAGCGTGATTACGAACAATAAGTGTAGGAGACCGGTGATGTTGCGCTGTGTGTTTTCATCCACTATTCCTCTCATGCCTGTTGCTATCTGATTGTCCAAGTCGTGCATTCACCTACGTGTTCGTCCTGTCACAACCCATCCAACATGTCCATATTCTAGTCTATTTCCGCATCATTTACTTACGGTATTGCATGTTCGTTACCCTGTCACATTTCTATGAGTTCGCATTTCACAACTTTGTTCGTTCAGTCCTATTTTCATGTTTTCTTTACGCATCTCCGCAATTTTTCTGTGTGGCGTCGATATCTGAGCCTTCGGCGTCTGACGAAAAAAAAAGACCTCTTTACGAATAGCTATCGTCTTTCGCCACTATATCGACATGCCTACTTCTGCACGGCCATCGAGCATTCGATTCCAACAATCAAAACGTATCGATATGTAGCTGGTTGTCTCGACCATGATGGTGTACGAAGAGATTTAGCTGATACTGGTGGCCACTCTGAGCCTCCAACGTCGATGGAACCACGCCAAATTTCAACGTCAAGCGTACGCAATCGCCAATAGGTTAGTGGGTGAGAGTACATAGAGCTACAGACAGAGCGAATCCGCAAAAAAAAGAGCATAGGTCCATCATCTGGGAAAACATCAAGCAGTCGTAGCCTCCCGCTCCATTCTCCGCCGCTTCCGCTCCTGGTCCTCCTGGATCAACCGCTCCGCCGCCGTCATCTCCTTCCTCTTCATACCCGCAATGGCAATCGGCGATGGAGAAGCAGTTTGCTTGAGAGCATTCATCTTCTTGAGCGGATTGGCGGCCATCTTGAAAGCGTTGAACTTGACGGGAGCAGCAGCAGGCGTCGTAGCTTTGGCAGCGGCAGGCTTGAACCCCATCGACAACACGACTTTCTCGCCCTCGTCCCTCTTCAATCCTTCCTCAACGGTTTTCTTCTGCCCATCAGCCTCTTCCGACCCATCTCTGCTGCCCGATGAACCTTCTCCCTTCTCCTTCGCTTCTCTCTCCTCCGCCGCAGCTCTCTCAATCTGCTCCTCAATCAACAATCGCTGTCTCATCTCGTCGCTCATCGTCGCCCTCTCCTTCTTCAAGCTAGCCTCCTGCTTCTCCAGAGCTTTGGGCGAAGAATCGATCCAAGCGATGAACCAGCCCTTCTCAGTGTCATCGACGTGGGCGACACCCGTTCTGCCGAGGTGTTTGATGAATTCGGTGAGAGTAAGCCAGCGGGTGGAGTTCATGTGAACGTGGTGTTTGTCTTGGATGTACTCCTGGTAGACGTTATTCGCCTTGACACGTTTCGTGCCCCACCTAATCATATTTAATGACATCGTCAGCATCAACTATGCAACCAAATCTAGAAGAACAGTCGATGACTGCAAAAGGATAGGGTAAAGAGACGCACCTTCTTGAGAGTAAGGTGACGAACTCCGACTGGAATTGTCCCGAATAATCCGAGATATGCTTCCCAGCCGATTCACCCACCACCAACATCTGCCGCAGGTGAGACTCAGATGCAGCATGACATTTGAAGCCATTCTCATCTCTGCATTGTTTCTCGCAGACTTGACAGTACCACCGTAGGCGCTGTAAGCCCTTCGACTTCATCTTGTTGGCAAGATATTTCGGGGTTCCGACTGTACGAAAGCCATTGAAACATGGTCATATCAGTGAGATATATAACAATGATACTATCAAAGGAAACATCACAGACCTTCAGCACGAGGCATGATGGGCTATTTGAGCGAGTAAAGGATATGGGGGAAGAGGAGTGAGGCTGAGACGATGGTGAGGAAGCTGCTGTGCTTAGTCATAAATTCGAGCCCGGAACGCTACCAATAATTCAAACTCCGAAAGCCAAGCCACTCGGGTTTCCTCAAATCTAACTTGTACCCCTTCAGACCACCACACACGCAGGACGCCAGTCGCCCGTTCTTTACTTATGATACTGTGAGTTCATACTCTCCTTCCTGCTTTTTGCCATCAGGAGAGTCCTTGAAGCATAAAGTTGGCGCGGCCATACGTATGGGGCAGGGCCGGCTCCTGAGACTCGAGAGTACTTTATATCGGTGAAATGTCTCAATGTTTCGCAGACTCGAGGTCGATTTTTTTTGTTCTCTTTGAAGCCTGCATGCCCTGACGGTATGCACCCCTGAGGTTCCCCTTAGAGCTTTACCTCGGTAAGGTGATCTGACCTGCCAGTGTCCTACATCTGCTCTAGAGTAGGGTCATCACGATCTTCCATAGCAATTTCACAGGTTCACGCAAGGAACAGGAAATACCTGCATCTTTATGCGAGAGATCTTATACACACGTAGAGGTGTTTCTCGTGTTCGCGGTGTTGCCTTGAATGAAAAAGTAATCGTCGGTTTGCGTACGTGCCACAGCTGCGTATTCTGCGGTCGCGTCAGCTGCACGCTCCTTCCTCAGTTTTGTGGCCCGTCGGTCTTGGAAGATGCGGTCTCTACGTCTCATTATCAAGGTCGCCGGAATTATGGAGCTAAGGCATTGACTGTACGATCAGCATTGCACAAGGAGGGAGTCACTAAGGTCCATGGATTTCCCGTCATTACTGGAAAAACAGAACGTATGGTCTCCTTTCTTTCTCCTTCCGATAATCTTAGACTTAGACTTGGGTGTCGGTCAGCACAGCGTATGCCCAATAATCGTCGCTTTTACCACCGGAACGCGCTTCTTTTCACTTCTTTTCAAACGTCAAAATAAGGCCTTCATACGTTAACAAACAATGGGACAACTAGAGATTGCTTTTGTGTTCCTAATAGGTCAATTCGCTAGCGCTGAATTTGTTTGTTCACTGATTCTCAGACAACCCTACCTTTGAGCAGGGGGCCACTTCACTATCACACGTGATCTGAGGTGTGTCGCTGCTTTGTTTACCCTTTGTTTGTTCTACATGTCGTTGCGCGATATAACCTTGGGCGACCATTGTTTTGCCTCTTGACCACCTACTCGTACGTTCTGAAATGCCTCACCAGGACGGAGACCCCCCATCACCCCTTACTACTCTCTCGTTCTCCGACGACAGCTCCGCAGACGAAGATAGAAATGATCTCAAAGGGTCTGCACCAGTGGGTGGCGGGGACTTCGAACGCGATGATGACGGAAATAAAGGGATGGGAAGTGAAGACGAGGATAGATATTCGGCTTCAGGTACATTCCTTCATCGAGCAGCGCCTCCCGCGTTTGCATAGACACTCCGTTGGCTGATCCATTGTTTCTTTTGATGACCTATTTAGGCGAAAGATATCCGAAGCGCCACAAGGTTGTACCATCTACAGAGGACAGCCCTGTCTCGCAGGAAGAAACGATAGTGAATTCTGCTCCCATAATTTCGAAGAAGAAGCGGGTCGGTTCAAAAGCGAAGGGTGAAAGAAACAGGGGCAAGCTGCAGACCATGTTGAGGATGCCTATGGACATCTTCTACGAGGTATAGACATCCTTTACGTTCTCGACGGGGCTTTCATGAACTGACGTTGTTTTCTGGGATTAGTGCTGCAAGATGATGTCCCCCATTGATCTTCTCAATCTTGCTCGATCGAGCAAAGACTTGCGCGAGGTCCTGATGTCTCGTACTAGCGCATTCGTGTGGAAGTCTGCAAGGCGATCTCTTGGAGCCGATATTGATCTGCCAAGAGAGTTCTCTGAGCCAGAATTCGCAGCGCTAGTCTTCGCACGCTCTTGTTCTGTAGGTCACACTCTACAACAATACAATGTACATCCCACTCAACGATATCTTGATGAGCAGGAATGTGACACCAAGACAACTAGATGGATTGACTGGCCCTTCAAACATCGCCTCTGTAGCAAATGCAGATCGAAGAAGTGAGTGCCTCCGAGCTCGTGGCTATATCTTTCGTGGCACGTTCCTGATATGAACTGGTTTATTTTCTTGATCGCCGCCTTAGTCTTTTTGACGCAGGGAGGTTCAAGAAAATATATCCTAGTGCGGACCCCGCCGTTCTCGATTTATTCCCTTACTCTCAGAGTATGTGTATCCTCTCCAAGTAAAATCCATCAGGCTAACAGGCATGTTGTACACAAGTTGGGCGTACGACCAAGAATGCCACAAAGAACAATTACTTCTGGGAAGAAGATCTTGACGACATGGTGAACGAGCGCGAAACACTCAGAAAAGATGTGAAGATGAAGAAAACAGGCGCTATGGACGCATTGTGCCAGTTCGACAAGACACACGGCGAAGCTGTGGCGAATTACATGAAGGTGGTCTCTCATTCTCTTGTGTCTTTATGGTTGACGCCTAGATCTTCTTATGCACAGGGTTGCAAGGATATGGAACAATGGCACGACGCATATGAGGATTACCGTAAGGCCGAATTGTCTGCTGCGGTAGCTGCTCGACGTGAAGCGTACGCCGACTCCGTTTTTAGTCATGTGCATCTTTTGACCCATAACGAAAATACGGTAGGATCATGAGTCATCTGGTAGATCTAGGCTACGACAGATTGGAGATGGATCGCCCCACCTTCAGTGCAACGCCCGCGCTGCATTCGAGTAACCCACTTACAGAGCGTGGTAAGCACTCATTCGCTGTTAATCAAAACATGGGACGGTCACTCATGAGGATGCGCACTTCACAGGTTGGACCCAGATCAGCCCTCAAATATTCCGGAATTGGCGTGACCGTGCACAGAATGAACGTACCAGGAAAGCCAGATGCCTCTACGCCGAATATCGCCGTAACATCCTCCCCGCAGAATGGTTTTACCTACCGTCTCTGGAACAGGCCACTCGACTTCCTTGGTGCGCAGAGATCCTTGGACGAGACGTCAAAGTGAGAGTGGTCGAGTCCGACTTTAACGTCCCGCTCACGAATCTTGCATCGTCGGTCCAAGCCTGGATCAGAGGGAAAAGAGATCAATATATCGCGATGTTGCCGGAGTGGTATCGCAGTTTACTTCCCCCAACCGCTTCCATGATCCCCACCGTTCTCACTTCTCCGTTCGTCGATGATGTCCGTCAAGGCAGGGCTGTCGGCGAGCTGCGTCCGTTTTTGGGACCATTGGAGCTCGCGATGGCGGTATTCACACTTCCGAATAGCCCGACGATATTGGTGGCGAAGGACGCCTGTCATGCGTGGAAACAAGTCGTGCCTCTCGAATTTTCTGAAGTGGGGTCGGCAACTGCATTGTATTTGTTATGGCTGGCCGGTACAGATCCGACGACCACAACAGCCGTCCGGTTCGATGCGCTGGACTACAGTTTTTGGTGTCTCAATTGTTATCACGCGAATGGGAATTCGTTCACGGGTATGAAATTGGAGACATGGAGATCAGCTGTGAGTATCTTACTCTGGAGAGATCTACGCGAATACCACCCCTTCACGCTCAATCAATGCCCTTCCTCTTGTCTAGGTCGAACATGAGCTAACAACGCTAGGAGAGACCCATATGTGGCCCGCATGGCGTGTAGTCTGTCTTGGGCAATCCTTCCCAGAACCGGAACAACAAGAAGTTTCTGCGCCCATACACACTGACCTTGATCACTGGTACTGCCAGTATTGCAGAACAGGCCAACCTATTCCCCATCCTCATGCCCACGACGACCCATTGAACACGCAAGAGTATTGTGACATCTCGTGGAATCGGCAAATGGCGGTCAATCATGTCAGGACCCAGTGAGTCTCTATCATTCTTCGCGCCGGACCTATGCTCACAACGAGCTGCATACTCTACCCATGATTCAGCCATGGGATACTCAATCCTTCAGAACATGACGTGGTGTACATCCCAAATCTAAGCTGATATTCTGGTTCTTCTTCTGTTTTTCGTTCGCATCTACTTACATATAAGTGAAATGTCATGGAATACTTATAAGATTGGTTGTGATATGCGGTTGATACTTGCTGTCGTCGTAGTGAGAGAGCAAGGATAGAGCTGGCAATAAACGCCAAGGCGCCGAAGTTGTTTGTACATATTACGATCAGAAGCCTCTGATGACGTCAGCCCGACAAGAACAATAGGGAGACAGAGCGGGAAGGGGAATTTCAATCGTCTGCGCGAAGGGCCCAATACCTTGTTCATTGTACCGGGATGCTGTCGCTCGATCTCGCCACAGAAAAGAAATCCTTTTTATTTAACCACGCCCTCCTTCAAATTCCAACATACACGATCTCCTCTCGTTCAGAGTCGTTCTAGAGCGATTCGTACGTACCCATGTCCTAGTCATGCTTTGTTTACTAGTTCTTGATACAGAACCATCTCTCCCGTCTCCAAGCCTCAGGAACCCTAGGCCACAGTCGACCTTCTCAGTCTGTCCTGACAGTCTCAAAATGGGTAGAGGAGCGACACAAAAATATGCGCCTTCACACAACGTCGCAACCTATCTCCACAACATTTGCATTTTGTTGTATTTCACTGTCAGCACTGCGTAGCGGGCACAACAGTTGAGGGTCATATATAGACATTTATTATAGAATGTTCGTCCACATCAAAGATACTAATCATCTAATTCTTTCGAGTATTTCTGCCCAAACGCCTCCTCATCCTCGTCCTCTTCCTTCCAGGTCAATATACAGTGTAGGCCCACTCCTTGATCCACCACTTTGAAGAAATTCATTTTCTGGCTCCCCTTCCCATATTCATCAAATCTGTTAGCTTAGAGGTTGAGAACATCCATAAAGGTACTCAGAATAAAATACATGCAGTGCCTAAAGTGAGTGTGCATTATCGGGAGACCAAGATGTGGTGTGGCACCCGAGCGCCACAAAATATGGGTCCTTGATCCAACCCCGCACTGCACGATTCCCCCTCATAAAAAAAATACATGCTCATTAATAACCTCGATATAACCTTAAATGCACTATATGCACAGTTTTTATGAGTGATCTTGAGGCTGGAGGAGCTGTAGGCGGCAGATTTGCAGTGGATCAAGGACCGGGGTTGGATCAAGGAGTGGGCCTACACTGTACTGTACTTTTTCGCGCACAAGTTCACGCCACCGCCCCTCGGCCGTTGCCGAGATGACATAATCCATTCGTGTCCCGGTTCGCAAGCAGACCGGGACAAGGGACAATGTTCGTGAACATCGACGCTTTTGCAGGGAGACGACCTTTCGTAACCGTTCAACAGGCATTTACCTCTGAATTTGGGTGGAAGAGCTCACCCAGTAGCAAAATCTAACCCAAAGTGTGTCTCGGAGGCCTTCCTGGAGGTCAATTTAGGAGCCTAAAATATATTCATATTTTCGTCAAATTTGGGTCAAATTTTGGTTTGTCCTACTTACAAGTTCCGTGCACGTCAATGGGGTGGGACTGTCCCGCGGCACAAGTTCGTTCGCGGCCCCCATGGGACACGGGACACGAACTTGTGCGCGAAAAACTACAGTAGGTGCGCGTGGAGGCAACAACCTGCCTGTACTCGAGGAGTCAAACATTTGTCTGTCAAAGATATACAATAACATCTCCGACATATCCGTCGATGCGTGATTATCCCGTGTCCAATGGATCATGTTTCAAAGAACTCACGGAGTAGAAAAGTGCCTCGTATTGGACGAAGGATGTTGGTGCGGTGATTGCGACGACAGTGGTGAGGAGAATGAGGAGGAGGGTGGATGCGTTGGCGGAGGGGGCGGCGGCGGAGGAGTCTTCCGTATTGTTCGCTTAGACGAAGCAGCATAGGATGCTCTTCATACATGTCTAGGTGAAGTCAGCTGTCTAAGTGCCGGCGCGATCGACCGCTGAAACGTTGCACCGTTCGTGATATTGAGAGAGGAGACAGAGCCAAAAACACAGTACAGATAGGCAAACCAGGAGCAAAACGTCCGTACAAAAATCGGGCGGTTGATGACACCCATGGTTCCGGCGCCGAAAGATAAACGTATAGAAGAGAAGCAAAATCCAGAAGACAGAGATGTGAGATATAGAATAAATAATCAACGGGCCTCCACCAGCACTCTAGTTGGAGGACTCATTGAATGCCTCATCGAAGCAAACGCAGAGCGCAGCGATGAGGGCGACATCGACGCCTGGTGCGATAGTGACGGCGTACTGTGGCGTGGTGGACATGAACAGCGCGAGAGGGAATAGGGGGAAGAAAGTATGGAGAAAGGGAGAACAAAGACGAAGATTCAGTGAAATGTACGCAGACCAAGTCAGGGATAAAAGACTTACGGTCTGTTGTCCACCCACAGCTTCCCTCACATTGAACAATTTCCTCGAAATCTGTGCGACGACGCGATCTGTGCCTGCGAGGGTTATTATGGCGGATCTGTCGTGTCAAGGGGAGAAGAGAGGTTAGTGATAAAGTCGTTTGAGAGCCGAAGGAGGAAGTGTATGGACGGAGACCGTAGTGACGCGACGGGATGCACGAAACAAAGAGGATAGAGGCAGTCGTTGGAATGGTAAAATTATAACGAAGAGTGAGGGGTTCGGGTGAGAAAGGGGACGGAAGAGAAGACTAACCGATCAAACCAATCACCCTTGCATTCAAGCTCTATGTGCTCGTGAGATGAGGAGGCAAAGTTATGGAAGGATGCTACCATGCGCGATGTTCCGACTGTGCACAAGAAGAAGATTAATTTAGTGACCGACAAAAGGTTGTGATAGGAGGCGCAGAAAGAGGAAGGGGGGCTGAAAATGAAGACTCACTCGAGAACCTCTTCTTGACCGTGCACAGATCGGTCCCATCCATTGCCTCGATCAGCTGCGTCTTGTGGAACGCAATGACCTTATTCCTCAACGTGAACAATGGCGTCCCTCTCGCATCCTTGAACTCTATTACACAGCGTCACTATCAGAATCACCATAAGTCTACACGATGAAGAAAAGATTACACACCCTTACGATCCCTCCAGCTGAATGCTTGTCCGTGGCACCTGACGATATCGTGCCCTGCAGAGTTTTTGATACTGAAATCGTCGCCGCTGAAACTCCATATCTTCTCTTTCATGATGAGCGTCTCAACATGAGGAGCGCAAAAGGCGGGGTTGAGACCTATTGGTGGGTTGAATGGCTGAAAGTTGACGTTGTGATGCGAGGATTGACCAAAAAGACCCATTGTGTATAGAGTTGACGGTAGGAGTGGTCGCAACAGGTGTGGAGGGGAAATGTATGACTAGAGGTAGATTGGTGCGATACGTTGGATATATACCTTCGATTGTGCTAGGCAGTGCACTCACTAGCACTTGTGAATGCAAATTGTGTAAGACGTGGAGTAGCACTGCCAATCGCAGTAGCAATCAAAGATGGGGATGAGCCGGGTGTCTTGGCAGCTCCTATACTGGAACAAAAGTCATCGAGTATGTACTCACGACAGACGCTTCGATAATAGTCAGTTTATTGGTTGAATGAATCTTTATGTGTAAATTCTGAGCCATGTTAACAACAAAAATCCAGATCTCGTCTCGTCTACGACTACGAGTAGAAGGGTCTCGAAGACCTTATGGATATTGGAAAGACATCCACTGCACTTTGACCGCTGCACTAAGTACAAGGGTGTAACCCGGATTCACCGCATCTAAGGATATTTGATCCCAACAATCTGTTAGCCTTTATGCGTCAATGTACGAAGCAGATGCGAGGACATTGAGGTCTACGAAGGCGGTGATGGTTGTGGTCTTTGTGGCAGTGAACGTTGAGTGAACGAGACCAGTTGTACTGCACCGCCCGGCATGGCTCGGGCCGTCAAATGTCGGACAACGGCCGGAGTGGCCCCGCTGCCACAGCCCCGACACAGCTCTGGAAAGCGTGGCTCTACTGCCAAAGGTCGGACAACAGAAATAGACAGCCATAGCTTGGAAATGGCTTGTAAGGAGTGGCGAGGGGCACACGGCGCTAAACAGACCCCGACTCCTACAAGAGTGGCTTGAAAAGCCGCACGGCGAAGTCGACGAAGGCTGTGGCACGCAGCTTGCGCAACTTGACCGCTACTTAGTCGACGGTCAGACACAAAGCGAAGGCGAACACGCGTACGGAGCAAAGCTGTAGCAAAAACAAGGAAACCCATAATCATAGACCTACGAGGCCGACCTCGCTCAGCTCAAGAAGTAACATCTGAGATCTTCTTCGGGTTCCATTCTGGCCAAACTCTGATGGACTCGGAGACCTGCTCAGGCGTCCCTACAATGCCTACTCCCAACGCCCACAGGCATTGCCACATACTCCCAATATCCTTTGGATTATTCTTCATCGTCTTCTGAAGCTCGGGAATAGACCGATAGGTGACTTCAACTTTATTCCCTGTTCTGGCCTCGTAGGCCTTGTAGATTTCATTCAGTGACTATGTACAGCACAGAAATAAGGTGAGCAAGTGAGAAACAAGAGAGAGTTCATGGCTGCTTACGGCGCGTTCGCCTTCGATGTGAAACGCGCGCCATTCCAGCTCGGAAGGCGGCATGGTAGTGAGGACGTGTACCAGGAAGGAAGCCACGTCTGACATCGAGGTCCAAGAGATGGGAGTGTTTCCGTCTCCGCCTGCGATACCTTTACCGTTGGCGAGGTCAATACCCATGAAGCTAATCAATATTCGACAACAATAGCATGAGTAACCAAACCACCGGATGATATGAAGCGAGTATGACTGACGGGGTCAGACCTGTGTCCATCAGCACACCGCTGAAGATCAGGGTGTACGGAAGGTCAATCTCCTTCAACTTCTCCCGAAAGGCAACTTTGTAGGCAAGAGTTCCTTCTTGTGGGTTCCCTGTTGAGTTGCCGAACTCGGAGGGGACGAAGAGTTTCACGCCTGCAGCTTTAGATGCCTCGGCAAGGGCCTGCTGAGATGCAAGGGCGACACGGCCAAATGTTGATATGACAACATCGACGCCATGTAGAGCGTTCGAAAGAGAGGACGGGTCGTCGTAGTCGACCGCGGCTATAGTTGCGCCTTTGCTCGCTAACCCATCGATCTTGACATTCTTGGACGACTGAGATGTAAACAAAAGATAGTTTTTATCAGTGTTCTTGATAACGGGCAAGGGGTATGTTGGTAGCTCACCGAACGGGTGAGGATCGTAACGTCCTTGATCGTACCGGATGCCTTCGCTTGAAGGAATGCATTGGCGACGAACGTTCCGACCAAGCCAGCTCCTGCGATCGCGAAGGATGAATATGCGGACATATTCGGATAGCAAAGATGTGCAAGTAGGAGGCTGAGTGCAGTTGTAGAGCCATAAATACCTTTCAGGCCTGACTGATATAACAATGCATGCCGATCATAAGATCAAGTGCTTTCAAAGCCTGTTTCAAGTAACGTGCGAACTCGTAGAATCGCAAGGTCACTGTACTGATAAATGGAAGTTGTGTCTGGCAGAGCCTGTCAATAACCCTTAGTTCCGACGGAGAAGATGTGGGTCTTCTACAACTGAGATGAGCGAGCTTTATAATGTGTGCAGTCAATCCTGAGTCATGTGTCAGACTGAGTTGATAGGGTGAGAATCTCAGAGGAGTGGGCGGAGAACTTTTGCGATGGTGCGACAGACACAAATAGGTGACACCAACGTTCAAGACTTGGTTCACGTAGAGCGGCGCAGTACGGTGTGCATGAGCCAGCCCCGATCTAGATTGTCCCGAACCAAGAGGACATTGGAACAGTAGGTGCATCTCCACCGTATACAAAGAACAGACCTGTATGAGCCATGCTGCATTCCTGTATTAAGATCTAGGTCAACAGTGATCAAAACCGAAAGACGGCGGGCTCGATTCACGCCGAGACCGTACGTACCTACAACTTCTTCCAATCAAAATTCTGTTCAAACGCATACGCAAACTTATACATCGTGAGCTCGTCCCAAAACTTCCCCACCAACTGCGCCGCCGCCGGCAGCTTCACGTCCTCGTCCCCGTCCAACGAAGGCAAAAATCCCACCGGCATACTGAGCGCAGGGTGTCCTGTGATATCGAAGGTACAAGTGTTCCCAGTGATAGAGTACGCCTTCGCGCCAGCCTCGATGCTGTCTGAAGGTAGTTTGCGAGCCACGCTTTGGACCGTCGGAAGGAGAAGGGCATCGACAGTGGAGAGGGCACGGTTGTATGCCCCTCGAACGGCGAGAGCGAGGTTCGTCGCCTTTCCAAGGATGGTCGGATGAGATTCCCATAGATACTTTCCGCTGAGGTAGAAGCCCTTCGCTCGAGTAGAAAGCTATCGGCGAGGATACGAGACGCCGTCAGCGGGACGGAACCGAACGCGATAAGCCCCTGTGGCGCGCCACACACTCACCTGCTCGAACCTTTCCGGCGAATCCCACCCTTGCATCTTCTCCTGCAGATCAGTCAACTGCAGCCCGACCCTCCCGTTCGTACTTCCTTCGAACACCTCCTTTGCACACCCCATATGCGAAATAATATGCCATACCGCAGACCCCAGCACGCCATGCTCTGGCACACTAACATCGACTATTTCCGCCCCGAGCTCTTCGAACCTCTTTGCTGTGTCTTTGACGGCTGAGACCATGGCCGGATCGATACCAGGAACTTCGAGCCCTTCTTTGAGGAGGCCAAGTTTCATGCCGGTGAGAGGTTTGGGGTTGGAAGGCGACACTTTGGCAGAGAACGAGAGAAGGGAGGTATGGTAGGATGGGAGCAAGGAGGTCGGTGGACAGTTGACTTGACGATCGTCGATACCATCTGTGCCAGCAGTTACTTGAAGTAGGAGTGCGTTATCGAGCGCCGTCCTCGTCATCGGTCCTGGACAAGGACATAAGCTAGAGACCTCGACTAGAACCGGTAAAGTATGAACGAACCTGTGTGGTCTACCGAAGGATCCAATGCTGCGATCTGCAAAATTATCGAGTCAGCCCTTGAGTGTTGGAAAAGCCCAAAGCTCGACTTACTCCAGTGTAGGGAACGAGTCCTCGTGTTGGCCTTCAGGATTATAAAATTAGCTCGGGAGCCCAAAAGCAGACAACTGCCTGACTCACTTCAGACCATAAACTCCACACCAAGCCGCAGGCAACCTGATACTTCCACCTTGATCTCCCCCCATCCCCATCTCCACCTCGCCACACCCAATCAGACTCCCACACCCAGAACTCGATCCCCCAGCATTATATCCCTTCGCCCAAGGATTATCCACCGGGCCTGTCGCCGCTGTCGCCGAAACCCCACTCAACGAGAAATTCTCGCATACCGCCTTTCCGACGATAGTTCCTCCAGCTTCGAGGATACGGGTGGCGATGGTGGCGTCGGTCTTCGGAATCCAATCCGTGAAGTTTGCGGTGCCCATGAGGCAAGGAACGGCGGCGAGGGTGATGTTGTCTTTCAAGATAATGGTGCGGCCTGAGAGAAGGCCGTTGGCGATGGGCGGGTTGGCGACGACGGTGCATTTGTGGGCCCAGGCATTGTTGGTATTCTCGGAGGGTGGCGGACGGGTGATAGGGCCTCGAGGGAAGCGTTCAAAGTCCACTGGAGGAAAGTATTCTGCAGTTTGTCTTTCAGTAAAAACACGAACAACTCCAGTAGAAAATGAGAGTCACTTACCTGGAGCTTCTTCGACTGCCTTGACATGCAGTTGGAATGCGTCGAGAACACCTTCGAAGAACTTGTCCTCGCCTGGACGAAATGTCTTCTCGGTATAACGTGACAAGAACTCAGCAGTAGAGATGCTCATGGTGGCCTAGTGAAAGATATAAACCAGCGGCAGCGAAAGGGGAAAAGGTCGAAGGTTATCTTAAGACAAGGATGTCGCATTTATATGGCGGGTCGCCGCCGGTCAAGCGAGGGTGTGAGCGTCGGAAAGGTCATTCGTCGTCGATAACCGATAACACGACCTCTACTCATGAGTAGTATCAGATCCATCGGACGCTATGGTTCTGCTCCGTCCCGTAAGACTTATTCCAAGATAGTTCATTCGGCTTCTGTAGAAAAGAAGCTCATACGTCGCAGTGTATGTCGAGCTCAAATGAGAAGCTGAGATGCGTTACAATCACCAATCGTGAGTGGCCGCTGAGAACGATGACGACATCGCCATTTATATGGATGCAGCTGAGAGGGTTTGAAGACAAACGGGGAGACACTCTGAGAGAATCCAGCAGGACCAATACTCGCGACCACCCCAGACGGTGGTGTTCTGCGGTCTCTCACGAGGATCGAGCAGACATAGAGGCGAACGGAGAGGCAATAAATACTCCATTCGTAACCATCCCATACGAGTAGAAAGGTAATAACTTAACCAAGAATCATATGGAGCCCCAGAGGTACCTCCAGAATCCAAAACAAATGTTAGCAATTAAACCAACGACCAAACCCATTTGCATCCGCCGTCTAATAAAGTAAAGCCCGATGTCAGGACAGCCACACATTTGTCAAGATAGAAAGTAGAAGATCAGCGTACGAAAACACAACGCTTCCCATCCCCTCCACTGCTTCCCCGTTGTTCCAAAACACGGCCGTAGTTTTGGACTCCCGGAAGAAGAATAGGGGCATGAGTGGAAAGAAGAATCCGACGAGAATCCCATGTAGCATAGCGGAGCTGGCGCTAGCACCTGATGAGCTCTGGGATATAGATGCTGTGGCCGGATTGTCCATGGAATCTATCCACTGCTCTTCGAGAGCGCGAGCATGTTCTTCGTCTGTGGTAATTCAATGAGCATGGCCAGAGGTGAAGGTGTGCAGTTGAGTAATTATAGTGGGTACACTTACACGCTTCTTCATTCTCGAACTCTTCTGTCGTTGAGAGGTAATCTGTCGAGGTTCGAGAGTGGAATTGGCGCCTGAAATTCGCGATGTCCAATTCTGAGAAGCCTGCAGAAGCTAAACGGTCAAACCCTCTGAGCGGTTTTAGCTGTGCCTCCTGCATAAAGCAAACGTAGCCAGGTCAGAATAAGATGCAGCATCCGCACGCAATCTTAGTTATGATAAATAATCGATGAGGATGTGTCCAGAGGTCGGCAGCCTCTCCATCATTTAGATGACGGATGACACGTCGTTCGCGAACAAGAACGCACCTGCTGTTTCAACTCATCCTCCGTCTCTCCTTCCTCCATCTTCGGCCCAACAGAGCAGTGTAACCATGCTATACTACTCGCTGCCGCCTTCGTCGCATCTCCATCTCCATTTCCATCTCCTTGGCCGTTTTCTGCCCCACCACCGCCCCCATCCAGCCTCGTCCCTTCCCTTACTCCAGACCCTCCCAGCACTTCCAGGTCTTCGTCCCCGGCACTCACTCGTGCAGCATTAGCTCTCCGTTGTCGTTCTTCAAGAGAAGCGAGCCATGAGTACAAGAAAGTCCCGTCCGTGAGTAGTCGTCCGGATTGAATGAGGCGCAAGCGCCGGTCTTTGAGTTGCGGGCGAGCTAAGCGAATCTGCACACGCCAACGATTTGAGTACGTTTGTCTAGAGTGAAGTGGTATTTCGGAGAATAAAGAAAGGGCGCACGTTGTTCTTGACGTCTCGTACAGAGTCCTTCTTCGCGACTCGAATGGTGAGGTCTGGGACACCTTCCGTGAACCGAACCATGAGGTCGCGTGAAGGCGGCTCTTCGACGGGCTCGACGGCGCGCTGCTTTCCCTTCGCCTTGTCGCTGAGACCTTTAGACATATTGAGAATGCTATATATTCTGCAAGACTAATGAGAAACGAGGATGAACATAAGGAATTCCAAATAGCGTTGAGTAAGGAGATGATGGTAGGGGTGAGAGTGGAATGAGGCAAAACGAGTGGCGAGCCGAACGACGGCGGTTCGTGCGAAATTGGTGCGAAATGTGGCGCTTGTCTACGAACTCCATGAGTTTATCGATGACGGTCAGATTTTTGAAAAGTTCTCGGGCAACGATCATTCGCAAGGGATCCCAATAGAGTAAACATCGAGAATAAGAGATAAGAGAAGTTTATATGTAAAAAGACACATAATGTGGCGCTGCGTATGTGTAGCGACACGGGCAATGTACACGATCCAGGCAAAGTATGAAATGGAAGAGGCTATGAAGTACAAAGTAAAGGCCAAGCCGCAGCAAGTACGCTACTTCTCGGTGCAGATAAAAATCTATAAATCTCTCCCGACTCATCCACTGTGGATTCCCGCCCCCGTGGCCCTCTTCTTATTGGCCATCAGAATCTCCTGCAACTGTTCACGCTGACGCTTGTTGTCCACCGTTTCTTCACTTATCCACAGTCGCTCAAGGCGATCTTTGGATGGCTGGTCTTCCCCCCAATCACTATCTGGCATATCTAGGAATCTCTTGAATATCGCGATGACCTCGTCTGAAGTGCTGAGCGTCGCTCTCGCTCGTTTTTGGTCATCGTTGTAGAGCTCCCATTGCTTCTGCACGCCTTCCTTATCCGCATGATCCACAGTATCTAGTTGCTCAGGACGACTAGTGTAGAGCTTGGCGAATACTGTCCGAAGCTTGTTAATGAGGCGGGCAAGGGCGACGGGAAAGGACGCCGTGATGACCTCGGGCGGTAGGGTCTTGCTGCTGAGGAATGACTCTTTGCCTTTGCCACCGGAATGGACACCTCGAGTGACACGAAATTTGTCAAAGAGCTCTTCCATCTCCGTAGCGAGGTCTTCATCGCTCAGGGAGCTTTTTTGATACCGGAAAGCTACATAGAGTAGGACGTAGAGACTTGATTCGAGGTCGTCAGCACGCTCGTGATCCTTAGCAGGATCCTTAAGAAGAAGACCAGATATAAACTGCCAGGCTCCCTACATAACTGAAGTTGAATACGGGATGCGAGACTTGAATAGAGGAGTAAAGAATGGACATACCGATCGGCATAAACGTCGACGATGGAGAGGAGTAAGGGCCGGAAACCAGTATTCGTCGTCAAAGTGTCGTACTTTGGAGGAAGAGGAGCGAGATGCGCGCGTCGGCGCGAGGTCACCTGCAGAGGAAGCCGAGGACGATGAACCGGGTTTGAGATATTTCCTGATAGCCACTTCGTCTTGCTCGTCTTCGAGGGTGTTTCCGGGTCTCGGCACCTGCCTGGCAAGATCCCAGTCGATCAACAAGCCGTGGCCATCTTCGCCGATGAGAATATTCCCAGGACTGATGTCACGGTGAAGGATTCCAAATTGGTCCAGAGCTACCCGGTGGACTACAGATATTCAAGTCAGTGTCAGCGGAAACGTTGATGGAAAGGCAAATATAAACAATGACAGACCTCGCAGTGCTTCGTAGATAGCTTGACAGACCTCCTTGATATGCCTGAACTCCCACAGATTATGGCCGATCTCGCGGAACACCAGGCGGTAATGCTGATGGCGTTGCAGTCCCTCCGTTCGGAAGCACCACCACTCGTCCTTATAGTCTTGCGTAATGGTAGCTTGCCCAGGGACGTCGCCGTCGCACAATAACGTGGGTACGAAGGGCTCCACCTCATACGCTTTGAGCCTCTCTTTTAGCCGTCGGTAAGTATCACCTTCGCGCTCGAACTCGGGCGTGTCGATACGCCAAGTGTCCTTGAGGTATACCAGACGCTTTTCGGTGACACCGTACGCAAAGAAGCCGCGAGTACCGCGGCCGAGGGGAGAGCGAACGGACCAACGAGGATTGCCGGCGATGTAGATGCGTGTTTCGCGTAATGTGGGATCTCGAACCTCGAACTGGCGGAGGCTCTGCTTCGAGTGTGGCGGGATACCGAACTTTTGAGTAAGAAGCTCCCAAGCCGCATCCTTGTGTGCTTTTGTGGCTGGGGATATCGTCGGGTCTATACCGCGCTCGCTGTCCGAAAGACCGTCAAAAAGCCAAAGGAATTTACCGAACTTCTCAGGGTGGTCCAGGACGTCGATCCGCTCGGTGACGATGACGCCGACCTGGTCCCATCGGAGGACGCGCACGTATCGGTTTCCTAGAATGAGAAGAGCGAAGCAGTGGGTGCGGTCTTGGCATTCGCGCATGGCAACACAGTACGAAATGACCTGGCCGTATGTCTTCATTGCCTCGTCGGTGCATCTGTAAAATGTCTGCTCCTTTCGATCCTTATCCTTCCCGCCGACCGGTGTGTCACGAAACGGGTCCTGTTGCTTTTCCTTACGCTCTGCGGGGAGGATATTCTTACTCCAGTTGCAGTAATTAGGTGTGGTGCCCTTCTTCGCGTATACAGAGATGTCGACCTTTCTTGCAGGTCTATATTTCGGGTCAGGACGAGTCGTCGTGTTGACGAATTCCAGATTCTGGCAGAGTCCTGAGTCCTTTACGGCCGTGATCTACATAAAATTCCCCCAACAGCGCACGATTCAATTTGAAGTCAAACAAAGATCATGGTGAAAGAACATACGAACTGATCCTCCGTGTAACCTATGTTCCGGAGCTCTTCCGACTTGGTACGAAACCATTTCTCTCCCGGGACACGCTTATGGGCCGGCATGTAGCGGGCGAGAAAGTCGTCGAAAGGCATAGGGCCTACTGTAACATCCTTCATCTCGTTGGCCATCTCGCGATATTCTGTGTCGCGTGCTACAAGAGCAGGGCTGGCCGCGAAAGGCTGAGCGCTTGACTTAGTACGGCGGCGAGGAGTGGTCTTGCAGCCGCTGTCCCCGGGAAGGACTGTCGTAGAGCTGCCAGCAGCATTGGAAGACGCCATATTGTTGAGCCAGGGTACGTTGATACCACAGAGAAAGTGGAAGAATCCCAGAGCAAGACGAGCAGATAGAAGAAGAAGGGCGAGGGCGCACAGGGGGTACGCCCAAAGGGGCCAGGGCAAAGAGGTGTAAAGAGACATACCAGCGAAAGTGCGGGAATTTGTATTACGAAGACAAAAAGCAACTCGCGTGCCTGTGTCACTGTGTCTTGTGTCTGCGCTTGGACCCGGATGTTGACAAACGAAGGTGTTCGGCAATTGGCGGCCGCGCGTTCAATTGAACATCGATGGGTTCGGCAAATGCCGATGCCTGGTTTGGCGAAGCCATTGTACGCTCTTATTTGGGAGTTCGTGTATGATCCCTTGGCTTTAATGATCTTTGAGTGAACTCAGGGGCTTGTGGTGCAATCGGATATGGTTACAACGCGCACAGGCTCTCTCATTGACGCGACCGCTCCAAACGGTCCCCCAATAGCAGTGCCACAGTTTGCGGTGGAACCGTGATTTTCCCCCCTGAAGTAGCCTTAAAGTACTAAGCACTGTAGGCAGACGTAGCAGATAACACGGTGAGCGGCCCGAAAGTATGAAAAGAAGATATCTATGAAAACAAAATCTAGGGCGGGTCGTATAGTATAGGAGCACCCAGGTCAAGCGTCTGAAGCTACTTCGTAGTCGACCAGTTCGAGCGGTGTCCTCAGCACTAGCTGTTCGTGCGAGGTTGAGAAGAACACGAAATCTTTCCGATGAACCGGTTCCGCGATTTCGTGCCTATTCGGAGCCTATAATCAATACGACGACATGATGGTGGACTGGTTCGTGAAACGTACGTCTCCATAATATGCTCTATCACTCCATCATATGTCCAGCCGTCGTCGACACCGATACCTGTCAGCGTCTCCGAATCCGGTAAGGTAGATGCCGATGCGTTGTCACAGTGTTGGCAATACCACGCAGGTGTGTGAACGAACTCGGAAGACGCAATCGTCCTTTCCCTAGCCTTGACAGCATTCGCTTCTGCCGAGTCAAGTAGGCGCCAGCTAGGGATAGGTGACCCGTTCGACAACGAATGTGTGTGCATTGATACATCGTGTTCAACCTTATCAGGGGGAAAAACACTGTCAGTTGAGAGTATAACAATTGGGTATCGGCCGTAAAGCGACATACGGCAGTCCTCCACGTATGTACCTTCGCTCCTTCCCAACTTCCCCCGTTAACGCGATGGCAATTCAAGCAGAGGAATCGATGATCCTTTTCATCCATTTTTTCCGCAGTTATCCCCCGGTCCTCTTTTACTAGCCTGATGATTTCCTCCGCGGATTTAGACCCCCACTGGCAAAAGTAAGGGTGTTCGGAAGCCGTTTTGTTTCGAAGGCAGACGTCCCGGGAGATGAGTATCGGACCGTCATGACGGTCCGACCAGAAAACCGATATAGCGAGATCGAGGGCGCCCATGTTGAGAGTGAGTTTGCGGCTCACTGCGCCGTCATTGCTGTATTCCCGAAGGACGTCGCATACATCGGGCTGCATCACCAGGTTTTGATGGGCCGTCGGGAGAAAAATGCCATCGTCACAATGGTATGTTGTGACCCACTGTTTCAGTTTCTCGAGGATCGGTGGTATGAGCTCCTCGATGCTCATCTTCTGAATTGGAATCTTGGGAGGAGGTTTATAGAAGTGCCTGTTAGGGAAATGTTCGGGGGAGGGAAGGCAGCACCAGTCCGATGGACGGATCCTCTGTCGGCACAAGCAGTGATATCCGATTCTGGCGTTTTTCCAGATCTGAGCTTGAGCCACTTCTCGTTCCTTCCGAACGTTGTGAAGGCGAAAGCAAATCTTCGGGCAAATACCGACCCATTCTGGAAGAAGTAAAAGAACCACTTTGTTTGTGCGATGATAAAGCGTAGATTCAGATACCGCTTACCTTCCTCCGACAGAGGTTTTATTGATTTGACGCACTCAATGCTTAGAAGAAGCTCATTGGTGATAAATTCACGATCGGGGTGGCGTTCTTGTATGAAGCGAACGCGGATGCTGCACAAAGATGAGTGTCACAAAGAGACTCGCACATCGATAGCTGAAAGGATACTCACGCTCTGAGTCTGGCAGCCTGAAGCTTGCGGCATTTGATGACCCACGCTCTCATGCGATCATCCAGCTTCACACAAAACAGTCAGCACCCCGACCTTCGCAATGACAAGAAAGGGGAAAACATTAGAAAGGAGGAGGACTTACTTCGTTCAAGGCTTCAACGGCCTTTTTCCTTTCACTGACAAATTTCTGTAATGCACGCTTGGATCCTCTCTTCCCCCTTATGACAGCTTGTGTATATTTTGAGAGGAGGGCGATAGTCCCATCTAGATCTTTGCGCTGGTATTGGACTCCGTACCCCGATGCTGTCAGAGGAGGAAGACATCTTCAGTTACGAACGAGACTGCAACAATAATTGGAGCGCACTGGGTTCCCCGCAACAGGCGACTAATTGCCATACAGTATCTTCGGTGCGACTTTTCTTCAACCCATAATCATTCTGCGAGGTGAGGCTAAATCACGAAGCAGTGCAGAGATGAGCGCGTATCCAGGAAGACGAGGGGGAAGACTAACCATGTGCGCTGGCATTCGTCACAGAAGCGAGAAAGAAGCGACCAACAAGGCTCTTTAGGGGTGGACTGGACACATTTCTTGTAATGGAAGAACAGTCAGCGGTCAATATCAGATTCATCAAACAGCGAAATGGAGCTCACAGAACAAAACTGATCGTATATCAATGCAGCTAGCATTGGCTCTGCAACGACGGTGGGTGGGTCTGGGATGGGTAAGAATATTGTCTGCCTACTACTCTTCCAAACGGTTATGCTTGAACGCGACATGAGAATCTCGCGCAAGCTTTTAGAGGTGCGAGCAAGGCTTAATAGTCCATTCGGCGATCCGTATCTACAAATCTATCATATTGGCCGAATGTCGATGCGATATATATAAGCGGCCATGATCAAGAGATAATGGAAGAGCGTACCTCGAAAACTATGTCAGCCGGCATATTTGACAGGTTTGCCTTGATGATCTCTGGGGCTTGCACGTCTATTTCGTCTCCTTCTTCATCATGAGCGATGTCTACGGTCGTACACGTCGTAGAATTTGCGAGACTTCGGTGCTTGAGAGGACGTTCTCCTGGAGCGAAAAGCCACGGCATTAGTGTCTTCGGTCATAAATGAGATCGCATACGGAGACGAAACGCACCAGAAGTTGAACGGCCTCTTTTTCTCCTGTTACGAATATTGGACGCGTGAACGGCATCGAGAGCAGTGCTGGAGATCGTGTCTGAGTTACTCGAGCTACTCGGACTGGCACGAGTGCGTGTGCTAATGTCGCTGTTTGTGTCCGGATCGGGACGACGGGACATGGTCGAACGAGTTTTTATTCCAGACATAGAGAGGGATTGGTTGTGTGAGAGTTGGGGAGATATAATTTCGATGCGAGGTGGTGGTTGAAAGCAAGATCGTAGTGAGGGCCAAAGCAAGTTGAAGCACGACGCGCCAAACAATGTGTCAACAAAGACCCTGACACGGGGGCGTTGGGTGGCGTCGGTGTCTGTGGCCCAGTGCCCATTACAAGTTGACAGCTGTTGACAGCGTGACCTATAGCTCAAAGTATGGCTGTCTTCGAGTCGTTCCGACGATTCTGAGGATGGAATATATATATGATAACATACGGATGCCATCTTTGAGTCACTACTCATGGCCTGCGGCCTTGTTGTGTCCTCAGCTTACCATTCACCAGCGCAGTACCTCGTCGAGTCTGAATCTACGAACACAGGTCATATCCCAACTGAATGATGCGATACCGCATAGTGTGTCTCGCCTTGACCCCGACACCATCAGCCTGTATGAACTGACGAAAGTATGAGAGTCGGAAGGATAGAGGATAGAGTTATGACAGAGACAGCAGCCTGTCGGATAGTGGGGCGGTACCAGTATAAGATAGAATATAAGACGTACGAAGAACATGACAGCAACTCTAAATTCATCGACTGCCATATACCTCGCGAATACTCGTATCCCCGTCAGCGCCGCTGAAGTAAAAATGTCAATGACGTGAGCTCACCTTCTACTTTCATCATCTTCTCATACTCTTATGACATCCTACAGTATTGCCCGATAAATTGCATATATAATCATCGCCTCCTCGACTACAGAGATACATATCACGAAGCCTAACAAGACTGCAGAGCTATGGAGTCAGCGTTCTGAGCCACAGCTCCAGTCGGATGAGCTGAGTGCAGCCCACGATCTAAACATAAAAGAACTCATCACATCCGGCTTGAATTGACGGATATCAAGTCCAAACTCAACAAAGCCAGTTTCTCGGTAGACATTCAAGTGGCGAGGATTCGACTCCATCCACTACAGTTGATATGGACGCACAGAGTCACTGGAGAGTCTTTTCGAAATGCAATGCCACGATCGGCTACGTACTAGGCTAGTGCCTCCAATTCTAAATCCTCATCCTCATCCATCTTGCCGTAGTACGCACTAGCCCCTGCGGACGCTCGACCCAAGCCCAGAGCCTAGAGAGAGAAGGGGAAGTCGCTTCAAAGACATGGCAAGTGACGCCAATGTGAGAGCAGGAATGGAAGACGAGGTCGGCTTGCCAGATCGTAGGGATTATCATGGTCGAGCCGTACATAAGTACTCGAATGCAACTCGAATGAGAGCTTGTACTAACTTCGAATTCAGAATTTTCACTCGCAGACGCGAGCAACCATGTGCAAACATGTGCAACCTGATCTCGACGCCACATGCGGTTGTGAGTGACCAAAGCACACCGCTACAAGTGCAGACCCACCACCACACCTACAGTTCTCAGCTTTTTCTCAGCTTGTAACTTATCCTCATGACATTCACCAATTCGAAAGACACAATTCCTGACTCAACGAAACGCTTCCCAGATGAACAGGACGAACAGCCAACTGCAGGTCCTAGCCTGCCACCCCCACCAACATTCGAAGAAAGCGCGAAGGACGACGTGATACTCAACTTCAGTGACGATCCAGATGCATACGTACCAGCTGGAGGTGAAGAGCCTCCGCCGTCCTTCGCACCTTACAACGCTGAGTTCTTCGTCGCGAGCGATGGGTCAATTGTCTCGCATGATCCTCATTTGAACGACGACGGTGCGTATCACGCTTGCTTTCTCATCACAAGAAGTATATTGAATGGAACTACTTAGTGTAGGTGAAGCCCTATATCGCTTCCTTCTCTCCCAACTGTCTACACCACCCTCCTACCTCTTACATTGCAAAGCCACACATACCGAACACCGCACCCGCTTCGTCCACGAGTCCGACCCTTCGAATCCCAATTCATCGCAGACGAAGACCGAATCCTACACCGAAGAAGTCACAGATTTCGACTTTTACATCGACGCGACTCCAGCTCTCGTTCCGAATTCGGTCGTACAATGGACGGTAGGAGATGAAGTGCCAGCCTATCGAGGTACGATGGTGAAGGAGGTTATTGTAGGCGGGGCTCGGAGGAGGGCCACGAGGGTAGAGATTAAGAGGACGAAGGAGTGGGACAAGGAGAGGATTGCGATGGGATTGCCGCCGTGGGTCGCACCATGGCCAGAAGAACATGGGACGAATGGATCTGGAGAAGAGGAGCAGAGCGCGTTGTTGGGGGAGAGGGGACGGGCGCGGGATGTGCTTAATTCGTCGTGGACGCTTCGACAATGGGGGGACGACTATTGCTCTAGTCCGAAATATCTCAAGGAGTTCACATACGAGAAGGTAACGTCCCTCCCTATTCTTCTTCGTCGCTGCCGTTTTGTTCAATATTTCCTTTGGATAACTACATAGGTCGTCTACGGCTGGAACACCGACATCCTCACCCGCGCCATCCGTTTCGCCATCCTCTCCATCAGACCCCACTACACCCCCTCCCCACTCTCCAATTCCCGGCTCACAATCTCCTTCCTAACCAGCAACTCCCGCATCTCCATCCGCCCCTCCACATCCCTCTCCCGTGCCCTCTCCAACCCCTGCCTCAAATTCCTCCTTATAATAACGCTCATATACCCCTTCATCTACCTCTTCAAACTGTTTCACGAAAGTGGAGGCGGAAAGTGGGAGGTCGGAGGGGCGGCGTATGCGCTTAAGCGATGGACTTCTGTGCCTGCACCGGAAGGAGAGGGGGGAGATGGGAGCAGGAGGGTTATGCAGGGGACGAGGGAGGGCGAGTGGTTTGAGAGATGGGAGGGGACGATTAGGAGGGCGGTGGCGGAGGGTAGGATCGATAGAGTCCCGGTTCAAGAGCCGAATGCTGCTGATGCGACGACAGGATTCACGAGGCGGCTGGTATGATTGACCCGGACGCTCTTCGGTTTTCTTTCTTTCTTTGACAGAGGTGGCGAGGCCCGTGTTGTAAGTTATGATGTACAATAGTTCGCGAACATTTTGTTCGAAGTACGATGTCTGTACCAACACTTGAGGACCTAATGCATCGCCTGAGACCACCATTGAAAGGTTTCGGACAAAGAGGTCCAAGCGGAAAAATACAACGAACTGCCATTCGTAAGATACAGAGGAAGAGGCGGAGGCGGAGGCGGAGGAGGAGGAGGAGGAGGAAGAAACGGAGGCGGAGGAGGCTGAGGCTGTGGAGGGCGACGGGGCTGGTTGTGCCCATTGTCGGGAACGCGAAGAAGACGAAGGGCGCTGAGGAGAGGCAGACCAGGTCGATCTCTGGTAAGAGCGTCACATCTTTCATCCTTCTCATCGTAGCGGATTGCTGATGTCCAGCCCGAACCCAGCCTACAAAGCTTTTTTCGCCGCTACTCGCCTATGTACTACATACAAACAATGACCATCGCGATCTTCCGTCAAAGTCACTCACAATAGTACTGAACGTACACAAATTCCTACAATACGTACGCACATATTTCGCATGAGTTCGCCGCAGTTCTACATATGGACAGTCAAGCAGCCATGTCCGGCTGCATCCACGATACCATTGCCTGCACAGATGTAAATGCTGGGGCGGAATCGCGAAAAAGAATCCATCCGTGTCCCGCCTCCGAGCACTCAAGCCTTGGCAGCAGCATCCGACTCCGGGATATACGAAACTGTGGGTATCCCAGGCTCTACTGTCCCACAGTATGGCATGTAGACTACGTCATTCTGCGAAGGATCAGGAATACCATGCCTAAGCAAGTATCGAAGCATTAGTTTAGTAGAACGAGAGCTGAGGAAGAATCGTGCCCTCACTCAGATCTAACATGCTCCACGGCGCTCTGTCTATTCCACGATGTGTTGATATATTCTTGTATGTTCAATTCCCCAGGCGAGTGACGATACAAGATCGGTTTGCGCAATACACAGTGCTGGCAGTGCCAGTAACACTCATTAGCGTGGGGTGCGTTTGCGATCGATCCTTCCCGTTCCTTGATCCCAATGGCTTCCGTGGGCGGGACCAGCTTCCATGCGGGAACTGCATGCGTAGACTTTGGGGCTCTCAGTTGGTGTCCGACCTGGGCAGAGTGAAGGACATCAATCAAGTGACGAGATGGCTACGTTCGAGATGGGTATCACACGTACCGCGGACCTCCAGGTCTCTGCTTTCGTATCGCCCGCGCCGCAACAGCTGAGACAAAAGAATCTATGGTTGACTGCATCGAAATCGACTGCAGTCGTCGTCTTCGGGTCTAATCCAGCCAGTTCCAGCATCTGCAGCACGGCTCCTGATCCAAGAGATGAAAACTCGAGGGGCAAGGGGCCCTTCCACGCATTACACATATCTCTCGCCACCAAGACCTTATGGATTTGGAAGATAGCCAGGGCAAGCTCCAATGGCCCCAGGAAAGGACGCAGCTCGCCGTTAGATCGACCTTGACGAACGTCATCGACGGAGGAAGAGGTGAGGGTTGTGGGGATCATGGAAGCAGTGGGGGGCAAAGCGTCGCGATATTCCTCTGGCAACAGGGCGATATGGGCATCCCTCTTCTCTCGAATCCATGCTTCGACGGAGGACGGAAGGTTCGTCAGCGGAAGGTCAAAATCGGCGTCCAGGAGCTCAGTTTCTAAGTTTTGTTCGATGATCTCTGCGCACCAAGGAAGACGACAGGCTTGTTCCGGAGTGGGCAGGTAGAGCCACTCTGATGGAAGGATACGACTGCGATAGTCAGCATAGAGACATATGGCCTTTTTGATGCGAATGAAGCGCGTATGACTGAACCTGGCGTCCAAGCGTGCATCTCGCCGTTTCTGACAATAATCTTCTAGTCCGGGTCTGATCTGTTTCCAGCCTGGTAAACCGGAAATCGTCATGAGCGGTCATCCTCGATCAGATTTACATGTCAAGGAAGAGACGGAAGAAAGAGATGGTTACCGCGCTCTGTGAGTGGCTTAGTCGAATCAACTGCGCCGAGCTCTTCAAACCCATAGGAATCGACATCCTCTCTGTCGTAACCTAAAGCGAGGAGGCGCGTCTGGATCCTAAATATCGTCCGATACGGTCAGATTCCTAGTCCAATACAGAAACAAAAGTTGACTTACGCTTTGAATCGAGCATTTTTAGCTTCATACACTTCATTAATCCGGTAGGTCTCGAAGTCAGAATACCATTGGTCCAAGTCTTTGCAACCCTGTATATCTCGAACGTTAGTCAGGCAAGAGAAGATCAAATAAGCAGACGTTTACCTTCATGAAGAGCAAAGTCGCCTCGGCCGCTTCTGTGTCCAATTTAGTTAACGCAGCCATCGCGCCGACTTTCCACATGTTAACATCTTTGAGAAGTTTTTCGCGGTGTTCCACCATGCTCTCGAGATCGCTTCTCCAAAAATACCTTTTCTTGTTCGGGGGGTGTCCTCGTCCCGATATTCCAACTTTGCGGTAATACACCCGTTAGTGTAATTTATCTTGGATGGAGAAGGTTGACGTACTGTGAGTGTAAGAGAGCAGCTTCAGAACGTCAGGGTCTGTGTCCGGATACTCTTCCTTGAAACGGCCTTCAAAAACGTAGCTAACATAGCGAAGAGGGCAACAACACTCAATATTAGCGACCTATTCATCGATGGTAAAAAAGAAAGCTTTACTTCGATTTCTTGCAGGCTATGCAAAGACGGCGTTTGAAGCACCATTCAACACTGTGAGCGTTTTTGGTGTTGCATTCCTGGCTCATGAGATAGTCGTTACTAAGATGGTCATACACAACATGAAGAGAAGAAACCTACGGTGCAAGCCCGTACAAAAGCTAAAGCTGCCCATTCTGGTTCTGAGAACTCGATTGGAAGATCCCAATGAAGGTTCGCTTGATGTAGAGATCGCCTTGCAAATCTCCACACGCTGATACTGCTACGAGACATCAGGATCTCACGCAGGCCTTTGCTCGTTCGAGCGAGACTGAGGAGATCAGCTGGCGACAAGAGCATGCAGACCTGCGGCCAGAGCATGTTCAGGTCAGTTCGAGTCTGCTCGATATCAAGCATCCATAGAGCGTGCATACCTCGTAGAAGATGTCCAGGGGCATGGTCAGCATATTCTGCAGTTTCCCTCTATTACCACGAAGCTTCGTCTTCGTACCATTCGTAGCTGGCTTCACCGCTGTATCCTTTCTCTTGCGGGTGGCCTTGCTCTTTGAAGAAGGCTCCACTTTATGACGCTTCGCGGGACGTTTGCCTGTAGTGGAACAAAGGCAGACGTTAGCCTGAGCTGCATGCACTTCCTGCACCGCCGGTCCTAGCTAAGGCGAAAACGCACCAGAAGCAGCATAATCGTCCTCATCATCTTGTTCTTCACCGTATTCTCCTTCTTCATCTGAGTCGTCTACAAAACCCTCACTGTCCTTGGACGCTTTGGCTTTGGTGCTAGCCCGCGCTCTCTTGCCAGTGAAGACCTGTGGCCCCTCTAAATTATTCAGGTCGCCATCAGCTTCATCATCATTGTCAGTAGAGCCGACAGGATTACGAGGAGGTGGCAAGTTGCCAGTTCGCCGACGTGTTACCGCAGGCATTATGTAGTAGGAATGAGGACGAGGTGGTTGAGAGCAAGTTAAAAGACACGCTTCCGAGTCCGTTCGACACGCGTGGACAAACAACGCGTAAACAAAGGCGCCACAATTTAGGAGACGTGGCGGGGCATGACTGCGGAAGTGTGGCCCACCACTCTCTTTACAATTTCGTTTTTTGCATCGTCCGAGGTCTCTATGCCACTAGGTCCAGTCGACGCTCACGTAGAGAGCATAGGGTAGCACAGAAATATGATGGATTAGACAGAGGCGTAGTTCGTAAGATGGTGATGGGTTTTTTTTTGGTAAGCAAGAAATATCCAAAAAATCATGAGACGAATTAGAGGCAGAAGATGCGTGGCTAGTACAATAGTGAGGGGAACGAGAAGCGTCCAAGAAACAAAGACGGAGCGTGTGATGTCCAAGCCAAGTAATAGACCGTCATACCAGCAGACGTCATCGGCCACACTCAAGTATTTGGCTGAACATGAATCTCGAAATCCACTGCGATCTTCGGATCTGTGACCTTGTGCCTGTAGACAGAGAAGTAAGAAACAGGTCCTCCACGGCCTCCGGTGGCAGACGCGAACGATTCGATATGAAAGGAGACAACTTACACAGCCTTGATATGGTCCATAACACCACGTTCTACGAAAAGTCTCGGGTTCTTCGAGGGTTGGCAATGCTTGCATGCAAAGTTTTGTCCCTTCTTCGTCTTCGCGGAGACTGTAGGGGGAGGGGACGCCCCGATAATATACGTAACGATGGGCTTTCCGGGGTCGGGACACCCAGGTGGTGGGATATAGACCACATCGGCATCCGAAGGATTAGGGATATTGTGTCTAAACAAGCGTCGTGAAGATGTTAGCATATTAGGTCGATGGGAAGAACGTCGGGTGAACAGAAAACACGCACGTCGCCTGGACGTGACTGATCGCACCCTGCCTGTTCCATGAAACGTCGATGTATTCTTTCGCGTTCAAGGGGTCGTTACGCCACATATAATGATAGCTCTCTTGACGCGGCCCACAATGCTGGCAGTGCCAGTGGTTGTGGCTAGCATGGGGTGCGCTAGAGAGAAGTCGCTCTCGCATTCTGATGCTGACAGCTTCCGTGGGCTGAACCAGCTGCCACGCAGGAACCACATGCGTCGTCTCTGGAGCAGTGAATTGGTGCTCGACCTAAACGGTGCAATGCGCGTCTGTCAGACAGAGCTGACAAAAGTCCACTATAGAGAGCTTGACAGGAAGGCACGTACAGCTGATCTCCAGGTCTCCGCTTTGATACTACCCCAGGACTCCCTGTTTGCGCGATAACAATTCAGACACAGGAAGCGGTGGTCCTTGGCGTCGAGGTCGGCTGCAGTCGTCGACTTTGGGTCCAATCCAGCCAACGTCATCATCTGCACAGCAGCTTCTGAGCCACAAGCCGAGAACTCGATAGACAGTGCCTCCTCTTTCCATGTATGGCACGCCTCCTTCGCCACCAACAGGTTCGTACCGTTCGGAACCCTGAAGACAGCCCGAGCCAATTCCAGAGGACCCAGGAACGGACACAAGTTCCCGCGAGACCTGCCTTGTCGAACATCGCTGACGGATGGAGACGTAAGCGAGGTGGGGATCATGGGGGCGGAGGAAGGCATGGCGCCACGATATTCCTCCGGCAACATCGCAATGCAGTGATCCCTTTTCTCTCTAACCCAGGCTTCGACTGATGAGGCGAGGTTCGTGAGAGGAACGTCGAAGTCGGACTCGACCAACGTGGTTTTGAAGTCGCGTTCGATGATCTCCGCGCACCAAGGGAGCTTGGTGGCCTGTTCCGGGGTAGGTAGATAAAACCACTCCGAGGGAAGAATAGTGCGGCGATATTCGGCGTAGAGACATTTGGCTTTCCTAGTGCGCTCTTCGCGCGCATGGCGGCGTTCGCTCTCCCAACGGTCATCCCTTTCTTTCGTACAATACTTCTCTAGTCCAGGTCTGATTGTATTCCAACCTGGAAAAGGTAAACGATCATGAGTGATCACATTCTCGACGAGCTCACACGGCAGAGAGGGAAAAAACCGCTTACCACGATCCGTAAGCGGCTTGCTTGAATTGACCGCGCTGAGGTTTTTGAAAGTCCAGCAGGACATATCCCTTCTTTCGTAACCCAAAGCGAGAAGGCGGTTCACGATACTGCAATCGTTTCGCAAGGTCAGAGATCGAGAACCCCGTAACACGAAGGCCAACTTACGCTTCATATCGAGCCGTTTTTGCGTCGGTCGACTGAGCCGCACGGTTCCTATCAAACTCGTCATACCATGTTTCCAAGACGTCACAACTCTGTACGACAGGGATATTAGTTGTATGATATATTGAGTCAAAAAGATCAGAGGACCAACCTTCATAAGAGACTTCACAGCTTTAAGCTTGACTGTGTCGAACTCGGTCAACGCAGCCTTCGCGCCCGTTTTACCCATCATGAAATTTTTGAGCAGTTTTCCGCGCTGCATAACAAGGACTCGGAGCTCGTCATGCCAAAAGTACCTCTTTCCAGAAGCTAAACCATGTGCCCACGCTCCCGCTTTCGTATAACATGACCGTAAGTCTAATCAATCTAACGAGTAGGGAGCATACACGTACTGTGTGTGTAAGGGAGCAGCTCGAGGACGGCAGGGTCTGCATCAGGATAAGTGCTCTTGAGTTTACCTTCGTAGAAAAGGCTAATACCGAAAAAAGTGACAATTCAAGGATTAGAACCAGAGCGAGAGAAGTCGAATGACATTTCGTCAACTGACTTATGTTTCCTGCAGGATGTGCAAAGACGCCGTTTGAAGGCCCAGTCAACTATTTGCGCGTTTTTGGTGTCACATCCCTAGTATAACGCGTCTGTTATCGAGGTGGACGTACACGACATTGGGCTGAAGACGTGTGCGGAAGGTAAGACTTACGGTACAAGCACGGACAAAGACCAGTGCCGCCCATGCTGGTTCTGAAAATTCGCGGGGCAGCTCGAGAGGGACAAGATCTCCGAGAGATTGCCTCGCAGACTTCCACACAGTGATGCTGCTACGAGACATCAGGATCTCACGCAGGCCCTTGCTCGTTCGAGCAAGACTGAGGAGATCAGCCGGCGACAGCAGCTTACAGACCTATATTCACAGCATATGAAGTCATTTCGCCTAATGTGGACCGTGCAAAGAACATCCATACCTCGTAAAATATGTCCAAAGGCATGCTCAGCATGTCCCGCAACTTCCCCCTGTTCCCGCGAAGTTTACCGCTATTGGCTTTGGCGCCGGCTGGCTTCGTCTTCGCAGACGCAGAAGCAGATGTTGTTGGCGTCTTTGTCTGGCGCGTGACCTTGGCCTTCGAAGGTTCTACTTTCCGGCGCTTCGTAGGTCTTTTACCTGCAATGCAGACGGACATAACTCAGTATGGTTCAACAGCCCATCTAGCCAATGCAACACAGTTTTCTGCAAAAATGAAGACGTACCAGACGCATTGTATTCCTCATCATATTTTATTCCTTCTTCCTTCTCCTCTTCATCCTCGAAGTCTTCGCTGCCCTGAGGGTCATCCGCCTTGACAGCCTTCCTGACCGCTGCTTCCCGAGTTGTCGCGGTCTGCAATGGCTCATCCAGATCGCTCAGGGCCCCGTCCATAAAGTCGTCCTCATCTTCGTGGGAAGCAAACGAGACAGGATTACGAGGCGGAGGAAGTTTTCCACTCTGTCGACGTGTTGTAGGGGCCATGAGACAGGATGGTCAAGAAACAAAGCGAGCAGAGTCGCGTCGCGACTCGAAGGTCACCGCACGGAGAACGCGTAAATAAGCGTAAATATTCAATAAAGGCGCCACGTGGGGTATTCAGTGTGGCCCACCGACTGCGAGTGGCACGGCCTCCGCTGCCATAATTTGGTCTTGAACCTTGCTTGAATCACCGGTAATTCCGTCTTTCTGTCACGACTGCGTCTAGGGATATCGGAATGCATCCTAGTCGGGCATGCATAAAATGTGTTTCGAACGTCTTGATCTTCGTCGTGCTACCTGGTAACCTGCTCCCACTTCGAGAGATTGCGGGCACATTAATGCAACATTAAAGTGGCGACGACCACACCGGGGCCCGGGCTATGGAGTCACTTAACGGCGTAAGTATGCGGTGTTGGTTAACGTTGGTTCACACCATTGGACCACGCACTTGCCTCGTGTACGGTGGTTGTATTCTTGTGGCGCACCCTCTGCCCATGTAAGTATATCTACGATGTTGGGTCGTTTGATTAGCTCTATGCCCTCTCAAGTAAAGTAGACTTTTCCTTACCCGTAAATTTCGAACACATTCTCCCCTATTGTTTGCTCGTACTAAACCATAATCACTGCGATACAACAGGACTTCAAGGACTCTGAGCAGTCAAGAATTCGCAATGGTTCGCGGTGTTACCCTCATTTCACCGTATACTAGCCGTTAACACCTCTCACACATAGCCCGTTCTGAACACGTTAGAGCCCTCGACACCCACTAATATACTCAGATCGCCACCTCCCTCAAGCTTCACAGACGCTGCACCCCCTTTCGACGATCGTGATGCCGACGTCGTCCTTCGGTCGGGCGATCACGTAGACTTCCGTGTCTACGGAATCATACTGTCGCTAGCATCTCCAGTGTTCAAGACCATGTTCACCCTCCCAACCCCGAGCCGCTCGTCCACCACCGCCCGTCAGAACGACGACGACCACAGAGACGGTTTACCCATCGTGCCGCTCTCCGAAGACGCAGATATCCTTGATCCCATCCTCCGCGCATGCTACCCCGGTGCCGGGCCACATATCGATCATCTCGGTACCCTCCATCGCGCTTTGGTAGCATCAGAGAAATACCAGATCGTGGCGCTGTGCCCATGGGCGGAGCTTGTCCTCACATCCCACCTCAACACGTCGCCCGTGGAGGTATACGCACTCTCGTGCAGTTTCGGGTATCCACACCTCATCCCCACTGCCGCAAAGGCTGCACTCGCCATCAAGTTCGACGACCTCATCGCTAGTTCCACGACAGCTCTCCGCTCTATGGATAATATTCACTTCCGACGTCTCCTCCAGTACCATCGCAAGTGCGGCGAGGCCGCCAGCCGGGTAGCCATCACACGCTCATGCCTGGAAGTCAGCAATTATATGGTGGACGGCGTACGGGTTTGTGAGTGTCAGGAGAAGGTACCCGAGCACTATGATCCAGAGTCAGCGACAAAGTCTAACAGGGAGTTGTGGGCACCGCCGCTGGTGTGGGAATACCTGGAACGAGCTGCATATGCGTTGAAAGAGCGCCCAATTCCGAACCTCGTCCTCGACTCACAGATACTTCCTGATAATCCAGTCAGAGGATGTGGCCGTTGCCACATCTGGCGAACAGCTGCCTTAAATAGGCTTGCCAGTCGTTTCTATAGGCTCGTGCGCGAGGCTATAGACCAAGTAGTCAGTAATTCTTCCAGTCTATCATACAACTAGCGCTAATCACATCAGTTTGCGCATTGGTAGGATCTTCCGGCATTCACCTGATTCAGATATTGTTGTCGTAGGAGATGTGTGCATTTGTTCCTTCTATGTTCGCATGACTCGAAGCGGGAATTGAGACTCGACATCGACGAGAGACCGGCTGAAGGAGACGAGGCTACAGCGAGATTGACATAGGCCGTGTAGGGCGCACGAAAGAAAGGGTGGGCAAGAAGCAAGTCAATGTAGTGTATTGTTCGGATCTGTGAAGGAAATTGAGAGTAAATAGTCCAAGGGGAGTCCAGAAAATGTGGTGATTGATGTGAGGCATAGATACACTTCATCATTTCTTCAACTTGTACCCGAATAGGCACCATCACAAGCTGAAAAGTGTTTGCATTCTAGAGACGAGTCATCTCGTCGCACGGGGCCCGTGCGATGAGCTGGGCATTAGCAAAATGCGACCGGATGTGGGTTCAAATTCGACTAGCGTAGGTTGTATAACTTTTCCAGCCCGATTGTAAGTCGTTCACAAGACTGGTAGAGCACAGAATGGAACACCCGCTGATTCGTACAATGTGATTGATAGCTTTAAACACGCTTGGTGCACTGAGCTCCGAAACCACAAAGAGCATATTGGAGAGCATACCTTCTATCCGATGGATCCATGTACCCGAAACTACTTCGCCTTCCGCTCGATAGCCTCCTTCGCGTCCTTCACGAACTCGTCTAACACCTCCTTATCATCTCCCTGCCCGTTCATAGCCTTCTCAATCCTCTCATACACACATGCCATACCTTCATGTATGTGATCCATTCCATCCCACGCTGGCGATCCTCCATCAGCTGTGCCAGCCGGATCCCTCACGAATTCGGAGATTTCCCTCATCTCGCCTACCCAGCGATATGCTTTCGGAAGCATGTCGGGTATGCTCCGTGTCATACGTTGAAGAAGCTGAGGCTGTGATGCATTCAACTCGTTTAGAAGAAAGTTGGATGTCGTTGGCGAGGATGCATGTGCGGCTATGGAGAGTGAGGCAGAGGTAGTGGTGTCAGGAGAGATATTTAATGAGACAATACTCCAGTGAAGCTAAGGCTCGGTGCAATAGTGGAAGTGTCTCATAAAGTGAGTAGAAGTAGATACTCACAGAGAATCATGGTGGCAAACAGGCCGGTGATACCCTTCGTTATACCCTACACGCGACGCCACATCAATATTTCGCCACTCGACGCCATGACTGAGAAGAGACGCACCGCATAACTCATCTTCAACGCACTAGCATCTCCGATACCTGCACCCTCTCCCCTCATCCCCGTGATCTTCATCCCGAACTCCCCTAGCCCTTCGAAACTCACCAATGCCTTCAGATCGTCCGATGATGCGTAGAATGTCGGGTCGTACCCTTCTCTCGGTGGCCCGCCAATGATTCCCGCGTCCACAAACCTTATACCTCGAACACCTTCAAAGCTCTTAGCTATTCGTTTCACCGTTTGCGGACTGACCGCATTGCAGTCTACATAGATTCTCTCCTCCCCTCCGTCTACTTCGGTTGTATTCACATTGTACGCACGGATGTAATCCTGTGCGAGCGTCTCCGCCTGGCTAGGCGGCAGTATACTGAGGAAGATTGAGGCTTGTCTTGGTATATCGGCGAAGGGTATGTCTTTCATTCCAGCTTCGAGCGCACGTTTACGTGTGGATGGTGAGCGATCATTCAATGAAGTAAGAACTGTGATGCCGTGGGAGGTGAGGCGGGACGCGACGGCACTACCCATGGAGCCAGCAGCAAAAATAGCTACTGTCTGTAATGCCATTTCAGCTATAAGACAGCAGGGCAGAATATGTCGACAAAGGTATGTGGTGGCTGAGGATAGGACAGTCGAAGGGAACTTAGAAAGAGGGCCACAGTCGTGGTGGCCGTGAAAGTACTCTCCGGAAAGATCCGGGACGCGAAGCTTTGCCAATTTCAATTTGTTTTTCCCGCTCGTTTTCTCTCCAAACCCTTTCTCACCCTCGGTCTTTTTCCAGTTCACAGCTGCACAGAGGATAATTCTCTGTCCCTCGACGCTAGAAATTTACCGAGGCACCAGTGGTAGCACTTTACATGTTCGACACCGATAACTTGCCGGTCTGATCGCGTTGGGGTCCACACCATTCAAGTCGCATCCAGGGTAGCTGCAGCCTCTCGGACGAACTGGCATTGATTCTAGTGCTTGTTTCAGACAGTCAAGTCAGATCAGTGGCATAGACCAAACGGGATATAGTGATCCTGTGGGTGAGACTAGGAAGCGATGCGATGGTGAGGGGACAGGTCTCTGTGTACAATGAAGAGTGAGAGCCCGGTGATGCGTGATTAGAGGCGGGAAAATGAGAACACCACGGTGAAGAACGGTCCAAAGTCTTGGTTAGGTTTGTGCGAATGTAGTCCACCTACACTTTCTGGTAAATTCTGTCGAACTCTCGTCGTTTGAGTGACCTACACTAACAAATTTAACTCTTCTTCTGTCTCGTGTCGTCCTAGATCGCTGTTTCCTGACTAGCATCGACTTGTTCGCATAAAGATGTGAAACGACAGAAATCTTGTGGTAAACTCATCTGCTGTACGGTCAAACACTCTGCCAAACTGTGGAGATGTCTCATATCTTGTTTCAGCGTTCTGAGAACAAACTCGGGAGAACCCAGGGCTATTCGACTGGTGGCTCGTAGATATCGCAGTCACTCCTGCCCCTCTCATGCTTCTATTCGCCGAGGAAACCTTGTCCCATCCGGAGACGTCTCTTATGATATACCAGTACTGTTGTCTCTGACTGTGACCTCTCCTCAACGGCTTCAGATTTCTGTGCAACATAGAAATAATACCTCTGGCCCGACGTGATCCTTGCTCAGTGCGCTCTAATCAAGCTGCTGCGCGTGCAGGCTATGTATATTCCGTCCGTGGGTGTGGTCACAATAACACCTCGTCAGGCGGGAGTCGGGAAATGGTTGTTACTCCTCGAGAGCGACGCTCCGAGAGCCGATGCTCATGCATAGTCTTCTGAACACTACGAAGTGTGTCATCAGCTGACGCCCAAGGGAATAGATCTATGTCTGTCGCTTTATACTGCACACGCAGGCTAGATTTCTCGCTGTCTTGCTGCTTTTATGTCAATCTTCGTTGAGTCCTCTTTAACCTCTTGCCTCTACGTTTAGATTTCATCTGACTTCTCAGACACCATCTTGTGCCTGATTATCTCCATCCAATTGTTCTACCTGCCCTGTCGAGTCTCTACCATTGATGACATCCTCAGTCTCGAATCCCTTCGTTCAAGCAGAGCTGGACCTGCTGCACGAGACCTTAGATATCGAGTTGACAACGCGCTATATTATTGGTATCTTCGTTCTTCTTCCCGTTTTTGCAGACCTGAACTAATGAATGTATTTCATCCCATTTTCCATACAGTTTTTTCCGCTGTGCTGATGCTGTACGACCATATCCTCACCTTTCCTGAAGAGGTTGGATATGCTTGGCAAGCTCCGTCCTCGTTCATCCGCAACGGCTTTCTTTTCAACAAGTATATGACCGTCGGTTGCATCCTGATCATTCTCCACCGTCAGTTTTATATCTTCTATACGACTGTCTGACGGCTATTGCTCATCGTGTTCGTCTTTTAGTTACGGACGGATTTGACAACGAAGGGTTCTCAACCACCGTAAGTAGTTACTTACTATGCACTTGTACTCTATGTTCCCAGACGTGCCACCTGTACCCACATTGGCCTCATCAAACAGGTGTGAGTACTTCTATCTCTTAAATTGTCTTGCAACCTTTTGGTATGCTCATATTTTTGTGTTTATTGTTCCGCACACGCAGATGCAAGGGGTTGATCGGAACAATCTTCTCTCTTTCTGTGTATTCTATCGGGTTTGGTCACCTCTTCGCACTCCTTCGGGTGGCGGTCATATGGGACAGGCATCCTGTGAGTCCCGTTTCTTCTCTTCGTGGTTCAAGTGACCCATCTCATTTTACCACAGACTATTCTTCGAACTCTGTTGGTATTTTTCACCTCTACACTGGTCACGGAGATAGTACTTGTCATTATCACCATGGCAGAGCTCACTGGTGAGTGTCATATCTGACGCACCCGAATCATGCTGCATCCCGATATGCATGACTCGGTCATTGTTCTGTCATCATCTGAAATATTTCAGTCGACGTCCAATGGTCTTCAGCCGTCAACACATGTTACGCCACACGAGCACCACCCCTCTTTGTGGTGTTATGGGCTGTTCCGGTAGGTGATATCCTCGGTTTTCCCGTTCACTACTATTTCTTTATTGGTCAGTTGATTATGACTCTTATTGATTTGGCCTCTTGTAGATACCGTTTGGGATTATCATCCTCTGTCTAACCATATACAGCTCCCCTTCGAGACCTCGCGCGGAGCAAGTACATCTCAGACAGGCCCTGCACCGTGACGGAGCACTATTTTTCCTGGTGAGCTCAAAACTGCTGCATCTGTTTACATCCCACTCATAATTAAACTGCCCGCATTACGATTGCGTGTTATCTACTAGATTCTTTTTGGCCTGGAGCTTCTGAACTTTTGCTGCTTCGTCTCGTTCAACGACCCAAGGAAGATTATGATGGTCCCGCCGTAAGTACATTCAATTCATCTTCGAAGCTCGTCCCTGAGAACCTGTGGCTACCGCTGACTATCACCTTGCTCCGTATATGTGTACTAGGCTCGTATGGGCAATGGCCACGTTGACTCTAAACCGATTTCTGCTGCATATCCGATCCGTTGAGTCCAGGAGTGGTAGCTTCTCGGATGAGAACGACTCTTACGACCAGATCCCGCATGAGGGCTCGCATGACACTGGTGGCGATACGCTGGCAGGTCCAGACCATACCGAGTTGACTTTGCGTCCGACCAGTGCTAGCGAGTCGATGCTACAAAACGTTCCGTGATGATTTATGACAATACAATCCGATGGTCCGAGATTTTTGATGATGAGCAGCCAATCCGTGCTACACATGGAGCGGTCAATGAGTGTACATAGCCAGCCAGCTGGTATCAGAGGCCCTGACTGCCGATATCCTCTACACAGCGAAATCTACGAAAGATGCTACTTCCCCGGGTTTCAAGTGGGGTAGCCTGATAATTGTGAGTTTTTCCATTTCATGCAATCGTGACAACATGACTACACTGATTTATATCGATCCATCGAATAACGAGGGCTCAGGTCTTATGTTTTCCTCGACATGCCTCATTCCTGCGGAAGGCTCTCTAGCATTTCGAAGGGCACGAACTCTGGTCTTTTTGTGTACGTTTCACAGCCTTACGTCGCAGACTTTGTCCTCCCTTTTGGTAACTGCATTGATGCACGACAGTTGAAGGGATGCGTCTCGTGAGATACTCCATTGACATGCACACCCAAGAAGCTTTCCCGACGCTTCTTTCGCAATGCACAGCCCTAAGGGCCACCAATACTACAGCTTTGGCCGCATTCCTGAGTGCCCGGTATCCATTTGAGTGGGCCCTTCACCGGAGAGTTGTGACATGGGTTTTCACTTTTATTCCAACTTGCGGTCCTCCCTTGCAGAATCGTTCAAATATCAAGATGTTTCCCTGCCAGTGACATATCGACCATCTAAATACCCCGTCCTAGTATCTGAACCGATGTCTGACTCGAAGTCGACTTACGTCGTATACACAGATAAAGTACGTGCATCAAATTTGCGACGATTTACGCTGGTGCCAGCTGCTTACGGGTCTCACAGCACCTCCCTTCTGAATGGGAAAGGTCAGTGTATACTCTTTGCCTCGTCTTTGGCGTCATTTCGGAGCTGTTCACTTATGCATGAATTGGTTAGACTGGATGAGATGCATAAAGCGGTCGCCACTTACATTGGACCCAGTGTCTCCTTCTGACCTCTAGGCTCACCTCGAAAGATACTCGAGATTGGGTACAGACCTACATCCTTATCTTGCCGCTCATACTTAATGCCTTTCTTTCTTTTCTCAGTGCAGGATCTGGCGCATGGTGAGCTTGGTTTTGACTCACGCCCATCGAAGGTCTGACCAGTTCCGTATACAGGTCCATCCAAGCTGCTCAGGAGTTTCCTGACGCTGAGATAACCGCAATTGATATATCGCCTCTCCCTGATCGGTGAAGCCCTTTGCGGTTCTCCCTAAACTCTTGACTTATCTCCCTGGCTGACGTCTGTATGTCAACGGTCGTTAGCCCTCTTCCGTCCAACGTCAAGTACCAGACCCTAGATATCTCTCAGCCCATCCCCTTCGAGCCCGAAACCTTCGATCTCATTCATGTCCGTTTCGTCTTCCTCCACGTAAGTCATATTTTCAACCGGCTAATCGCCTTATCTGACAGTCTATCATATGGTCTGACTACGTGTTTCTGGCCCTAGCTTCACAAGGAGAAAAGCATGTCCGAGATATACCCGCGCGTCACCTCTCTCCTCGCGCCCAACGGGATCCTTCTTGTCGAGGATGTCGACATTGTCGGAGATCTAGATGAGCTTACACCAGGGATGCAGCGTTGCATGCACAACTTCCATAAATACATGATTTCGAATGGCCAGGATCCAGCGATTGCAAGGTATATCGCAGGCAACATGATCGATTTGGGGGTATATGATAAAATGAGGGTGGATAATTGCGAGCTTCCGTTGAATCCCAGCCCGGAGACTGGTAAGAACATTGCTTGGTTCAGTGGGAAAATGCCCTGCTTCAACGTAGTATCGTTCTTACTGATGATTCTTTCCGTCTGCATGCGATGGGTTCGATGTCCGTAGCGGAAGAGATCGCAAACATTGGCCGCGCGCTCTGTAGGTCGTACACGGAAGCCGTCAGGATCGGGCAGGAGACGGCGATAGACAGAGGAAGCTATGATAATGAGGCGCGTCAAGGGTGGTTGGATGATGTTGAATCGAGCGGATGGAAATATTCCTTCAGGTTTTATGCCATGTGGGCCCGGAAGCAACACTCTTTGAAGAGTCTGTGAATGGCCTTCTATCGTTCTTGCGCTTCATGGTATCATCGCGTACACGCTTTCCTATTTTTCATCGAGCTACCTTCTACGCAGGGTTATGTTTCGAGTTGAGGCGGGACATCCTGTTCGCAAATGTTGTGCCCTTGATCTGAATCTGCTAATACTGTCACTTCGGGCTCTTCAATGGATCAAACTTTGCTTGTTCGACGTCCTATCCTCCCAACCAGCAGGCCATCGATAGAGTACTCAAAAAACTTCATACAGCCTCCATTCGCAGCCTTTCTAGAATTTAAAACTCGCCCGTGGGTATTTCTGCCGGGGCGAAGTCGACAATTTCGAAGGGTGCTCTCAACAAGGGCGTGCCAGGCATCGTTGGGAAAAAGACGAAGTCCTCCCCAAGGATAGCATCCGAGATTTCGTGTCTGGAGGTCCAAAATCAGATCCATAATCACAATGAATAGAGAGGGAAGTGAGCATACCTTTCGTCCAGGTGTCTCAGCAATTCATCGTACGTCCATGCTATATCTGACAAAGAACGTTCCGTAGTCGTGCATACTGAAGACACGGGCCCCTGGTTGCAGTACTGACAATACCAGTGTGCAGTCTTGGCAAGGTCCGAAGACGCGATCGGTTGTTCCCTCCGTTTGACAGCCTCCATCTCTCCCGAATCGAGCAGCCGCCAACGAGGAGTACCATGGTCTACTACATCAGCCGTAGACGCGGAATGCTCGACCTAACCCACGATACAAAAGTAAGTGAATGAATATAAACAGTGTACCAACAAGCCCTTATGCCAAATATATGAACCTACCCCAGTCCTCCATGTATGAGCCTTGACTCCACTCCAGGAACCACCGTTCGCGTTGTGGCAGCTTAAACAAACGAATCGTTTGTCCAGCTTATCCATCGTGATAGCCCTCGTATCCAACGACACATTCAAAATCTCACACATCTTCTTCCCAGCCGCCGACCCACGCGAGGAGAACTCAAGAGTGATATCCTCTTTCCACGCGTGACACGCGTCTTGCGCAATCAAGACCCGTCCTCCTTCCTTAGTCTTGAACACTGCAATCGCGAGCGTCAGAGAACCCAAGAACCGATCCATACCGCTAACATCTTGCCAAGGACGAAGATGTCCGAATCCATCGTATCGGGAGATAGGTGAGGGGTTCATCTCTCTAATGGTTGCTCGGCGCCGGCACTCATCCGGAAGCATTGCATTGTGCAGGCCGCGTTTGTGCTCGACCCATCTTGCCACTGCATCAGAAAGGAACCAGCTATGTCCGTGCACCCTTGCCTTTGCGTTTTTCGCAAGAAGGTTGACGAAATCTGAAGTCTGAACAAAGACTTCGGCCGAAGGCAAGTAATACCACTCGGATGGCCGGAACAAAAGGAGGTACGTGCGTTCATATGCTGGTTTGGCTTCTGTGATGCTGCGGGCTCGGTCCATGCGTTGTTCTTCCTCTAGAATTAGGCGAGCCTTTCTAGCTTCCGTAAGGTAAACCACAAGCCTCGGACGGATATCGACCCATTCTGGAGGAAGGATATCATTCGGTTTTTGTGCCATGTTAGCTAATGTTGTGTGGTGGTGAAGAGCACCTACCGTCGTCAGTTAAAGGTCTCCTCAATTCGACATCGGCTAGATTGTGGAATTGTGGGGTGTTCATGTCTATAGAAGAAAAGCCTTCTTCGGTCATGAGGTTCTTGATACTGTAGCTGCGTAAGTCTTTCCAAAGCTTCGTCAACCGCAAGAAGAAAACTTACGCTTCGCATCTCTTCTTCATCACCTCTTCCTGATTTGCCTGGTATGCGATATACCATTCCTGCATACGCCTAGTCATCTTCAGAAAGGTCAGTGACCGGCACTTCAGTTCTTCGTGGCACCAAAGACTAGAGAATTCGCATAATAAGACTGACCTCGCCAAGCGGTCTCACGGACTTTCGTCTTTCTCTCAGGAACTGCTGCAGTACACGCTCAGAACCCCTCTTTCCTACTACAATGGCGTCTGCATATCGCGAGACGAGTTGGACGGTGTCGTCCACGTCTGGACGCCAGTACTTGATCCTTACGATCTCGTCTGTTTTTACGATATTTCGGTCAGTTAGAAGCGGCCCTATAAAGGTGAAGCAAACTCACAAGCGCCGACCACTTCCATCGATGGTGATAATTCAAAGGCGGTGTCGTCAATATATCGGTGTGCAAGCTTATAGTCGGTCGCCGTGACCAGGCTGGAGCAGAAAAGGATTTAAATATATGTGCATGAGCGAGTTGGCATGAATATGATAGCGGCAAGCTGACTGACAATTTCTTCTCACAGCCAGAGCAGAGCCGGCGCTTGAACGCCCAATAAGGTTTCGTGTCTTCGGATCTTCCACATTCCTATCCATTCCAGAGCGTATCGTCAGGCTGCTGTCAGCCAAGTGATCAAAATGAAGATAGATCCTCACAAAACAGAAGTGGTCGAACGCCAACGAGGCCCACAGAGGCTCAGAAACGCCGATAGGCGGACTTTCGATGGGCGATGGTTCGACATTCTGCCTCGCGCTCTTCCAAACAGTGATGCTCGAACGAGACAGTAGAGCATCTCGCAAACTCTTGTTTGTACGGCACAGGCTAAGCATATCGCCTGGATACACGCAGAGGCATATCTACCAGCGTAGATATATTCACTGGCATCAGCGACCATACGAAAAAGCCGGAGCGTACCTCGAAGATAACATCGACAGGCATCAAAGACATTCTGTCCTTCAGAGCAGCTTTCTGTGTTTTGCTCTGTTTGTCGGCACTGCAAACGACGTCCGTCGTATTGCATAGCGTAGAGCCGTCAGCTCGACGACGTTTGGCCGGTTGCTCTCCTGAAGACCTCAGGGTTCGCTCACATATCATGGATCAATATTGTAGACGTACCGAGTTCTTCCTGGCCACATTGTCCTTCAACATCTGCCTCAGTTCCGTCTGCGTTACGATACGCCTGGTCAGAACTCGTATCCATACGATCCACAGACGCGTCGTCGCCGGTGTCAATATCGGGACATGATCGTTTTACACTGGCTCTTGCCCCTCGGGTAGGTTCCAACTGATCTTGCTGTACCGACGCTAGATCTTCCGTTTTCTGGCACTCGACTGATACGGGCATAGCTGAGTGTTGTGCTCTTTTGTGGTCCTAGATCGTCGTTGGGAATAAGAATCAACGCGCACGTTCATCGACAATTCATCGACGCGATGGAACCAAACAACGCGTCAACAACAGCGCCACAGTGCGTGGCGCCGAGAATGATTTTCAAAGCTCGCAATTATGTAGTGCTATACAGTGTACAGTGTACACGAACATAACGGTAGATTACGGACAAAACATGAATGGAGACTCCGAGTCTGGAGGACCGCATACAGACATTGGCCAAGTCAGGCCCCTGGAGCGACTTCGTAGTCGACCAGCTCGAGGGGAGTCCTAAGCGGCATCCGTTCGTGCGAGGAAAAATAAACGTAATCCTTCCAATAAGCCGGTTGCGCGATTTCGTGTCTATAATTCCGGGAAAATCAGAACAATAATATGCTAGATGACTGGCGCGTGGAACATACGCGTCGATGACATGCTGCATTACTCCATCGTATGTCCAGCCGGCACGGGCGTCATCGCCAATATTTGTTGGCGTGGCCGAACCCGGTAAGGTAGATGCAGGTTTATCACAACAGTGTTGGCAGTACCACTTAGCTGTGTGAACATACTCCGAAGACGCGAGCGTGCTTTCCCTGGCCTTGACAGCATTCGCCTCTTTCTGACGAAGTAGACGCCATCTAGGCCTGGTATGTTTCGCCGATACGTCATGCTGGACCTGAGCAAAGGCAACGCCAATTAGATGTACGGTACAAAGGCATCAGATCGCGGATTGGTAACAAAACAACTTACAGAAGTTCTCCATGTATGTGCCTTCACCTCTCGCGAAGGGCCGCGCTTGGCCCTACGGCAGTTTGTGCACACAAACCGATGGTCCTTTTCGTCCATCTTTTCCGCTGTCGTATCCTGCAGTTCCTTCGCAAGTTCCACCACCGTCTTTGCCGAGGCCGTCCCCGCCTCGGAAAAATGTACGCCAATGCTGGGATGTTTCCATGTATAGCACACATCCCTTCCTATCAGTGTTTCCCCCGAACGAGTCTGGAACACCAAAGTCGCGAGCTCGAGAGGACCAAGGTTGAGATTGATGAACCTAGCTGCGTCAAGAACAAAGCTGCGAAGGCCGGCTCTCCCTTCGACGATGCCTAGTTTCTCGATTGGCCATCCTCGTTGCTCATAGAGCTTCGGGATTCCATCTTTGTTCCTGCATACGTGGGTTGCGACCCAATCCCTCAGGTTGCTGATAATGCTGGCTACCTGATCTTCGACGCATAGCTCTGGAACTGCAACGTGAATTTGGTTGGGCATCCCCTCGAGCTCGCAAGATTCGATGAATTGTTCGGGGGAGGGAAACCAGTACCAGTCCAATGGACGGACCTTCTGTCGGCGCAACCAGTTATATCCGTTTTTCATGTTTTTCGCATTCTGGGCTTGAGCTCGCCGGCGCCGTTCGCCGACGAGATGCGAGTGAAGCTCCGGACGGATTCGGACCCACTCTGGGATGAGTCAAATATCAATTCTTGTTCAGGAATGATGAAGCAAAGAGTTTGCAAACGCTGACCTTCGTCAGATAACAGATGATGTGCCATTACACAAGGAATGCGTTGAAACTCAATTGTCGACAACTCGTCAAATTCAAAGCCTTCTCGTCTAAGTCGCTTGAAAATACTTCCCCAAAAAGAGTGTCAGAAAGAGGCTAGCACACCGAGAACTGAAAGGACTAACTCGTGATGTCTGGTTCTCCGAATAAGATCCCAATGGTCTTGATACCACGCTATCATGTCCTGTTCCATCTTTAAACAAGACTATGGTCAGTGCCCAAACCTTGACAAGGACAAGGAGGAGAAGAATATCGGAGGAGAAAGGCTCACATTGAATGATAATTCAGGGACCTTTCGCCTCTCGTTGAGGAATTTATTTAACGCTTGCTGGGCACCCCTCTTCCCCATAACGATAGCTTGTGCATATTCCGAGAGGAGGGCAGAAACCTTATCTACATCTTCGGGCAAGCAGAATGGGCGAGCCCCTTTGAGGCAATGTATAACTTACACGGAACATGAATTCAGTTACGAGAGAGACTGCAACGACGAATGTAGCGCACCCCTGTCTATGTCACTGCGTGGGACCAGGGCCAAGGCGATATTTTTGAAGTCACGATTATCCTTGCGCCCATAAGATCTGTCGTAGATGAGACTAGGGAATGTGTGCAAATGTTTTTAGGTGAGCAAGTCTCCCTGGAATATTACAGTGATGAGACTTACTGGTTTTGACGACAGCCGTAGCAAATACGACGCATGATCCCCCAAGAAGCATGGTCACCATGGTATTGTCCACATTTCTTGTAGAACGATGATGGTCAGCAGTCGATATCTTAATCATCAAATTCAGGAATGGGGCTCACGAAGCAACATTCGTCGTATATAAGGGCGGCCATGGATGGCTCAGAGTAACCGGCAGGCGGCTTGGGAATAGGCGGCACCTCTCTCTCCCTGGCACTCCCCCAGATAGTGACACTCGTTTTCGACATTAAGAACTCTCGCAAAGCCTTACACGTGCGCGCAAGGCTGAGCAACATCTCTGGAGTCCCATACTTGCATATCTTCAGAATTGGCCGAATACCGATCAATATCAGACATGTGCAAGAGAAGTAATGAAAGAGCGTACCTCGAAAATTATGTCGCAGGGCATGGTCGCCAGATTTGCTTTCAGAGCCTCTAAAGCGTTCTCGTCCGTTCCTCCTACATCATGAACGACAGCTCCGGGCGTACGCACGGTAGAGCTGTCGATTTTAGGGTGTTTTCGAGGACGCTCTCCTGGAAAAGAGATCGTGTCAACAGGGCCTTCGCTCACAAAGTGAGACCGAACGTGGGAGCGAGACGTACCAGAATCTGAACTTCTTCTTTTTCTTTGGGTACGAGCATCTGATTCGTTTTCATCTTCATGAGGAGTGCCAACCACAATGTTAGTAATACTCGCGCCAGCACTGGATACGTCACTGTCGTCGCTCGCGTTTGTAGCTGTACAGTGGGACCGAGTCATCGACCGAGTTTCTACGTGAGACATGAAGAGTAAGTAGTTATGGAATAGTGTGTAGTTCGAAGTGAGATGGTGGTGGAAAGCAAGGTCATCAGCGAGGTCAAAGCGAAGAGTTGAAGCACGACGCGCCAAACATCATGTCAACAAAGATCCTGACACGGTGGTGTCAAGTGGCGTCATCGTCGGTGGCCCAAAATTTGTGGCCCTCGCGAGTCGACAGCAGGGCCCAGACAAGAGCGCTACTCAGACGAATTGTAACATAACTGAGTTATTAACTCTGATTTCGATACTGTGGGTGCCAAAGCAACCACAAATCATAGCCGCCTAAGGCGCCCGACCAAAGCCACATTTACTCGTGCAATTAGCTCGCCGAGCGAGCTCGTTGGGCGTACGAACCCGGCGCTGTACGTGAAGCGATTAAACGGCAGTACTCCTCCGACTGGACTCGAAGACACATGGCCTCCCACTTGAAGGACATGGTCCTTACTAAGGTCTGCCTCGCCTCGTTTCGACGATCCCGACCGTATCAATCTAATCAATCCTACTCGTAAGTATTAAAATGGAAGATTCGGAAAGATTGAACAGGAAGGTATTGGGGAAACGATGGTGCGAATGAGGAACGATAAATGTGTATGGGAAAATGAGGGAGACCATCAGAAGTGTTAGTGGATATTGGGAACGTGAAGGCGTACACAAGAACGAAATGCGCCCTGATATTGAGTCCAGGTGATATATGTACGACTCTTTGTGTTTCCAATGTAACTATGGTAAGTTGCAGCTGTGACCAGCCTTGACACAGACATGAATCAGCTCGAGTTGACCGGACATAGGATCACTTACAGCGTTTGCTACCGGCCGCGGATCATCACAATCAGGGCCTCTCCAGTCTCTGATCGGAGCTGAAGAGCTCGAGCCGAAAAACACAGACTACAGTCCGTACCCGAGCGTAGCCCTGGACAAAGTAGTCACATCCGTTCTCGCCTCAAACGGAGCCAGAAAACTACTACGTCCAAGCAATTCGGACTAGAGTTCGTCCAGTCCAAGTCCTCAAGCCTTAGGTGCAAGTCCAACCCCGGAAGCGCACCTTAGACTCACAGGACCTGAGAGATTCCGAGTCGAAGGTCTCTGACTGAGAGCTCTTTAGGAAATAAATGACCAAATACGCAGTGGTGAGAAACATGCATCCAGTAATCTAAGTCACTATTAGGCTGAATAGAGGACGGATGGGCAGCATGATCGTGCGCTGACATCGATTGACTAGTACGGCCAGTAACTTAGCCTATTAAGCATGATATGTTGGTCCAACGCACGTCCAAGAGCGGTGGATCATCCAGCCCGGGCCCGCTGCCCAAGTCGTCTATAGCTACCCATCTGCAAGCTCCAAGCCCGAGAACATCGCTCAATCTCCGTTTTAGTTACTGGCAGCCTTACGAGCTTATCTGTCGGAGAGACTCGAGGGCGCAGTACATAATGCAGTGCATAGCGCCGTGCATCCTTCCATCCATCCATCGAGTCCCTCATTGCATGGAGTCGTTCCTCATGACCTCAAGTCCAAGTTCGGAAGCGCACCTCGCAAGAATTCAAAGAGCACAGCGCAGGGCTTCTAAGTCGAATCCAGTAAGCCATGGGCCGGACGAGAGTTAGCTACCATTATACGGAGCCCGCCCAAGCAAGATAGAATGCGTAGTCGTCTAAAGGCGGCCAAGTCTCGGGCGGGGACTTGAAAGACGAAGACGAAGCATGATTGCAGAAATGTAATGCGAATCTCACCGCATTTCCGGCAACGCTGAGGATCCCACCAAGCCCAGAAAAAGCTACTTCAAGTTCAAGCAACTAAAAGTGCGTGAGCTTGAACTTGAATCAAGGAGGTCAAGAGGCCCGGACCCGGATATGAAAGTCGAGGAATGGTCGCTAACGAACGGATGATCGATAGTAAGTGAATATCGACGTCGAGGAGCAACTACAGGCTCCAGATAAACCGCACCCCAGCCCGACTCGGGATGGCTAGTACTGAGACCTGGCATGAACGAGGACTTCGAGGTCGAGGTCGAGGTCGATTAGGGCACCAGAAGTGGATGCAAACAATATCGACTGAGCCGAAGCCATGGGTGAAAAAGAGATAGATACTCAAAATTCCTAGCGACAGTAAGGAAGAAGAAGTTCAGTCCGAGGGTAGCCCTCCAATTCTACTCCGACTCTGCAGCTCGAAAAGAATGGCCTCTCTATCCGCAAGAAACCATCCCCATAGATCATGGCGAGTAGTGACTAGTGACGTGCAGGTCTGAGATGCCGACGGACAATATAACACAGTGACTATAGATGGTGCCTTAGCCCTATGATACGACCACCCTGAGAGTCCCGTAGTCCGTAATCCAAGACCGTTCGTCTCTCCGATGCATCATCCAGGTATCCATCTCCGAGCTTGAGAGCTCCGCCCAGTCCGATCCCAGCCTCAGCCTTACACGTCGAAGAGTGATTCGAGAGCACGAACCATAACGCCGTGCACCCGCCCATTCCAAGCGCCGTACGTCAATTCGACTCGTTCGTCGTCAAAAGTCGTTCATTGAACCGGCAGGCGTCGAGTCGTTCATCGTGTCCAGTCGTCCATCAAGTCGAATCGAGGAGTCGAGTGGTCTGACATCCAGCCCAAGTCAGCTACTCATCCCATCGATATCCCAAGTTGCATACTCGCGAACTCCAGGGGCTCCAAGATCGAGGAAGACAATCCTTCCTCCGAGTCGAGTCTGAGAACATCGCCCAGTTCGATCGGTCGGCTTACGCGTCGAAGAGAGGTGCATGTTAGCGCCGTACATCCACCCATTCCAAGCGCCGTATGTACGTCCAGTCCATCGTCGGAGTAGTCCATCGTCGGAGTCGTTCATCGCGTCGGATCTGTCCATCCGTGCATCCGTTCATCGAGTTGTTTAATCGGGATGCCCATCAACTTGAAGTCGAGCCGTGTCGTGTCGTGTCGTGTCGTGCCGTGTCGAGTAGTCCACCCGTCCGTCCATCCATCCCTCGGTGCTTCGAGTCCTTCATCCATCGAGGCCTTTGAGACGATCCATCCGTTCCTCATCCAGTCGTCCATCGAATCGGCAGGCGTCGAGTCCTCGAGACCCTTCATCCATGGAGTCGTGTCGTGTCGAGTCCTCGAGTCCTTCATCGATATCCCTTAGACTTCATCCATTCGCTCCCCAAGTACCGTTGCCTCAAGCTCAAGCCCATCCGTCCATCCGTCCATCCGTCCATCCGTCCATCCGTCCATCCGTCCATCCGTCCATCCGTCCGTCCATCGAGTCGTTCCTCAAGCCCAAGCCCAAAGCCTCAAGTCATACCTCCCAAGCTCGAAACGCACCCCACAAGAAATCCCAAACCACTGCGCAGGACTTCCGATTCCGAGCCTGTGTCTGAATCGAATCCAGCGTGTCGCCGAATAGTCGAATCCAGCGTGTCGCCGAATACGGCGGGCTCGAGGTTCCAAGTCCTGCAGGCCCGAAGGAAGGAACCTTGCACACGGCCTATATTCGAAAAAAGGCGAGTGGCGAGGTTCTTCGGAGCTGGTGGTTTATTATACATAGAAGGAGGAAATCAAGACGACACGGCAGGACACAGCACGGTTCTGAGAATTGTCTGAGAAATTCAATATCTCATCTCGGCAACGCCCTCACGCAAAGTGGCACCGATAGCGAGTGTGGCGCCACATCAATCCTAAACGACCAACGAAGAGTGCATATATGTATACATCGTCCGAAAGACTCAAAACTCAAACAAAACTGATTGCACGCACGTATGTAACATACAACTCTACAATTCTACGACTTCATACGACTTTCCACAACTACGGCACATATCCTACACTCCACACAGTCGTACGTACGTCACGAAGTTCGAACAAACGAATCGAATCGAATCGAATCGAACACGAAAAAAGTCCCATCCCATACTACCAATCATCCAAAGTCCATTCCAATTCCAATCATTCAATTCATACAATCACTTCCTCTTCACAACCCCCATAACCCTCTCCCAAACCCCGCTGAAACGTCCCTTCTTCCCCTTCTTCCCTTTCCCCTCCTTCTTCTCACCAGCCGAAGGGTTGGAACCCTCACCAGCGGACGAAGCGGATGGGTTGGCAGGAGTGGAAGGGGCAGAAGTGGAGGCAGAAGGGAGTCAGTTCGTCGTCGCATCCGTGAAAGACGTAGTCGCGAGCCCGAGCTGCGAGTTCGTCGTGTCGTAGACGGAGTAGAAGCGTTGGAGGAACGTGAAGCCGTCTGTTATACGCATGAGGAGGTCAGGTCAGTAATGGAACGGGATATCACGACCGGTTTCGAGGAACGGGTTGGGTTGGGGGGTTCGGTGGGAAGTGGGATGAAGCGGAAGGAACGTGAGGAAGTGTAATGTAATGATGGCGAATGGAGTGCAATGAAGTGGAAGGTTTGGCTGCAGTACGAATTGGATTGAAGGTACGAAGAAAACACGCACTAATAAAATCCAACCCCTGTCCGCTCTGCGAACCCATATCGGCCACGACAAGGTATATCTTGCTCGAATCGCCGCCGAGCGTCGAGTTCAGCGCACGCGGCCAGATCTGCGCGTTCGCGGTCAACTAGAACAGCGCATCGCACGAATGTAAGTGTCAGCGTTCGGCCAGTAGTGGAACGTAGGATGATGAAGGTGTAGTGGAACGTAGGATGATGAAAGGGTAGTGGGACGTAGGATGATGAATGGGAAAACCGAATCGAGTCGGTTTGCAGGTCGCGTGATGAAGGGACGCATGGGATGTGGATATACTGAAGCAGATGGGGAGAAGACACACACCTCATACTGCACCCCCCCAATATTAAAGAAAAGACTCTGCAGCTTCTCGAACTGACTCTCGGTAATACTCAACAACCCCGTCGTATTGTCCATAGTCGCCCCGGTAGCCTTCTCGTAGGCTTGGAAGGCGTCGGTCGCGATCATGATTAGGGTGGTGCCTGTTTCGTGGGGGTGGTTAGTATGTGTGCTTTGCGGGCGGAGGGGGTTGGGTGGTTGTGCGGGAGGGGAGCGATGGGGTGTGATGCATACACAGAACGTTTGCTTGTTTGTGCGTACAGTGGAGGGAATAGGGACGCAGGTAAGAAATAGAAACAGAGAAACAAAAACGCACCAGTATCAACAATCCCAGCCGTCGACTCCAAGATCGTAGCATCGTTATACGTGATAGACTGATCGATCCCCCAATAATTGCTCGCAGGCGACGTGCTCGTGATCGGGACGTAATTCACGTCTCCTGTCGTCCTATCCATCCATCGTCAGCACGCGTATGCGCAGGAGCAGACGCCCACTGAAAGGGTGAAAGGGGAGGAGGAGAGGAGAAAGAAACGGCAAAAACTCACTTGCCACTATCAACCCCCCCGAAAGTCAACTCCCCATTCATAGTCCCCTCACTGCTCGTCGTCGTAGGCTCATACGAGATCCCAATACTTTCCACTGAGATGGTGCCTTGGCTGAAGAGATTATCCGTTACGGTTGGGACGGGCTGGTTGTTTGCTACGGTGCCGGAGGTGAGGTCGACGGGGCCGATGCTGTGGGGCACCAACGATGATCGTAAGCATGGGGAGGTGCACGAGGATAGGTAGAGGGATAAGAAAGTGCGGAAGGGGGCGGAGAACGAGCACGGAAAGGGGTGCGGTGGAAAGTGAGGTGAAAGAGACGAACCCAAGAATCCCATCCACATCACTAAACCCCTGCGCGGTGCTCGCCACCCCAATACTCTGGTTCTGAATCACGAGGTCGGAGCCGAGGGTGACGGTGTCCGTGTCTATTTGTAGCAAACAACAACAACAGTGCCCGAGGCGAAGGTCAGCGAAGAGTCAACAGCATAGCCATAGCATTAAAGGAAGATCGTCGATCGAGTCAACGAAAGTCAATGGCGCCGAACATGGAATAGCACCAACAAATATCCCCGTAGGAAGATCGGCGTCGACACAGCCAAGATCGGCGTCGACGGTGAAGTTAATGAAGATCGCCGGCGGGGTCGCAGTTCAATCCTACTGCGAGCCAGCGCTTAAGAGCTGGCGTGATGATCGCCAAGAATGCACGAAGAGCGAGCGCCAGAATACAGAAAGAACGAAACGAACGAACGCAGGACAGGAAATGAAACGAAACGAAGGAAAGAAGAGCAAAAGAGAGGAACAACACGTACATTCGGTCCCAGAGAACGACCCAGAGCCATAGCTAACATTCTATAATTCGTAACACCGATCAGCATGTGCGTGTGGCGGTGGCGGTGGCGCAAACACAGGGGTATAGGAAAGGGCGTGGCAAGGAAAAAACACTCACGACTTTCTGACCCGTAGACTTACTAGTGCTCGTCTTGACATACGCCTTACCGGCGCCGACCCAGGTGTTGGACGAGCCGGTGTCGATGAGGAGGGTGTATTGCGTCGGGGGACTGCCGACGCCGACTGAGGTGGTGTAGGTCACACCTAGATCATACACACAAAGGGTATCAGCGCACACACTCCCGCACATCACCACAATAACAACAAAGTACGAACCCGCATCCGTAACATCAATCGAATCCCCATCCTCCCCGCTCGCCGCCCCACCCGTCCCCGTCTCCGTCCCTCCACTCTGTCCACTCCCACCACTCGCGGCCCCAGACCCCGCAACATGATGTCCCCTCTTATGCGGATGATGACTACGCCTCCTAAGTTCCTGCTGATGAAACGCGGCAGGCCCATGTGGGTGCAAGCCGGCGAGGAGTTTCTGTGCGCGGGCGCGGTCGCGGGTGACGATTTCGCGGGCGGAGGTGTTCTTGATGACGCGGGCGGTGAAGCCTAGGGTTTGAGACATTGTTGATGTGTTGTTAGGTGCAAGTGTTGTTGAAGGAGGTGTTGGTTGGTGGTGGTGGGGTGGAGCGAGAGAGATGGGTGGTTGTGAGGGGAGAAGAGGAAGTGGTGAGGTTTATATACGGACGAGATGCGAGGTAGCATGCGTCATCGGAAGGGAGAAGGCTATAGAAGGACAGCGTTCTGATTCCAAGGGGAAGCGAGTAACACGAGGAGCAAGCCACGCAGATCTCCTCCGGGGCCGGCAGTAATCTAACAGTAAGAATAGACAGGGGCTTTCGCTGGGAACGAGAAGCGCGAATCTGGCTGGGTTGGAGTCCGGGCTCGGAAGAGGGCTGGGTATGGAAGACACTGCTCAGCTGCGGAGGCAACACCGCTCTTCTCGTCACAGAGGAACATAGAACATATGCATATCGAGAGCCAGACTTGAGGTTGAAGATGAGACAGGGTGGATTGGATGAAAGGAGTTGGACTGACATCGTCGTTCGTCAGGAATAGGGTGATAGCTCGGTGATGTTGCTTCCTGCGTCATTCAAGGAACCAGAAGGAGCGACCGTGTGTGCGAACAAGAAGCCTTCAATCGCAACTTCACCAGCCCGGAACACATCCCTCGGCCATCTCGCCTTCTCGTCGCCCTCTCTTATCGCGCCGTAAGCAACAATACACGACCGTCATGGCCCTTCCATTCCTGGAACACAATGCGTTCGAGATTCGAATTCTGTTGGCTTGCAGCTCCGTCCATTCCTATTGTCAGCAGCCTACACTGTTCCCATCTAACGTTCCTCAGACGTCATTCTAGCAGAGAGATAAGAAGCCGACGCCGCATTACAGTAGTCAGTCACAAGTATAGCCAGCTGTGCAACGAAGTGACGAAGCAACAAAGCACAGCTCGTAACATCCACCCGGTGAGAGAAGGGGAGTCTGGATGATGGAACCTTGGAGACTAACACTCGTCACCGATAAGCTGCAAGCATAAGCGGTTCTGCAGCAGACCGAGGCACCATGCATATGCATGCGGTTCCGCTGACGATGGAGAGTTTGTGAGCATGGGAGTGTGGCGGTACGGTGCACAGTGTAATAGGGGAGCTCAGGGGAGCGTGAGCAGAGTCGGGGAAAGGCAGGAGCGGTTGGGTCAACTGGGGGACGGCGTCGAGGGAGAGGAACGAAAAATCTGGATCGGGGCGCCACAAAGTGAAAACATGGACAAACAAGGCACCGCACCGGACCCGGAGCACATTCCGGTGCCACATCGTTTTCTCGACTCACCGCTTCAGACAGGATCACCGCTTTAGACTACCGTCGAGAGCTTGCCCACCTTTTGACGACTCTACCACGGGTCTCTCTACACTCGCTTCTACATACTTGTTGGAAGCTCTAACTATGCGACTCCGATGATCCGCCGCCCTCCTGACTTCGACAGCAACTCAACGCCGTCTTCTCAACGGTACTCTGACTTGACACTGACTTCTGTTCTGACTGTCGAAACGAACGTTCTTGGACGTCCATCCGCATTGCTAGCTAGTGCTAGTCTAGCTTGAGGTCTCAGGCTGCTCATATTGTTGAGCTACCTGCCGTACTGGTCAATCCGCACCCGACTGCACGCCATACAGACATCCGTCAGCTAGAACCCTGCGAAGACAATCTCAAGCCCGAGGTCGAGATCCGTAAACTTACCGTCACTCTGCTGAAGGTCTGGGTCGAGCTACGTATGCACTTGGTTCAGCTTATCGACACACGATCTCTCCCAGATAGAGCTTATTGCTACCTGACCTTAGACTAACGGCGCTACGTCCATGCTCGTTTTTGGACACAGTCCACGGTATCTTGCGATTCGACGACAACCCCCGACTCTTGCTCAGGTGTAGAATCTGCTAGAAATACGGTGATTATTCAATAGGTGGGTCGGTTACTGTCCAGACAGTAAGTACGAGTCATGATATCATTTATAAGGAAATAGAGGATATAGTGTTATCGATGTCGAATGGTATAGCATATAACAATGAATGCTCCGTCTCAACGCTCAATCCTAAGCGAGGTGGTACTCAGTCGGTCGGTTCTTAGCCTCCTATGATCATCTGGATCCCAGCTGAAGCTCTCAACTGTGCATCTAATTTTCACTGTGCCAAACGGAATCATTCACCAGCACTCACCTCACCCTCTCTCAGACTCACACAGAGTCCGTCTGAGCCCTACATAATACCCCAATGGACTGGCTCTTCTTTACTCTGTGAATCTCTTTGGCCTAGTCTCTCGGAATTTTCGAGCTCCCATTGAGATGAGCGATACGTCCGCCACTCCGAAGCAAAAGATATTGTTTATTGTTTAGGCTCGCCGGAAGGGTCGACGGTGAAACAAAAGTCCTCGGGTGTCCGTAAGCGGTTCGTGCTGGATGGGGTCGCGGGCTGATCGAGATACTTACACATATAGAGCTACATACATAGTCGATTCTCTACTGATATTTCGGCGCAGAATGAAAGGTTTCATTTACGAACTCGGATCTCCCGCCCCGGAAACGGGCCTTTCACTACAACACTTCAGCTTCATGCAACTTCCATACATACCGACAGAAAGGCCCCATGGTCATGGTCATTCTTCTTGATACGGCCTCACTCGTATGTGCTCATTGTCCTGCATTCTGCGTTCACATGGATTGTGCGTCCTCTGTTTGCATATCTGTTCTCTTTGCCTTCCTGTTTTACAGCATCCCACGCTTCGCATTCAGACTGGACATGATTCACAGTATCCTGTGGTTAATTCGACGACAATGCCTGTCTCCTAGTCGCCGAATGCGCTATAATGGCCCATGGGTGAGTTGTCGTCTAGACCCTACTTGCCATGGTTTAATCGGAAAGAATAGGACAAACTGTCGTTGACGAAGCAGGTAAGTATGTATATGAATGCCCCTTCTCAACGTTTGATGTATATGATAGCCGAGGTGGTACTGAGTCGTGACCCGGTCTTTTCAATCTCGTACGGACGACTGAGACCGCTCAGCACAATGATGAGCACCGAACAAGTCCAGCGTATCACTTCGACGTCCATCTATTCTTCTGCTCTAAACACACACACACACACGCACACACACACACACACTCTCTCTCAATCGGCCACCAGCACTCGCCCTTCTCAATCTCGTCTGGGCCCTAACGGAGTGACACTTCTTTGCTCTGTGCCTCTAAATCCTTTCCTGGACCCGATCTCTCGGAATCTTCGGGTCCCGTCGGTCGCTCTGGCTGCGAAAGGATTCGGACTCACACTTAAGTACGCCTTTTATTTCTCGGTCTCGCACAAACTCCGTCGCTGCCCTACGTAGTCATGGAGTCACTCTTCTTTTCTTGGTGCTGCATTCCCTAAGTTAGATTCAGACCCAGTCCCTCGCAATCTGAGTCTTCGAGTCAGTCGCATCTGTATCTCGTATTCAAATATACGGTATATACTTACACTGCGGGAAGTATCACCGGTAGAAAGTACCGGATCATCCTGTAGGTATGTTACAGGACAATCCTGTACAGAGTACCGGATAACTGCCGGATTTTCCTGTAGTGAAGTACCGGATTGTCCTGTATGTAGTACTGGATTCTCCGGTAACTTTTGTCACTTTTCACTGGACAATCCTGTGAGATTGTACAGGGCAGTCCAGCACCCTTCACGATGGTTTCCGGTATTTTACACACATTGATTTGAGGCCAAAATAGTAAACAAGCGGGGAGAAACAGAACGACGGCCATGTATTGCTAGCAACTGTACGCTACGAAGTACATACACAGCTCAAAACACATGGACGCTGTACTGAATATAGCTTCACAGCTCAGCGTTCTATCACTCGCAAAGAAAATGCTGTCAGATGCCACGCACAACGATGAACCTGCGACAATGGATGGCAAGGAGATAACATGCCTACCTCAGTTGTGGTACTATTTCTCGTCCGCCGCTGAAAGCTCTGGAGCCGATGGCGAAGGGCAGTCCAGTTACGGCTGTCGGAAACAGGTCAGAGACCAGAGGGGTCGATTGGCTGGGTGAGAGTGGTATTTTAGAGGGTGAACTGTGTGAAGAACAAGTCTGTCAGTTACATGTATACTTCGAGAAGGAAAGAGTACAGGGGGAATATGAGCATATCTAGTATGGTCTCGGAGATCCTGGGTTTCCGGGAGAGGTTGTATTAGGGAACCTTGGTATGCAAAGCAATAGGGCGCACCAGTGCCGCCACATTTAGCATGATATCCGCAGTGAACAGTAGATGAACGAGGAAAGGATAGACGAGAGCAATACGACGTACATCAGCAATTCATCACTATCCTCAATACTAAACGACTCTATCCTCTCGTTTATACCCATATCCACCAGCCTATTCAGGTCGACCTCAACTGCCGCCACTAACGCAGTATCCAGCATCTCACCCCTCATCTTGCTCTGCACCCCCGCGAGCGACGCACCACCCGCTGCATCCACATGTCCTATGGTCAGAGCATTGAAAAGAAACTGAGCACGTACCTATCTGCTTCCTTTGGCTTCACTTCCGAACGGACTCTATGTGTAGAATGTGAGAGTTGACAGTGGTTTTCCAGAGAGAAAGCCGAACACTGGCAGCATAGTGTTCGACACAGTCCGAGCCATACCGGCCATGGCAGGGGAAAGAGATTTCGAAGGAAAACTAGCTCAGATGTACCCAGAACGTGTGTGTTGAAATCATGAATGACCATAGCGTGAACGAAATAGAGGGCCGAGCAGCATCGAGGTCGACGAGGCCGTTGGAAGAGGTTGGAAGGAAGTGATGAACCAAGCCAAAACACGGAACAACAAACGCGTCATCGTAGCGGCAATTTCCGAACAGCGCTCGCCACCCCGTGCGAGGCGATGTGGCGCCTTCCTTTGCAGCAATCTGTGAACTGCACATATTCTCTGCGACTTTGTGCGACCATTCGAGCACATCAAACTTTCTTCTTATGAGCTTCTCAGTGGCTGGTAGCTCTATATGATAGTATGGAACCACATGGAGCAGTAGTGTCTTCCAAATAAGTACTTGAGAATTGCTGGACTCGGAATACTAGCAAAGTATATATCATCCGCTAACGGCCTTGTGGATGACTCTTACAAATTAACACCCATGGAGACAAGAGTTAGGCTGATTTAATACACGCTAATTGACTCACATAATATAACTGTGCCCTCATGGTAGCAGGAATCCAGTGTTTACTACAGGAGTACTGGATTTTCCGGTGATCTCGCTACAAATGGCAGCAGTGATTGGAATCGGTGCTGGTACATGAGGAAAGGTAGAATTGGTCGCAACAATACTCTTTACATTGATTCATCATGGGTACGAGGCATTTCTCAGGTAGAACATGAAATACAGGAAAATCCGGTACTTTTGGGCGGTGACACTTATACAGGACAATCCGGTACTTTGCGGGCCACCACTGGATTTCCCTGTACTTGGTACAGGATTTACTTCCCGCAGTGCTTACGTTGCTCTGGCTGCTAGATAAGTAATTACAGTATATTGTGTGTGCTCGCAGAAAGCGCCTCGAGGCGCGAGCTGATGCACACTTACATAGCTTATTGCCTCGGTGTGGGTTTCTATTGATATATCGGCGCAGGAGGGACGTCTCCTTCATGGATGGTTCTCATACCTGGACCACGAGAACGGGACTTTCAGTATGTACTTCGCCTTTCAACTTCCGTTCGGATTCTTGATCACTAATAACTACATGTACACAGGACTTGAGCTTGAATCCTGAGCGAAGGGCAAGGAACGGGAATCGGCGTTTTCGTCAATAGCCTTCAAAGGAGTCGCTGAGGCTTACATTGCGGTATGCGTAGGGACTGAGCATACCCGGCCTTTGATTGATGTATACTTAGATAGAAAGGTGTGAATACTTCATCTCCGTGCTCGTTCGTTTAACTTGATAATATAGGTCTGTTTAGCGAAAGCTCTGGGTATGTATCAAGCTACATAGTCCACCTACCAGTGCTCTTTACTTGTCTTTCCCGTCGTCCTCGTACTCTGTCCCAAGACTCCAGGAGCTAGAACTTTAGTTCATATGACGAACGAACACCGTCAATCACTTTTCCCCCGCTCGTATGTACTATACCCCACTCCAGGCTTGTCTAAACGCCTGGTCCTGCTTGCGCCCTCGACGATATCCCTCCCGTAAGGCTTTGACTATGATATCTCAGGCATTGCAAGAGGTTGCATCTACTTATCTGGAGCTCGTATTCCCCGACTTTCATCGATCTAAGTATCCGTGGAGGGTCCAGACGTTGGTGATGTCGCACAATCTATCTACACCGGGAGATTTGTGTTTCGGCTTCACGCCGGCTGATACCCATGTTATCGTACAGACATAGCCTGTCTTCAGGAAAGGCTATTATCGCACGGCTCATACAAACTTAAAGCCTGGGGCTTTCCGAGGACTGTCTGCGCTCCTTACTAATTGGAGTGGACGGATCCGAAACCTTTCCACTGGATTCTCTGCCCGCGACATAGCTTGAGTTTGGTGGGATTTTCTCCGTATTTGTCGAGTGAAAATGCTCGTGAGCAGTCATTTTATGTGTAGATTGTGGGCTGTACCTAGTTCATCCGACTGGGAACATGAATCAGAATGTTGACTCCGTAGGCTTCGTGATATGTACCGTTGTGACCGATGGGCGATAACTGAGTATATAATACAGAGAATGAGGCTGAACAAACTATAAATTGTGAGAAAGAGCATGGGAAGAAGATGAAGGTAAGAGGCGGGCCCCGACATTTACGCAATTGACCCTTTTGCTTCAGTTCTAGCAGCGCTGACAGGGAACATAAATATTCACGGGCTATATCATTGGGTCACGTCAATACGGCGAACACTTCGTATGCTGTCTATTTTACCTCACACTTCCGGGCCTACCATTCCCCATTCGCACTACAGTCTCTGAATTCTCTTAAAGTGCTGACTTTCGCGCCCTGTAGGCTGTATCCAATCAGTTCGCACAGGCTTATGAAGTTGAGGTTGCAGCGGGGTCGACCATACCGTATCGCGTCTTCAGGTGAGGTACCACCTATCCCTGTGGATTCAGAATCGACGAAATATTTCATTCACTGTGCGTGTGGCGCTAGATCCGATGGTCTGTTGTGGCTCCAATTGTCCCCGGAGGCCATAGCAAGGTAACGGGTCTTAAGTAGTGAGTCGAAGGTGTTATCGGCTTGGTACCATGTGCACTTTGCGCCTCCAAAATTGGCAGTATGGCTTGACGGAAGTCATCTTTTGAGCTATGCGTTCCGATTTCAATTTGCGCCACAGACTCCCACGCCACCCGGCGCCACCGTGTCAGGATTTTTGTTGACTCGTTGTTTGGCGCGTCGCGCCTCAACTTGCTTTGACCTCGGCTAACGCTCTTGCTCTCAACCACCATCTCGCATCAAACTAGATCTCACAAACCATTTCACAACTACTCACTGCCCAATGTCTGAAAGCAAAACTCGTTCGACGAGGTCGCCTCGTCTAGATCCGGACCCGGACACGAACAGCAACATTGGCACATCTACTTGTGCCAGTCCGAGTAGCCCGAACATGAACCGTAGCACAGATGTTGAGGCCGTTTACGCATTGAATACTCCTAATCGGAGAAAGAGAGGTCGTTCAACTTCTGGTGCGTTTCGTTTCCGTGCTCAATCTCATCGATAACCGAACATACTAATACCATAACTTTCCTCTCCAGGAGAACGTCCTCACAAATATCATAAACCTGCCTCAGCTTCAGACGAAAACAGCGATACCGGAGTATCCACTGTCGTCGGACCTAGTACCCCGAAATCGAAGTCTAGCACTGCCCTTGAAGACGTCCATGAAGCGAATAGTCGTGTGAGAAGGGAAACACGACGTTCAACTTTTGGTGCGTTTCGTCTCCGTATAGGATCTCATTGATGACCAAAGACACTAATACCATAACTTTCCTTTCCAGGAGAATGTCCTGACGACTCTCGTAGACCTGCCTCAGCTCCAAACAACGACGCCAGCACATCCACTGTTGCCGGTTCCAGGACCCGGCGGGACTTGGACCCCAGCGCTGGTCATTTCGATGCAGTCTATGAAGCGAATATTCGTTTGGGAAGGAAAAGAAACCGATCACCTTCTGGTGCGTCTCGTCTCCGTACCAGATCTCATTTGACAACCGAACATACTAATACCATAACTTTCCTCTCCAGGAGAACGTCCTCAGAACTGGCCTAAACCTGCGCCAGCTCCAGATGTAAATAGCGATATCGGACCATCCACTGTCACCAATCCCGGTACCCCGAAATCGAAGACCAGCTCTACTTTTGATGTAGTCTCCGAATCGAATATTCGTTCAACTTCTGGTGTGTTTCGTCTCCGTATGAAATCTCATTTATGACCGAATATACTAATGCCATGACTTTCCTCTCCAGGAGAACTTCATGTTGAGCACCGTGGGATCAATAGGCCTACAACAGATACAACCGCGGCCAGCGTTCATGAAGAAAACGACGATGAAGGAGACATACAAGCTTCAGATGTTGCGAACGCCAATCTGTCGACTGCACCCGCCGACATAGTTTATGAGGTAAGCTCTTCGACCATCTCTTGATCACGGCGGCTTACATATATCGCATCGACATTCGGCCAATATGATAGATCTGCGGGTGGGGGACGCCAGGAGAGATGTTGAGCCTTGCTCGCACCTGTAAACGCGTGCGCGACATCCTCATGTCGCGTTCGAGTGTGACTATTTGGAAAAATGCGAGGCAACAAGTATCGCCTCCTATCCCAGATCCGCCTGCCTGTGTCTCTGAGCCCTTGTGGGCGTCTCTGGCCTACGATGAAATCTGTTCTGTGAGCTCCATTTCGCCGTTTGATGATAGTGATCTTTGCCGCTGACTGCTTTTGTCCTACAAGAACTGTGGCCGAACAACCCGTGAAAATCCTTGCTGGGCATTTTTATCACGCTTATGTGCAAAGTGCCGGCGCACATGGTTAGTCTGGACCCTCTCACATTCCTAGAGACATGCTCATCTCTGCACTCCTTCATGATTTAGCCTCATCGCTCAGGAAGATTATGGGACGAATAAAAGTAACACTGAGAATATTGTATGGGATTTAATCGTACACAGTCGCCAGATATCGGCTTCTAGGACCAGTGCGCTCTAATTGCTGTTGTAGTCTCGCTCATAACTGAAGATATATTCCTCCTTTGATAGTAATGTGTGTTAGAGACCAAGACTTGTACCAGCCCAAAGAGCTAGACAAGACTACCGCCCTCCTCTTCCAATACACACAAGATGTCATGACGAGGAGGAGAGGATCGAACGGTGCCTTAGAGCGGTTTATCAGCGAGAGGCAAAAGGCCGTTGAGCTCATGAATGAAGTAAGTCCTCCTATAATTGTTTTGCCCTTCTAGTCATTACGCAGGTCGAAGTGCTAATCTTTGATTTGTGTGAAGATGGATGATCGCATGAGAAAGTGGTTTATGCAATTTTACGAGCTTCGGTATGCCAGACTCAAAACGTCAGTATCCTTTCAGATGTCATAGTGCTAGTCTCTTTGTGACACGTCCTTTTGGGCAGCATACAATCTCACTTTGAAGGCGAAGGCTTCCACTCTTGGGAGTTCCTTACCGATGAATTTCAAGACATCGAATGTGTGAGATCAGTAGAGCCTCTAACGGATGAAGGTACGCGGCTTCTGAACCTACGCTTCGTCATCGCACAAACAGTAATAACCCGACTTTTTCCAGAGTGGTACAGTATTCGGCCGAAGCTTAGCTTTCACCTGATCAACGCTCGGTACCAGCGAGAAGCGGCTCAAGCTCAGGCCCTGAAAAAGGCCGGGGCCAAAACCCGATAGAGCATATCATGGAGATGTACTGAAGCAATTTGTATGGGAGCAACGACGAGGTCAAGCGTTACGGTCCGGAGAATAGCAACGGCCTCTGGATGGTGCGTTACGATTGCAACCACAGGTGGTGTGGCGCCGTAGGCGCCCCAAAAAATCATTAAATAACGCCTTTTTCGTAGCAACGGAGCCCTTGTTATGCGTCACGTAACGCTGTTCTGGCAACGGAACGGAGGGCGCGTTACGCGTTACGTTGCTCCCATACAAATCGCCTCAGTATGTTTTACGTGCTAGTCATCTATCATGTCGTCTTATTGATTATAGGGCCATAGGCACGAACAATCATGGAAGAGCCGGTTCAAAGGAAGGATTTCGTGTTATGTTCAACCTCGCGCCAGCAGCTAGTGCTGGGATAAGCACCTCTTGAACTGGTCGATTGTAAAGCTGGTTCAGGTGTTTCATATGGACAATCTCCCTATACGACCCGCCCTAGCCCACCCTAGTAGATTTTGCTTCCGTCGATCTATTCTTTTCATACTACGCTCATATTGTTATCTACTGTGTCTGTGTACAGTGTTGTTTTTAAGGTTTCTTCTGGAGAAAAATACGGTGCTGCACACTGTGGCACTGCTTTCGACGAGTCGTTTGATTCGGTGACTCGGTCGCGTCAACCTTGAGAGAGCCCGTGCATGCTTTCATTGATCAAAGCCCGTTTGTTCAAGACTTTGAAATATAAGTAGACAAAATACTGGGTGCTAGATTTCTCGGAGTACTCTACGTATTTACCTGCGCGTATGCTGAGAAAAGTCAGGAAAAGTCAAGGGCTCCTAGACGAACGCCTAAATAAAAATGTACTAAATAAAATGGCTCCACCAACTAGGCGCCGGCACTTGCCGAGGGCCCCATGTTCGATCGAACATGCCCCCCAGATGCCGAATTCCTTCGTTCGCAACATCAGCGCCCAAACGCAGACACATCAGACACAGGCACGCGAGTTGCCTTTTGACTTGGACACACAAACTACCGCACTTTCGCTAGCTATAGTATGTCCCTCTACGCCTCTTTGGTCTGGTCCCTTTGGGTGTACCTTCAGTACGCCCTCGGCCTTCCTCTTCTATCTCATCGTCAGGCTGTTCTGGGATTCCGCTGGTTTTTCCGTGGTCTCAACCAGTGTGGGAATATAATTACCGACAAAGACGTGCACAAACTGCTGGTCGACTGGGAAGCTGCCAGACAGGTGACGAGACCTGGAAACACCCTCGAGGACGAGCAAGACGAAATCGATATCAGGAACTGTCTCAAGCCCGATTCATCGTCCTCCGCTTCCCCTGCAGGTCACTTCGTAACGACGCTCACATCGCGCTCCTCTTCCTCCAAACCGCCACGCTTTGACGACGGATACCGGTTCCCGGCGCTTACCCCTCTATGTCGTCGACGATTATGCCACTCGGTGCGTCCATTAATTAACCATCTTTACATGTCTAAGCCTCGCATTCTATACTCAACTTCTGTCTCATAGGGAACCTGGCAATTCATATCTGGCCGTCTACTCAAGAACGCTGCCAAGAATCACAAGCGCGCTGACGACCTCGAATCATGTCTCTATGTCCTCGTCTATGTAATTTTCCGGTACCAAGAAAGCTCACTGAACGAGGACTTTCTCGCCCTTGAGATGGAGGAGATCTTTAACCAATCGGATATCGTTGAAGGTGTTCATTGCGGTGGACGAGGCAAAGGGTCATTCCTTAGGGGCAGTGGCTGGACCCTACCGCCCAAGATCGTCACGGAGTCCTTTCCCGTCGCCCTTGCCGGCATCATCAACAGTCTTCGATCCATATTCGTCAAGCGCTACACTAGTCGCCCGGAGCCACTGGATACTGTGCATGCCGTGTATAGGAAGGACGTGCAGGTGCAGTGGGATCGCTACAACAAGGACAAAAAACGAGCAAGAGCGGCGCTCAGCACCTCCAACGAGGTCATCGCGATATTCAAGACATTCCTAGATATGCCGGATAGTGATTGGGAGGAAGGTCGGCCGTACATGGATCGCCTTGAGTGGCAGTGGATCAGTGAAGAGACGATGCAGAACGAGCGTAAACGTGAACAATTGCAGGCGACTCCGATGGGCAATAAGAAGAGGGCTACGGGGGCGGGAATTCACAGTGGATGAGTGGACAGAGATTTCTGGATTTCTATCTATGGCGGGGAGTAGCACACTGGCTGCGACTTGGGCTTGACTTTGTACTTCATAACGTGTGTATTAGGGCAGCCTAACGGCGAGGAATGCAATTACATCTAAGCAGTAAAGAGCGAATAATGTAGGAATATATGGGCGGAAGGGCTTAGAGTAGGTAAGAAATGAGGTTTCGATAGGCCGCCGCATAACATGCGATTAAAAAGACGATTAGTAGTCCTATATACGTATGTAGGTTAGGGGAATCACGTCCAAGAGAGTTCGCCCATACGGGTACGGACCGTGTCTGGAGTACACTAGATCTGCGACGAAGACTCAGCTTTCATGCATACAACAGTCTAACAATAGATGAGGCGTACTTACCATTCGGGTCGAGGTTCATCCTCAGGATACAACAACACCAATTTATCGAAGTCCACCTCCTCTGAACTTGGCATCTTCGCGTCAACGTCAACGTCCACATCCACGTCCGTCGCCGTGCCAGACATCGAACCGTCTGGCACATCGGACCTCGCCGAGGATTCGATCACCATACGCCCCACTTCGTCTTCGTCCTCTATATCCTCCGTCTTCATGCGTATATAACGACTCTCGTCATTCTCAGATCCTGCAATCATCCCACCATCCACGCTACTAATACTCATCTCATGCTGCTCTCCTTCGAACGCCCCGGTGTCCGTGGTAGCCGAACGACCTGAAAACCTATCCGCAGATGACCAAGATGTGTGGTCTTGAGGTCGAGCCATCGAAAGTCGAATCGTAATCGTGTATAGTTTCGGAGTCTCCTCGACCTCCGCCACCCTGGCGTCCTCCGCCTCCTCCGCCTCCATCTCTACCATAGCTTTCTCGCCAGCAACCGTCGTAGACTTCTCCTGGACCCCTTCTACCGTAACCACACCAATCTCCTCCTTTCGATCTTCGTTCGGTATACTCTCCTCTCTTGGCACGTCTGTAGACGTCTTCTCCATCTGAGGATCTCGTGCAGACACTAAGTTGGATTCGTGGGGTCTACTGTTACCTGGACCAGGTTGAGACGTACACGACACCACGACATTCGTGCCGCAAGAGTGAGATGCCGTTTTCGAGGGCGATGTAGCAGAGGATCGTTGAGCTTTCTGTTCGAGAGAGCAACGATAATACGATCGAAGTCCGAAGCTGTTGTTCCTCCGAGACGTAGACGTGCCGCCGTACCTGTTTTCCATGTATATGGTGATGAGTACGAGAAACATCGAGGGAGAACAACCCGAAGTAGGGTTTCAAGTTGTTTTATGTAGTAGACATACCGAACATACTCATGTCCGGTAACAGAGCCGATTCGGTTCATGATGTCGCGAGTCGCGGCTAGAAGGAATATATGCTCTGTGATAATGCGGGGGAAGGATGCGTGGAAGACGAATGGTTCAGCAGAATCGTCAGCCGAAGACGGCGGTTGTTTGAGGCGCGTCCGGAGGTCGTCGAGAAGACAGGATAGGTCGGCATGGATCGTTGGCGCTGTGCTCGACGTTGACGGAGACGTGATCTGTGGTAAAGAACGGTATCAGTCCTTACCTCACGACATCCACGACGAATTTCAGGTGGGCATGGATGAAGATAATTTATGTTTCAGAAGGGCCACAAGGAGAGACAAGACCCACCTTGAATGAGTACTTAGGCTCCGAAGTAGTAGTCATTGGGTCTTGCACGGTCCCATCGGGACTCCTCATCGTGCTTAACTTCGCCGCATTCATATTCTGTCAACCATGCGCATTAGCAACACATTCATTCGATGTCCCGAGCAGAAAACTTACCGCAGAAGATGATTGCCCACTAAAAGCCTCCCGCTCCCTTAATTTCTTCTTCTCCTGCCATTTCTTGGTCGCGATCCGTTGTTTCTCCTTGCACTCCTCGCACTGCACGTAGTTGTACGCTGACAGAGGGGGAAGAATAACACCGCATCCTATTCGTGTACAGCGCCGTTGGGTCAAGGCGGAGCTCAAACTATCGGTTGCTGATGTTGGTGTGACTGGCGAGATGATCGGGAAGGGAGAGGAAGGTTTCGAAGGTCCTGCGTCGGAGGGTACATTTTCCATCTACCAGAATATCAGGTTCACTATCAGGCGAAAGAAAAAAACAGAGAAAACGCACGACAGACTCGCCGGAAGCCTCCCGCTCCCTCAATCGCTTCTTCTCCTGCCATTTCTTGTACGCCATACCCTGTTTCTCCTTGCAATTCGCACACTGCACGTATTTGTACACTGATAGAGGGGGGAGAATAACGCCACAGCCTATTCGTGTACAGCGCCGTTCGGTTGAGGCGGAGCTCAAATGACCGATTCCTGATGTTGGTGTGACTGGCGAGATGGTCGAGAAGGGAGAAGAGGGTTGCGAAGGTCCTGCACTGGAGGTTGCGTTTTCCATCTACCAGGACATGGTGTTCAATATCAGGCAAAATGTCAGACCAGAGAAAACGCACGACAGACTCAGAACCGCTCCGCGATCCTTCAAGGTTGTTGGGCTCTTCGTCCTCCACATTAATACTTCCACCCCTCATTTTTTCCCGCTGCCGTTCGGAATATGCCCGAGCGTCAAGTCTTCCCTGCTCCCGACAAGATGCACATTGGATGTAATGGTAGCTCGCAAGATCTGGAAGAGTATTGCCACAGCAACGTCGCGAACAGATACGTTTTGAAGATGTATCCTGAGAGGCATCGACTCCCGGTTTGGTTGTGGTTATGCTGGTGGGAATGAGCGAACTGGAGGGCGTTTGTGCGTTGGAAGTACCTGGGTCGATATTCTACGGTTGTGTGGTGTCGGCTCACATATCCACATTCCCTAGACAGTAGGGAAGAACTTACCATGGCCTCGTTCTCACACGCAACAGTAGTCTGGATTCCTTCGTTCACCTTCACATCCTGCTGTTGCTCCTCGTCCAACCTCTTCCGTTTCCTTTCCCTGACGCCTGCATTCATAGCTCTTCCATGCTCCTTACACGCCGCACATTGCACATAGGGATAGATATTGGCAGCTGGTAGGACGGCCCCACAGTTTCTGCGTGTACAGACGCGGGGTGCGGAGGGGTTGGGAGTTTGATTGTTTATGAGGGAACAAGATGGTGATGATGACGGGGGTGGGGCACTGAGGGAGGGTTGCGGTCCTGAAGCACCTATTTGGATGGCCTATCCGTCCAGCAATTTCCATGCCTCGTAAACAGACCACACGTCAAGCCCAGGTCAACAGAAAATGATCGCTCACCTGCGTTTTTGACGACTCGTTTCTTATACTAGAAGCGCTCTCCCTTTTCATTCGTTTCCTCTCATTAAAGACGCGCATTGCCTCTCGACCCTTTTCGCGGCAGGATTCACATTGTACGTAGACGTAGACGGAGACGGGAGGTAGGGTGGCCTTGCAGCCATTCTTGCTGCATTGGCGTGTATTAGGAGAGGAGGGCAGTTCACTAGGTTCCAAAGACGGCAGCGTAGACATAGACTCCATAGCCCCAATAAATCGTGGATGGTGAGGTGGATGTCGATGCTTAGTCCAGCACTTGGGCTGAAAGAAATAGTAAAAAGCTTCGGAGAAGACTGACGGGAAAGGAGTGAAATCGGAAGTCGGACTGAACCACACAGATAAACCGAGGAAAATGTCCACAAATCTCGAGTAAATATATCCTCAGTTTCGTGGAAATCAGGCTACATGTGATGTCAACAACCAGACTAGGACCGAGAAGCAATTTGGATGATCTGCGCAGACTTTACCACTTGCTATAAAATCTTGTGTGGAGCACCAATTACCTAAGCGCTTGGGTCTATCGATCCGATAGCGTGGCGAATACTGGCAGATATTGTCCTCATCATCGACGACGCCAACCGTGGCTATTTTCTTCTCTCACTAACGACAGTGGCGACGACAAGCGCGACGAGTGCGCTGTCGTGAGCGATACCCTGGACGATGCCACAGTCCCTCCCATTCGAGTCTCCAGGGGCTATCTCTGAGCTCCCTTACGTCTCCTTCCTTCTCGCGTACCCCCACCCCGCGTTCCTGCTGCCTGCCGTCGTCGCTCCAGGCAAACTCGCGCCTTCTCTAGTACCAACATGGTGCAATCCGATGCTCGTGGCACTCCTGACTGGCTCGCGTAGTGTCAAGAATAGTCGTCCAGTCACGCCAGACGGTCAGCTCGCCACATCTTTCGTCGAAAGCCTCCGGTCAACAGAGGTACGACGAATTGGCGAGTGGATGATGAGCGACGATCCGGACATTCTCTTGACGATGCGGCCACTTTGGATAGACCAAGACCACCCCGACATTCAGCTCCAGCTCACGAAAACGAGACTGGGCAAGGTTTGGGTCGTCACGTCTGTGCCACGTTCTCCGCTGCCCCCGATCCCAAGTACGCCGACCACTATTGCCCAGAGACGAGCGCGCGACGAGGATCTGAGGATATCGCTCAATTTGAGGCAGCAAGCAAATTTGCAGGTCACGAACTTGCGCGACAGTAGTATGGTCGCCATGGTCGAGTCGTTCGATTGGGCAAGTACGCCACTGGGCCCCCGAGAGAGTTGGCCACAAAGTTTGATCACATCGCTGGGCGTCTGTCTGTCGTCATCAGTACCGGTACGTACCTCTTATATACCTCGTTTCTCACTGCTTGTGGTCTGAATAACGCTCGGTACGAATTTCTACTGTGTATTCTGACCGTCGTATTGTATAGGGCGCGGTATGGTGGGGAGAGGAAGCTGTGATAATCTACAATGACGCCTAGTCGGTTTTTACAGTTCTGAACTTGAACTATATCCGAGATTCTCACGTCTATATCTAGCGTACCTACGGCAGGTTCGAAGCATCCGCGAATATTTGGGCAAGCTGGCTCCGTCGCTTGGAGTGAGCTATGGGAAGAAATCGGCCCGATTGTCAAGAATGTGTTTGACGGAGCAAGTGTCTGGAGGCAAGATGGTAACTCTATTACAATTTTTTCTCTCATATCCTTTCCTGATCGTCTCCTAGACCTCTTGCTTTTCGAGCGATTGACGAATGCTGGATTACCTGAAGAAAACTACTACGACTGGAGCTACCGACCAGTCAATCAGGAAGACGGTACCATCGGTGGAATACTGAGTAAGCAAGCCTATGTCCACTGAGAGTGAACCTGACTGATTCTCTGCAGACGATTGTTTTGATACAACGCAGAAGATACTCGGACAACGCCGTATGCGCTGCCTGAGCGATCTCACAGGAAGCACAGGCCTCTCCTCCTCGCCCACCGAATTCGCACAATCCGTCATCCACACACTTTCTCGTGAGGCTTACGCCCGTGACGTACCCTTCGCGGCTTTATACTTCTGTTCTTCTTCTGGCCCCACGAGCACCGCGCCAGCCGCCGCTCCATCTCCCGCCACAAAACCCTCGGGGATCGTCCACGTCGAACCCGTCTCGACACAAATCACCGTCACGCTCACGCTCGCAGGCACAATCGGCATACCGGATGGACACCCTGCTGGACCGGAATCGGCGAGCTGTATCGTCGAGCTGGCGTCGCAAGTGCCCGTGTCGCCACAACTGCTGGGTCTGACGGGATTGCAGACTACTGACCTGACGACGTCGATTTCGTTGGGTCAGTCGAGAGATTACATCACGAGTAAGGACGGGAGGAGGGCTTCTGCGGTGGCACCAAGCTCTACCAGCACTGCTACAAGTTCAGGGAGCAGTACTGGGACCGCGACTGGCATCCTAGGCGCAAATCCGACCTCTCCCGCTTCTGTTTCTGGGAAAGATACTTGTCCGTGGCCATTTGCGGAGGCGTTATTGAGCGGGCGTGTCATGCATCTCGATCATCTACCAGAGTCGGTCACGGAGGGATTGATCAAGAGGGGATGGGGAGATGAGCCACGAGAGGCTGTTTTATTGCCGATCTCGTTGGAGAGTGCGAGGATTCCTAATGCGGTGCTGATTTTGGGATTGAATACGAGGCGGCCGTACGATGCGGAATATGCGTCATTTGTGGACATTACGAGGTTGACGCTGAGCTCGACGTTGGGAGCTACGTTAGGAAGGGAGGCAGATCTGCAGCGAGCAGAGTGAGTGTTTCTTTGGTTTAGACGGTTATGGGAGATTACCGAACTTTTTACGCTTTCGTACAGGCACTATGCTCAGCTGGACGCGGTATGTATCTCATCTCTTCTGAGGACGACACGCTAATCATTGCCTCGGTGGCACGCCAACAGGCCAAAACCGCGTTCTTTTCGAACGTATCGCATGAACTCCGTCAGTATCCCTCTCTCTTCCCGATAATCTTCCTTCCGTGTACTCACACGCCACTTCATTGTCAGGAACTCCACTGACTCTCATCGGCGGTCCACTGGACGACGTGATCGCTGACCTCCCCGAGGGCCGAACACGTTCGAACCTCAAGCTCGCAGCGCGAAACGTCCGCCGGCTTTCCCGCCTCGTCGACTCCTTGATGGACTTCAGCAAACTCGCGGCAAACAAACTAGAGGGTTCGTTTCGTTGCATCGAACGCCGGTATAGGAAGTTGACCTTGTGGCACGGCTATGCCCTACTGTTTACATTCAGGACACTTCCAGCCAGTTCAACTTGGAATATTTACGGCGGATCTTGCTTCGCTGTTTAGGAGTCTTATAGAGAGGAGTGGGATTCAGGTGATTAGTCTGTGTTTGTGGTCATGTCTTGTAGTGAAGACACGGTGCTGATCGATTTTTTCTTCTTGCTCTTTCTCGCAGTACGAGATCGTCTGCGATGAACGTGTGACACAGCCATTGTGCTATATTGATCCAGAGTACGTCTTTTCCCCTCCCGCATTGGCAAGGTTTTTGAAGATTGACGTTGACTGTACGGCTTCGTTGCAGTTTCTGGGAGAAGATCGTCTTCAATCTCATCGGCAACGCGTTCAAGTGTACATCTACATGGCGTCCTTGCTTGAAGGAATCCCCAATGCTGACGCCGTAACATGTTCTAGATACATTCACTGGAACGATTACTGTGCGCGTAGGATTCACGTCGACACATGCGGTATTTTCGGTGCAGGATACTGGTATTGGGATCTCTGAAAGAGGTGCGTTTGTTTGTGTCGATGTGCTAATGCCGTCCATGTCTCAACGTTTATGAACCTCACATCCGTCAACCAGACCAGTCGAAGATATTCGATCGGTTCCACCGAGTCCAAGTAAGTCTTCTCCCGCGCTGCATCCGTGTTTTACTTGTCTGACTATTTGCCTAGTCTGTTAGTCGTAGTCATGAGGGTACAGGTATCGGCCTGGCTCTGACGAAGGTCAGTCACAGCTGCTACATAGCTACGAAAGATACCTATTGACATCTTGACGTAGGAATTGGTCGGCCTTCATGGGGGAGAGCTCGCCGTAGAGTCTGCTACGGGTGACGAAGAGCACGGTAGCAAGTTGTACGTCCAACCTCCATCGCAACCTCCCTCACTCTGAAAGAGCTACGACTGAACCACCCACACTCAATACAGCACTGTCAAACTTCTTCTGGGCAAAGAACATCTCCCCATGGCCAACACTCTCGACGTCTCCTCAACTCTGAACCGCCAAGGATCCTACGCCAAAAACATAGTAGAAGAAGCTAGGATGTGGTCTATGAAAACCTCTGGTGCGAGCGTCGAAGGCTCGACGCCTAGTGAGTCGGAGGGATCTGGGTCTTCGGATTCGTCTGGTAGCACGGGTCCAGGAAGGTTTGAGATGTCGTCGTTGGTGTTCTCGAAGTCGGATGTGGTTCTTTTAGGTGCGTGAATTAGATTGTCTACGAAAGTGTGCCTTGAGCGTATGCAGACGGAGCTGACGACGGTGGGCGTGTTGTGGCGTGATGATTTGCGGACAGTGGACGATAATTTGGATATGAGACGAGTGAGTGCTTATTCGCCGTCCTTCTCCACCCGAACGGGGTGCTCACTATGTCCCTACACTTGCAGTATATCAAATCTATGTGAGTGCTTTATCATCGCGTGAGGACTCAAGAAGCAGCCTGTTCACGCTGTTGTTGCGCTGCACATAGATTAGCACCGTATTGCACCAGTCAGTTATTCTCATCTTTATTCCACGCTTTATCACTCATTTGGGTTCCTGCGTTGGCTCTAGTAATTGAGGCGAATAACGGAAAAGAAGCGCTGGAGACCGTGGCGCATACAACACCGGATCTCATCTTGTCCGACGTTATGATGCCAAGTGTGTTGTTTCTCGACAACATTTGCGTTATTGGTTGTGCATTGCAGGCTAATATTTGGAATAGTAATGGATGGTTATGCGCTTTTACATGCTCTGAGGGCCCGGAAGGAGACAGGTTAGTAGACGCCATAATTTCATCGCGAGTCATCAGGACGATGTCTTACCATTTCCCAAATCCTTCGCGTATAGCAATGACACCGGTAATCCTGATCACCGCGAAGTCCGATAGCGAAGAGACAGCTGAAGGACTGGTAAGTCCCTGTCGATAGATTGAAGTCAATAGTGTAGCTCAAGACAGTCTGTTCTAGCTTTCTGGTGCGGACGAGTGCGTGCGCTTGTTCTTACACCTATACGTTCGTTGACATACAACTTGTCTATTCTAGCTACCTCACGAAACCTTTCAAGGTGCGAAATCGTCTTGTTTCTTCCAGCGAACCACTTGCTTACGGTTCGCTCAGAGCTCGGAGCTGGTCGCCAGGGTGCACCTGCACATGAACCTAGGAAAGAGCAGGATAGAGCTTGAGGCTCGCTTCCAGTGCGTAGACATGCCTTATTTTTCGTTTTCGTTTGTATTTACACGTAGACGCTGACAGAGAGAGAACGCGTGAGCTAGCACAATTGCTGGAGCTGAGCCCTGTCGCTATCATCAGGTGAGCAACAGGTAAAGTCCAGGCAGCTGGACCCGTTTGCTCATGACTACGTTATTGTTTAGGTCTGCCCGCGATGGCAGCATACTCTACGGTGGGTAGCCGTGGACTGACCACGTACTACGAACACTAATTGATTGCTCGCTAGTCAACCCCGTATGGTACGAGATCTCCGGGCGCAAAAACGGCAGTCCTCTGGATGAATGGTTCGTCTATCGTTTACTCCTCGCACGTCTTGTGTTTGACCGCTGTTTCATAGGCCTGAAAGGTGACGCTTCTACCAAAACATACCTGATCGCATGAATTGATCTGATTTGAGCTCGTCACTAGCCTACTGGAAGAAGATTTTACTACTGTCATGGACTTTTGGAGACGCATCCACAGGCCTCCAGCACCCGAGGCAGAGCCCGATGAGAAAAATCTTCTGTTAGACTTCCGTGAGATTAAACTGTAAGTACAGTTCGTGGTCTACATGCTGATCATTCTCGACTTCATGAAGGGTGGAGAAATGGGCGCTGGTGTCAGCTACAAGCTGAACGCACTGAAGGAGGAGGTACACGTAAGTCTGGTGCTCCTCACTCGTCGCTTTGGATTCCTCTGATTAGAAATCACCTCCTAGTCTGCAGTATCACAGACACCAGCCACCAGCGGCTATACGAGGCCCAGAAGCTTGCGTACGCACAGGAACGGGAGGCGATCGCGGCCCGGAGGGCTGAGGAGGCGGATGAACGTAGAAAAGAAGCCGAAGAACGACGGCGGGGCCAAGGTCTGTGTTCACATCGCTCTTGTTTGGGTTACTTGCTCATGCTTTCAGCTCTCAGAACTACTGATCGATGTTACATCTCATGAACTTCGACAGCCGGTATCGGCGATCATCAACTGCAGCTCCCTCGTACGATCTAATATGACTACTCTGAGGGACACGCTCTACGAGTGTCTTACTTCTCAGTCTTCGTTTGTACCTGAAGAGCAGCTGCTGGAGACACTCGACGACGACCTTGAGGCCCTAGACTCGATATATCAGTGTGGACTGGCTCAAGGTATGTCCCTCGATTGATCTAGTGCCGTAGCATGTGTTTGACTGAAGCTCGTAGAACGCATCGCCAACGACGTCCTTTCCCTATCGAGGATACAGTTGAACGTTCTCAGTATCCACCCGGGCCCGTTCAGACTTGTGTCGGAAGTGAGGCGAATATGCTCCATCTTCCGAAACGAGGTGAAGATGTGGGAACTCCGATTTTTCTATCCTGCTCGGTATTGACTGGCTGATATCCTTAACTTTTTTGTTTTGTAGGAAAAAGATCAACCTGGAGGTTGGGTTTGGTGAATCACTCCCCCTTCTCGGCCTCTCGTACGTCGCTTGCGACAAGGCCCGGTTCGGACAGGTCATCACGAATTTGATGAGCAATGCCATCAAGTTCACAGACGTGAGTCTTCGTACCTACCACATGTTTCCTCTTCTAATGTGCCGTGTAGACCTCCGCGGGCAAACGTGATATCATAGTCAATGTGGAAGTGGCATTGAGCGAACCACCCGACGGAAGCTGCAAAGCACCACCACTGCACATTTCGCAACCTGGATATGTAGTCCCTCCGAATACCCCGGTCTACATCTACGTTTCCGTCACGGACTCGGGACCTGGACTACAACCAGATGACCTAACTTTGCTGTTCAAACGGTTTGTGATCTATAGTCTCTGCAGCTACCAGTCGAGGCTCATTTTCTTTGAAGATTCCAGCAGGGATCGGTGAGTGCCAGTGCTCGATCGCTGTGCATGTGTATAGTCTGATAACCTCCCTTCGTGGCGTATAGAACTCGCACGACGTCTTCGGTGGCTCCGGCTTGGGTCTATTCGTCAGCAGATCCTTGTGCGACTTGTACGATTTCCATTTGCTTCTGTCATGTCTCGTACTCTAACACGCGATATATCTAGAATGGGCGGTCGAATTTCGGTTGACAGCGAGTACGGCCAAGGCGCCACATTCAGGTTCTTCATCAAGTCGCTGGCAGCGCCCACACCACCAGTCGGCCTCGATTCTCCCGCCTTGTCAACTCCGAGCAGTAGTATCAGCCCTGGATCACCGTCTGAAGCAGTGGATTATGTGGCCGTTGCCGGCGCGGAATACCATATCCTCATCACGGAGGACAATATCATCAATCAGGTATGCGACTGGACTTTGGCTCAGGCTGGGTTGATAGGCTAATACTTGTGTTCAGACTGTACTGAACCGCCAGCTGAAAAAGGCCGGGTGTTCGACAGAGCTTGCGAGTAATGGATTGCAGGCGATCGAGCGCGTTCAAAAACTGGCCACCATCAACGACGCAAACGGTGTTCCGCGACATTTCGACGCAATCCTTGTATGCCGTCCTTGGTTCTATCGTTTCTGTTTCTACCTGGCTGATCAGAGCGCATGCTAGCTCGATGTTGAAATGCCTGTTATGGACGGATTGACCGCTGTCCGTCAAATTCGGAAGATGGAGGCGTCGGGAGAGTTGCCTGGGGGGCGTAATTGGATATTCGCACTCACAGGCAATGCGCGCGAGGGGCAGATAGAGAATATCCGGAATGCCGGTATGGATGATGTCTTGGTGCGAAACACCTTCACTTTCGCTCGCCCCACCCCGCGTATGTCCTTCGTAGTTCAAGTGGCTGACTGTTCTCGGTGTGGCGTACAGATTAAACCATATCGCATAGACGATATCATGGCTAGGATTCGAAGTACCCGCCGGAGTCACGGACCCTGACCGTGATGCTCTTATTTTTTCTTTCTCCTCGGTGTTGTGTCTGTCCTTTTGTTCCGCGGAAACCCATGTCATCACTACTCCCGCGTTGCTTTTCGATCTCTTGGATGTACTACTATATCTATTTTTCAGTGGCCGCGACCGCTAACTACTAGGCGACTGTAGCCATATTTCCCTGTTCACAGTACATCTATTGTAGCGCCTACTATGGCATTTACCTGGGTCATCCTTTCTTCACCGCTCTTGTCACATACCATGCCATTACCACCTCTTCCGTCTCTGCCTTTGCGCATAGACATGCCGTTTCGTAGGTACGTGCCTCTTCTCACGCTCTCTTCCTGTGGGTATGTAATATGTATGACTCGTCGAAGCAGGGCCTAGGCACGCACCTTCCGTTAAACCCGTTCCGGAAGCAGACAAAGGTTAAAGTACGCGTGGACGCACGTGGCGAGTGGGGTTGCGTTGGAGTTTTCCCGATTCAGCGCCGTTTCCGGCGCCACCTCTACGACGTTGTGATCGGATCTTCAAAGCCATAAATTTCGAGAGCTCATTGTCGACAGCATTAGCGGACGCACTCTCCAAGCTGTTCTTCTCGACGTCGACGATAGACCGACACCGCACTGGGCAACGACGCCCTCCCAATTTTCCTCCTCGATGACGGCCGTGCAAGATCTTCCATACGCATCCTACTTGTTCAATTACTCATTCCCTGCCTTCCTCCTCGCCGCCGTCATCAGTCCCGGCAAGGGCGCGCTTGCCGTCCAGCCCAAGTGGTGTAACCCTGCACTGGCTTCTCTTCTCGTCGGGTCCAAGAGTACAAGTTTCAATTACGACTCAAACGAACGACTCGCTACTGCATTCATCAGCTCTCTCTCCGCATCTGAGGTCCGCTCGTTTGGGCAGTGGGCATCTGGAGACGAACCCAAATGTATCCTTAGCCTCAGGCCGGCATGGATTCCCCAGGGCGTCGACGATATTCAGCTCGAAGTCGTGAAGACTCAGATGGACGCCTACTGGGTTTGCACGACCGTGCCGAGGACAACCCTACCGCCTCTGCCGAGCACGCCGAGGACGATAGTGCAGCGAAGAACAAGACAGGAAGCCGTCCGTATGTCCCTCGATCTCAATCCCCGCACTACTCTCCGTATGTCCAGCCTTCGTGGCGGTACTATGGCGGCGATGGTGGAGACGTTCGACTGGGCGAGCACATCTCTCGGTCCTAGAGAGAGTTGGCCGGAGTGTCTTGTCGCGGCAGTGGGCATATGTCTTTCTTCTTCCATTCCGGTAGGTTCTTTCTCGTGTAGTCAAGTTTGCCTTTCTTCATTCCTTTAATTGCAGTCCGCTATCTGGTGGGGGAAGGACACGGTGTTGATCTACAACGATGCTTAGTGAGCATCGTTTCTCGAGTCTATAGTGCTTCCGCTTATCTTCCATCTCTAGCGTGGCCACCGCTGGCTCGAAACATCCTCACATATTCGGCCAGGCAGGGCCTTTAGCTTGGAGTGAGCTATGGGAGGAGCTTGGGCCGGCTGCTCACCGCGTGTTCGAAGGCGAAAGCGTTCGCAAACAAGACGGTAAGCCTTACTGACATATCTGAAAGCTCATCAGATTGAATACATCCTCAGATGTCTGGTTTCTCGAACGGCTTACCGATGCATTCCTTCCGGAGGAGAACTATTACGACTGGAATTTTAGGCCCATTTATAAGGCAGACGGGACGGTGGGCGGGCTTTTGAGTGCGATCATACCACTTGTATCGACATCATGTATACTGATTCACGTTATAATAGACGATTGCTTTGATACGACACAAAAGATCCTTGGACGGCGTCGTATGCGCTGCTTGAGCCAACTAACGGACGCAACAGGTATCACAGCAACCCCCGAGGCTTTCGCCGACGTCGTATTGAAGACCCTTGAAAACGATAACTACGTCGAGGATATGCCCTTCGCCGCGTTTTACTTCTGCTCTGCTGCTCCAGAAGCATCACGCGCGACATCTCCGAGACCGTCAGGGATCCTTCGTAACCTCGACGAAGAGTACGCGGGAGGAATACCGATTACCTTGACACTTTCCGGAACGATCGGAATTCCAGAGGACCATCCAGCGGCGCCTAGGACAACAATCTGCGTTGCTGACGTGAGTCCAACGCTCGACGTGTGTGCTCCTCCTCCTACATCGAGCCTTACACATGAGCAGATTGGTGGCGGATCTTCCCGTCCTGGTTTGCTTTCCTCTTCGATACTGCTGAGTGCTCCGGCAGATTACACGAGCGCTCAACAATCCAGACACGACTCATCTTCTACAGCTCCCACTCTTCGACGGAATAGAGCGACTTCCGGTGATGGTACACCTGTCCCGCTCTCTACGCCTCCTCCGTCGTGCGTGTGGCCGTTCGGGGAGGCGCTCGCACACCGTCGTGTTCTGCATGTTCCCTTCCTCACCGAATTGGTTACTGATGGTCTCGAGGGCCGAGGGTGGAAGGATAAACTTCGGGAGGCGGTAATCATCCCTATTGGCTTTGACGATGCGAAGCTGCCACAGGCGGTCCTCGTCTTGGGAGTCAATACGAGACGACCGTATGACGCGGAGTATAAGGAGTTTCTGGACATTATGAGATTGTCGTTGACTTCGACGTTGGCGGCGACGCTGGGGAGAGAGGCTGAGGTGCAGAAGGCGGAGTACGTATTGTCTTGCCTCAGGATGTGATACATCTGACGTTCAACGCTATTCACCCCCCTTCAAGATACTTCGCACAATTGGATGCGGTAGGACACCATGATGATGCTGTGCTTTATACTGCTGATTACGATATTACAGGCGAAAACCGTGTTCTTCTCAAACGTCTCGCATGAACTCCGTGCGTCTATACTCCGTCTCCTCAAATCTCAAAAATATTTTATCCGGGATAATAAACATTTCATCGCACCTTCCTTCACGCACACGCAATAGGGACGCCACTCACACTCATAGGCGGCCCTCTCGACGATGTCATCTCCGATCTACCAAACAGCCGAATGCGGGCAAACCTCAAGCTCGCAGCCCGGAACGTTCGTCGGTTGTCGCGGATCGTCGACTCTCTGATGGACTTCAGTAGACTGGCGGCGAATAGACTCGAAGGTTCGCTTTAGTCTCTGCCATTGTGTTTTGTTTCTGTTGGTGTTCTGAAGACAACGCGAACTCTTCGTCTGAGATAGGTCATTTTCAGCCGGTGCAGCTTGGCGTGTTTACGGAGGACCTTGCGTCGCTGTTTCGAAGTCTTATCGAACGCACGGGAATACAGGTATGCTTTCAGTGGAGAATTGGGTGTGAGAATGCGTTGCTAATCAGACCCTATAGTACCATGTTATCTGCGACGCAGACCCGCATCAGCCGAGCTGCTATATCGACGCTGAGTGAGCTCTCTCACCAGGCTTTCCGTATCACACTCAGGACCTCATAGTCGTCATGGCTCACTAGCTTCTGGGAGAAGATCGTTTTCAACCTCATCGGAAATGCGTTCAAATGTAAGCTCATAAAGATTGTCCCCGTCTTAAACCACCATTGTGAATAAATCTAATACCGCTCGATATAGACACATTCGTTGGGTCCATTACGATCCGTATCGAGCACACCGAGACGCAGGCGATCTTTACCGTCGAGGATACAGGCATCGGTATATCACCAGCAGGTCGGTCTGCTCCCGCACGACCATCTGTCCCCACTCACATACTCTCTTACTATTTCACCCGGCGTACTAGACCAGGAACGAATCTTCGAACGCTTCCATCGTGTCCCCGTAAGTCCCGGCTACGAGATCAACCTCGCTCGTTGTTAGCGCCTCGGTACGAAGTTACGTTTGCTTGATGGCTTATGTTTCTTGCTGGATTTTCTCCCTCGCAGTCCGTTGCTCGAAGCCATGAAGGTACCGGTATCGGTCTAGCACTCACCCTGGTACGTCAGCACCATCATAATATACGGAACGTTTCTTGACATATGGCGGTAGGAACTGGTCAACCTGCACGGTGGAGAGTTGACGGTCGAGTCGGTCACGGGTGATGCCGAGCATGGCAGCAAGTTGTACGTCGAGACCCCGAGACTCACACTCTGTGCTTCATCGGTTGACCCTCCACCCGTGGACCGATAGCACTGTGAAGCTTCTCCTCGGAAAGGATCATCTTCCGAAGGATCAGATGATGGACCGCACCATCTTTTCTGCCCGTCATGGCCACTACGTGCGGGACTTTGTAGAAGAGGCGAAGATGTGGTCTGTCCATTTGCCACAGTCGGAAGGGACGACGCCCAGTGGCGATTCGGATAACTCTACGAGTTCTGATACATTGAGTACGAGTCCGGGCAAGTTCGATATGTCTGCTTTGGCATTTTTGAAGTCGGATGTTGTGTTAGTGGGTGGGTCTCGTCGCTTTTTGGTTGATGTTGAGTAAGTGCTCAAGGCTGGTATAACTGATCACAATGGTTCTGCTGCAGTCGATGATAATCCGGATATGAGAAAAGTGAGCAACGAATTTCACAGTCAAATCATCTGCCATCATTTCTCACAATGATTGGTGTCTCCATAGTATACCTTATCTATGTATGTGGCATCCCTGCACATGATTCATGCTTACTGATTGGTATACCACACTCTTCCTCAAGTCTTTCCCATTATTGTACTGGTAAGCCCTATTCAAATTACGGACTCGTGTTTGCTCGCTATAACCCGTACCATCCAGTTGTGGGAGCCAACAATGGACGAGAGGCTTTGGACATAGTTGCCAAGACGAAGCCGGACCTGATTCTTTGTGATGTCATGATGCCTGGTACGCCTTTCCCAACGGTGACCTGCCGTACTACTCTAATACTCAGCTGTATTTTGACCTCGTCTTTGCCTGCGCAGTGATGGACGGGTATGCGCTGATCAATGCTCTCCGCGAGAACAAGGAAACTTGTACGTAGCAGCGCGTTTTCGTGCTCTTATGGTGTTCTTGGAACTTAAGCTTGGTTGGTATCTGTGTATAGCTTTGATACCTATCATCGTTATCACGGCGAAGTCGAATAATGACGAGACTGCGGAGGGATTGGTAGGTTTGAACTTGACTTATACAGCATTGCGCTGATCGTGGCTTCTCTGCGCTTTAGCTCTCGGGTGCAGACGAGTGAGTCTTGTTCTCTCTGATTGTGTACATTGTTCTGACCACCATCCAGTTTCCTCGCGAAACCATTCAAGGTGAGATTTTTTGGCTACCTTCGGGGTAGATTACTTACTTTGCCAACGCTCTGAGCGAAATAATTCAGAGCTCGGAACTTGTGGCGCGCGTTCATCTACATATGAACCTTGGAAAGGCTAGGATCGAGCTCGAGACCCGCTTTCAGTGCGTTACGAGACTCCTTGTACGTTTGATGTTGGGTCTTGACGAGCGCTTTTCAGAGAGCGAACCCGCGAAGTAGCTCAACTCTTGGAGCTGAGTCCTGTGGCTATACTGAGGTCTGCACGGGACGGAAGCATCGTATATGGTTGGTTACGTCCGTCTATGCAGTACTAGGACACGGCAGCTGAACTATTTCTAGTCAATCCTCGGTGGTATGAACTTACGGGACGTGCAAGAGGAAGTCCTCTAGATGAATGGTGCGTAGAGTCCTATAGGTCATAATAACACCCTTGACGAATATTGTCTTTGCTTATAGGCCTGAGAGGTATGATCTGAATTAATACATAACGTTGGAGAAGGCGACGTGGAATGTCTTTTATACTCACTAGCGTTATCTTTTGGATAGCGTCTATAATGAAGACTTGGACATGGTCATGGGTTTTTGGAAGACCATACACGCGCCTGCGATACCTGATTCCGAAGAGGAAGCCAACCACGAACCTCTTATCATTGATTTCCGTGTGTTACATTCACCTTATTCCAAGAGATACTTCTCTCCAGCTAACATCATCCCGTGCTGGGTACAGGTTGGAATAACGGAAAGTGGTGCCAAATGCAAGCAGAGAGGACCGACGGTGGTACATGTTCGTTCTCTGGTTTGTTTGAACCGAAGCCTTTTCTGGACATGCTTCTGATCACATCTTATAGTGTGTAGTCTTACGGATATCACCACCCAACGGATGTACGAAGCGCAAAAGCTGGCACACTCGCAAGAACGAGAGGCTCTTTCGCGACGGAGGGCTGAAGATGCGGACCGGCAAAGGAAGGAAGCTGAAGAGCGGCGACGAGGGCAAGGTTCGTGATGTGCTATCTTTGAATGTTCTGTTTGATATTGATTTAGGGTGTAGAGCTGCTCATCGACGTCACGTCGCATGAGCTTCGACAGCCTGTGTCGGCCATTATCAACGGGAGCTCGCTCATTCGTTCCAACATGAACTCTTTGCGGGAATTTATATCTCAATGTGTGAAGGATCAGGTATCGTTTGTTCCTACGTCACAGACGTTGACGACTCTCGATGAAGATATGGAGGCGTTGGATTCTATATATCAGTGCGGGTTGGCACAAGGCATGGTTTTTCTTCCTGTGACCGTTTACGTTTTCTAACTTCTCGCCCACAGAACGCATCGCCAACGATGTTCTGTCGCTATCCCGGATACAGCTAGACATGCTCAGTATCCGCCCTGGGCCATTCAATCTGATCAGTGAGATTCGTCGTATATGTTCAATCTTCCGGAACGAGGTCAGGATGTAAGCTTGATTCGCCCACATCTCTTCATAGCTGCACATGTTTAATTCCCTTGCCTTCTCCGTCGTCTTCCTCGATCAGGAAGAGTATCCAGCTTTCCATCGAATTCGGAGACTCGTTGAAAATGCTTGGTGTGACCAACATCGTGTGCGATAAAGTGCGGTTCGGCCAGGTCTTAACCAACCTCTTGAGCAACGCCATCAAGTTCACGGATGTGAGTGTTTCATATAGTCGTCCAGTTTCTTGTCTCGTACTGAGGCCCCTTCAAATAGACCTCGACAGATAAACGAATCATCTCTGTACACACCGATGTCGCCCTAGAACAACCTCCTGATGGCAGTTGCCAACCTCCGCATATACACGACACACCGGCCGGTTATGGAGTGCCACCCAACACGCCCATTTATGTCTATGTCTCGGTTGCGGATTCAGGCCCTGGACTTAACCCTGAGGACCTTTCTCAGCTATTTCAACGGTTCGCGGCGATATCCCATCTCCGTTTGCATCCTCAACTGATACCCGCTACCTTCTCAGCTTCCAGCAGGGAACTGTATGTTTGGGCATGTTACTTCACGTTCGGATCGTCCTAACGTTCACTCATAGCACTCCCACGAAATATTCGGCGGATCAGGACTGGGCCTCTTTGTGAGCAGATCGCTCTGTGACCTGTAAGGTCGTCTACTTGGGGGGCTCGGAGCCAAATTCGCTTCGCTTATGACTTTTGTCCTATAGTATGGGAGGACGGATCCAAGTAGACAACAATTATGGCGAAGGCGCCATTTTTCGCTTCTTTATTCAGTCTATGTCCACCGATCCTACGCCACCACCTTCTCCGAGTCCATTGAGCCCCTCAAATGAAATTTCTAACGCTCTATGGAGTCCGATCTCGTCCAATACTTCCGAACTCGCGATGGATTCTGTGCAATACCATATTCTTATCACCGAGGATAATCTCATCAATCAAGCAAGTTATTCTACATCTTTGACATCTATTATATAACCTTTATTGACCATACATTGCACGTGTAGACGGTGCTCAAGTAAGTTGTTTGATCGTCTGGCCGCCGCCCTTTAATCTCACTTCGGTGTCCGTTCATTACCTCAGTCGCCAGATGAAGAAGGCTGGATGCACTACAGAGCTAGCGAACAACGGACTGCAGTGTATACAACGCATCCAAAGCCTTGCTTCCGGTCGAGGAGGGCCGAATGGCCAGCGACAGTTCGATGCGATCCTTGTAAGCTATTTCAACCTCCAAATGGAATGTAAACGCAGAGGCTGACTTACATCGGGGAAATATAGCTTGATATCGAGATGCCGGTCATGGATGGACTGACAGCGGTCCGCCAAATCCGGGCTCTGGAGGCGACGGGCGAACTTCCTGGTCCGCGGAACCGCATAATCGCGCTTACGGGCAATGCGAGGGAGGGGCAGATAGAGAATATCCGGAAGGCCGGAATGGACGACGTCCTTGTGCGTTGCAATTTTCCTCCTGAGAGGCGGTGCCTGTTCACTCATCTTGAATTTAGATCAAGCCCTATCGGATAGAAGATATCATGGCCAGAATACTGAGTTCACGCCCAGATTCAGAATGAATTTGACTTGATCCACCAGCTTTTCTTCGGACTCCAGCTTTCTTTTGCATCTTGCTTACATCCACGACTTTATTCCCTTGCACACGAAATGTCTCATATTGTCTCTAGTCCGCATTTCTTCATACCATTACCACACTCTTGATACCTTCTAACCTGTTATCATGTTTGCCTATCTACACCTTGCTCTCGCGCCAGCAGACACGCTTGCAACCCTTACACATACCTTCTGCGACGAACATTCACACGTATGCTGTAGTTTTCAATTGTCATTTCACTCCGGGTTATCATGGTTCTTCATCTGCTCATTCATGTTTTCATTCCGCATCAGTGCCTTTGTACACGCTGTCCAACTGTAGTATAAATTGCATCATTTCCCGTCTCTTCGTCCCCGCAGTCCTTCCCATATTATAGGTCATATTCACTTAACCCCAGTCCAAGTCGGACTCCGTGTAGCTTGATACTCAAGATCAATTCGGACATTAGGTTGATAGCTTGTACTTATGTAAATACTTAGACAAAGGGTGTTTCGCACTCACCATGCCCTTCACATGTACCCAGCGCTCCACGAGTATTTTTGATAACGTTAGTCCACACTTTCAATTGTATATCTTTGTCTTAGAGTCTCCGTGTGAGGATGGTCGTGAAGTCGAAGAGTGCGAGTAAATGCAGATACCTCTTCATGCCGTTTAACAGAATTTGATCCGACACGGTTTTTGTGGCGCTCAGTATATAAAGCTTAACTGGATCTCTCAGTGCAAGGTTGTATACTGTTGAAAATGCTCTTGAGAATAGCCTTATGGCCAAAATAAGGATGTACCTCAGATCCTCCATATGATAGTGGCGAATCGAGAAGTTCTAGCACCGGAGCGCCTCTACTAACAACCTCACAATATAAAATGATATTACTGTAGTTTTTCGCGCACAAGTTCGTGTCCCGTGTCCCATGGGGGCCGCGAACGAACTTGTGCCGCGGGACAGTCCCACCCCATTGACGTGCACGGAACTTGTAAGTAGGACAAACCAAAATTTGACCCAAATTTGACGAAAATGTGAATATATTTTAGGCTCCTATATTGACCTCAGGAAGGCCTCCGAGACACATTTTGGGCTAGATTTTGCTACTGGGTGAGCTCTTCCACCCAAATTCAGAGGGTAAATGCCTGTTGAACGGTTACGAAAGGTCGTCTCCCTGCAAAAGCGTCGATGTTCGCGAACATTGTCCCTTGTCCCGGTCTGCTTGCGAACCGGGACACGAATGGATTATGTCATCTCGGCAACGGCCGAGGGGCGGTGGCGTGAACTTGTGCGCGAAAAAGTACAGTACTCAGGGTTTGTCCTGATAACGTAGACCTCTTGCTTGATTTAAGTCCTTTACATCCAGTAAGTATCTACTAAGCACATGACTTATAAACCGTATGAGTGACAAAAACATTGCAGAGGGCCTTCCAATTATAATTAGGACTCTGTGGCACCGCAATATAAAAATGGAGGCGGACCATGAAATTGGCGCGGCTTAAGCGCCGCGTGTTATCGTTGGCGGCCGACGCGTCTCTTTTGTTTCCTTTGTTCGTTTGCTCGACGCATGCCGTGATCTTGACGTCCCTCATCCAACGGCTTTCGAACCGTCGTTTCTCATCCGTTGACCTTTTGTCTTGTCAAGAAATCGCACCGGATACGACACAACACTGACCACAGCACATAGACACAAGACCGACGGTCGGCAAGTCTGAATCAGTAATCGCGCTTAACTCTGGGTTTCTCGTCACCGCTCGCAAGAGTTTCAGTCTCCAAGTAGACACTATTTGTTCCTCGATTATCTGGAGTACTTAAACACTGTGAATACGGGCGTAGTGCACGACTCGGGGGCGCGATGGGTAGAGATCACTCCCTTCATCGTGATTCGTTGTACGCTCAATAATCACTTACTCTTTATTGATCTTCGAATTTTAGATTTACAGGCGCCGGAGACACAAATGCGTATATGCAGCAGGGACAGCTGTAAAACACTCCTTCCACCACCGGAGAAACATCCACTGAGACTATGCGAACGATGTCGCATTAATCAGCGTGCTCGGAACGTGCAATACCGCGAGCGCAAAAGATTGCGCGAGGGGTTGGGATCATCTCCCACGGTCGGAGCAGAGGTATTTCTCTATCTTAAGCGTGCTATATCGATAGCGAAGTGATTGATGTTAATGAATGTTCACGTTCTTAGCCTCCGGCGAAAAAAGCTATTCGGAAAAGAGGAAATGCGCAACCGTCACGGTTGGGCCCAGATGTCAAGATGGCTCTACGTGTTGCTCCAACTTCGGTCAGCACCTCTTAACAGTTATGTGTCATGTCGCTAATAATTATATGTTATATCGCGGTTTTGTGACGTAGGCTGCCCAAGAATTTCCCGCAATGCAGGCACTGTGTGATGCACTTCGCACAACTCAGATTTCCAAAGGCCACTCCGGAGAGATTTTTTCCTTTGAAGGAGCGTTTCGTACCTCTCTGGCAACATCCGAGCAGACACTCGAAGAATTCACTCGAAAGTGTGTCGATGACGTCTCCCTTGCTACTGGGCACAGTTATGTACGGTAAGCCAGACATTCCGATCATTCTGTAGTCCACTTGAAGCGAACTGAATTGCTGTCGTTCCGTTGGTTTGTACACAGGTCTGGCGTAAGGACCGAAGCGTGGCTTGGCGCCACCGGCTTAAAGTCGTACTTCAGGTGCACTCGTGAACGGTCCGATCAGCAAAAAGCGTGGCGAAAGAAGGAGAAAGCTCAATTCAGACACATTTGTGCGACGAGTCTCATTGTTCTTTGTGCAGTTCAACAAAACGCACGAGAGTATTTGGTCACAATCCGCCTCTCAACCAAGCACGGAAGTTCCGAGATATCCGCCGCTCCGGATACCAAAGAAACCGAGCCGGCTGAGGGTGTTCAGGGAACGGTGGTGCATGGAGACTACCCCGAGGAAGAGGACGACGGCGCAGACTTTGGGGACACAGAGCTGTATAGTTCGGATGCGGAGGACGACGAACTCGTGGAGGATATGCTTGTTGACCCAGAAGATCTCGGTTCAGTGATTTCGAGCTTTTTCGAATCGCAAGGGACCGAAGGTGAGTACGCACTCAACCTTTCACCGTAGGTCGTGTCGCTAACCGTCATGACGCAGTATAATATTCACATGTACATGATATCACCAGGAGAGTAGGAACCTTAACTGCTTGTCTCAATCGTTTTAAGTCTGCTCGCTGTTTTATTTGCTATGTTCATGTTAGATACCACTGGTACTCATCTGAATACGTTTTTCCATCGTTATTATGTCTTGCAGCTACAACACAGACTTATATCCGTACTGCATCCTGTCCTGAACATATATTTTAAGAGTATCTGAGACTAAGATCCAGATAAATGGTCCGGTGATTTCGCGCGCTCACGTTGGTCGCCACATTTAGTGCCACTTCCGATCGTCACCCGCATGCGTTGATCTTATCTTATCTGCCGACCTTCATAGCTGTTGAAAAAAAAAAAAATCCCACTGTCAGCGCTCTCCTTACACCCTGCCACCTCTGCGACCAATATCTCTGTTCGTTTCCCCCGATATTCTCTTCTTCGCTGCACGGCGTCACCGTTCCAGGCTCAGGAAGGAAGGAAGGAAGGTGTTTGTGTCGGGACATTGCCTCGGGATGGCGTAACATATCGTGGTGACTACTCCAGTCCTCAGTTAGGTTGTTGCTCGCTTGGGCTCCCACTTTCAACATAACAGCAACGAACCGATCCCAGAGGCCCTAGAAAGCCTTAGAAGGCCCTCGCATCTCAATACGATGCGTTTAATGCACCTGGGATTTGATAACACTGGCGTGTTCTTGAAGCGCTGGAGTGAGTTTCCCCGTCATCGCAGAGCATGGCAGGTACCGTTCTGTACCCCTGTGTCGCAAGCGACATCTGGCCTGAATACTCACGCTCCTCCACATGATGGGTGTGCATCTTCTCCTCTTACGGCCCGTCCTGGAAATAATCCGGCTCGTGCTTGTGCGATACCCAATTCACTGCTTTGGTGGCGCGACAGACGAGATAATTCAGCTCCGTTATTGGTCGCTGCCTGTCACATTCGCCTCTTTGCAGTAATGTTTATTCTTTGTATGCGCAGGTTCTCTACGCGGTGCTGTACTGCATCGATGCCCGTGCTCTTCAACAGTTCGATGCTTTGGGTAGCCTACCCCCGGACCGCTCTACGGGAGTATTGGTGATGCAGCACCTGAACAATATGCCAAAACTAGTTGGAAAAAGGTCATATCCGCCTCTGCAACGTGCAATGGCGCTCACCTGCCGTCCGCTATGTACCTCATTAATGCTTCTCTTCTGGATCCTTGTCCATGTCCGCGATCACATGGGAATTCCTCCACCAAAACGAAAATAACCTTAGAATATGATGAAGTCATTCCTCGCCCGTGATCAAATCTCCGGGACACTTAAAAGCTCCTCGAAGTCTTGGTTTATAGGCGCCGCTCTTCACGGTTGGCTCGCACGATGTCTTACGATAGTCGTCATTCCTCTCCAAAATTAGGCGGCACGTCTCGGAAGTGGACGACATACTTGCTCGTTGGCATTGCGTCTTGTATCTTGACATTTGTATGGGCATCCCCTCGCTCAGCTCTACCTCTCGCTCCGGCCTCCCGCATCTCTCAATTCTCGGACCTCGTTGCTCGCGGGCCCGTAGAGTCTACTTCCTCTCCTCGAAGATCTGAGCAGCGAACGCACGTCACGGAAGCGGTAGAGGCTAATCCTCAAGCCTCATTTACGACGAATAACCTCACTGATCAAGTTGGCTGGGACGAGTATAGCCTATTTCTGAGAGGCCAACGCATCATACTTTAGTAAGCTCGTTTCCGACTTTGTGTGCATTGATACTGACGACATCGCGCCTAGCTCCGGCGAGTTCCATACATTCCGGTTGCCAGTTCCGTCCCTTTGGCCCGACATTTTGCAGAAGATCAAGGCAGCCGGTCTTAACGGAATCTCGCTCTATACTCATTGGGCATTGGTGAGACTTCGGCGTTTCATCAATCCCTCCATCGTGCCTACCATACTTATCACGTTCTCCACTTCCATCTAGATCAACCCTGCTCCCGGTGTCATCGACTTCGACTCCTTCCGTGCACTCCAACCACTATATGACGCTGCCAGAGAAGCGGGTATCTGGGTGGTACTCAGGCCAGGGCCTTATATCAATGCTGAGACTACAGCGGGTGGAATTGCTCATTGGGCAACGAGCACCGTGGCTGGCACTTTGAGAACAAACGCTACCGACTACGAGGCTGCATGGCAGGACTACATTGATGGAATCATCAACCAGACGGTGTCAAACCAGATCACGGAAGGTGGACCGGTCATCGGTGCGTGCACTTGACAGCATCTGAGAGTATATGGCAATAATCGAATTGGTTTCCATTAGCTGTCCAAATCGGTTAGTGCATGTCGAAACAGAATAGATTGTGCGGCTTAGCTAACGGCTGATTCTTGGCTGACTCTGTGGTGTAAGACAACGAGTACTTCCAGTCAGGTTTTGGCAACCAAGAGTACTTCCAGGAGCTTGAAGATGCGTATACCGGCAACTCTATAGTTGGTGCGTTATTCAACATAGATTCGTCCAGTGGCCTCATGTTTTCGTTGCAACAACAGTCCCGCTCACCTATAACGATCCTGGAGAGGGAAAGAACTTCGTAAACGGAACGGTGCGTGAGACTTTGTCAGGGATCAACAGACCCTCTGACCGATCTAACGCGTTTAGGGGTCTGTCAACATCTACGGGTAGGCCTACACTGGTATTTCTCTGAAGTCATTGTTTGACGCATCACCTCGTGCCTCAGCTTGGACAGCTATCCCCAAGGATTTGACTGCTCTAATCCTGAGACTTGGGCTGGAGTTGTGACGAACTACCACGACTATCACGAAGGTACAAATCCCAGCGAGCCTTTCTACTTGCCCGAGGTTAGCAATTCTCTGCCACGTACCGCGTCTTCCCGCTATTACAACCATCGATGCTTGCTAACCTCCTCTTCCTTGTAGTTCCAAGGAGGAGCTTTCGATGCGTGGGGACCTAACGCACCTGGATATCCGAATTGCAGGGTTCTGACCGGAGCAGACTTCGAGTCGGTATTCTATCGTACACTCTGGGCGGCTAATGCGAAGATGATGAGCTTCTATATGGTCTACGGGTAATCGTCAGCATCTTGTCCTGCATCATGAATCCGTTTTGCTCATTCGTCACTTCTGTCCACAGCGGAACCTCGTGGGGCGCTATCCCTTTCCCGGGAGTCTATAGTGATTTTAGTTCCACCCTTTCCGTGTTTTCTCCCTTGGACTAATCATGACTACCTAGCTTCATACGACTACGGCGCATCAATTATGGAAAATCGTGAACTTACTCCGAAATTCGACGAACTAAAACTCCAAGGACTTTTCCTCAGAAGCTCGCCTGAGTTCTACAAGACGGACTGGTTCGGTAATAGCAGTACTGACGCGGTTACCGTGTCAAATCCCGCTGCCTTCGTCGTTAAACTTCAGAATCCTGACACTGGGAGCGGATTCTACATCGCAAGACAGACCGATTCAACGTCGACGTACGTGAAACTTCATGCGTCAACTCTCGTTTTCTGACCATAGGCTTCTGCAGTAACGTCACGGATTTCTCGCTGACTGTGAACACGAGTGAGGGGAATTTAACTCTTCCTCAAGTCGCGTCCAGTATCACCCTCGACGGTCGTCAATCCAAGGTCGTCGTCACCGACTACACTTTCGGCGCCAATTCTACCGTCATATACTCAACCGCCCAAATCATCTTTGCGGGTACAATCGGCGAGCGAGACGTGCTCTTCCTCTACGGCGACTCCGATCAGGAACACGAAGCCTCCATCATGTTTGACGGAGAGCCAACCATCCAATCGAACTCGTTCCTGGTCACCTTCACTTCCTCCAACTCCTCAAGTGCCACAACTGTTGCCTTCTCTCAGGGTATTGACGGACTGATCACGGTCTTCGACTCGGAAAGTCAACTGGTCCTGTTTGCTGACTCTCTGACTGCTACGACATTCTGGGCTCCCGTCATTCCTGGTGAATCTAGCGACCCGCTCGCAAACTTCTGGCAGATAGGGTCCAATGACACAGTACTCGTCGGTGGGCCACACCTCGTCCGCAACGCATCGATCTCGTCGACCGGTTCTCTTGACCTCCATGGGGACCTCAACAGCACCGTCACGCTCACTATTATTGGGCCGTCCAATGTAACTTCCGTGACCTGGAACGGAGTCAGCGTTGATAACGATGCGAGTGCTGCGAGTGCAATCACGAGCGTGGGAGGATTCGTCGGCAGTTTGACAGTGTCGAATGCGAGTGATATTGTGGCGCCGGTGTTAGAGGGGTGGAAGTTTATGGACAGCCTGCCCGAGGTTACGCAGGGTGTTGACTTTGATGATAGCAATTTCACGATTGCGAACCATACTACGACCGTAATACCGTTCCCGATGAACTACGGTGATGGCAGGATTCTTTATGGATGCGACTATGGTTTGTAAGTATCTCTTCGTTCGAACCTGGTCCACTGATCCGATGCTGATACAATCTACATCGTCTTTTTAGCTGCGAGAACGTTGTTATCTGGAGAGGTCACTTCAACGCCACTGGCGCCGAAAAGTCTGTTAATCTGTCTATCAACGGCGGCGAAGGTGGCGTATCTAACCATTCGTTAGATCCTACACTATCTAACTTTTCGTCCTAGCCTTTGCTGCCAGTGTCTTCTTGAATGACCAGTTCCTGAACACCACATTTGGAAAGTATGTTCTTCGCCTCTCATCCGTAGATCTATCACTCAGTTGACGACGGCTTCCTATGGTTCAGTTCCACAAACGACGCAAATTCTATTGATGAGACAGACCAGGTGTACACTTTCCCTGACGGATCCTTGGTCGTCGGACAGGACAATGTTATTACCGTTATTCAGGTGTGTCTTGTTTCTTCCACTGTGTCACTTTTCAATGCCTCATTAATGACTATGGTGTAGGATAATATGGGCCACGACGAAGCTGGGGGTCAGTTTTCTCTGGAACCAGCCAATAAACGTATTAAACCATTCGATATCCACAGACACTGAAAATTTCCCCAAGTCTCCCCGAGGCGTGCGCGGTTTCCAGTTGAACACCGGCAATTTCTCGACGTGGAAGCTTCAAGGGAAAGTTGGAGGATATACTGGGTACATATTTGTGCCATCCCTGCGATTTATTCGTCCGATACTCACAATGTGGCGTGTCCAGCTATCCGGACAAGTTCCGTGGCGTTCTAAACGAAGGTGGTCTTTTCGGTGAACGGCAGGGGTGGCACCTTCCGGGCTTCGACACGTCCTCTTGGACATTGAGAGATCTCTCCTCTGGCCTGCTTAACGACACTGCTGGCGTCGGATTCTTCGTGACGACTTTCGCTCTGAGTATGCCTGCGGGCTTCGACGTCATGATGTCCTTCAACTTTGGGGATGTGGCAGGGAATGATGGGCAGCCGTACAGGGCGTTGTTGTTTGTAAACGGTTGGCAGATGGGTAAAAGGGTCGGAAATCTTGGGTGGGTCTCTGTTTATTAATATGTTTGGTAGAGTGTGTCCTGATCTGTTTCTTTCCATAGCCCTCAAGCCAAATTCCCTGTCCACCAAGGCATCCTCGACTACAATGGCACCAAGTGCGTTTCTCCTGCTCTGCCGACCAGTATGCTAGCCATAATCTCATGTCCTCTTTCCAGCACCATTGCCATCGCGCTATGGGCCATGGAGTCCGTCGCTATCTCACCACAGTTGAACGTCACTATCGATACCATTCTGGAAGGTGGCGTTGGAGGAGTTGTAGCAAACAACCCTGCGTGGTCTCCGGAAGGGAGAGCATGAAGTGACTTTCCACAATCAGCGTGTAAGAATACATGGATATCATTTATTTTGTACACGGGCTTGTCTCTCTGTATCTCGTAACAAATTTGAACACTCAATCAGTCATTTGGTTGTGTCGTGTGAGGCCATCCGAGCCGAGTTCCCAACACACGCCAACGATGCCTAGTGCGCGCTCCATTACAATGATCTACGCTCAGAAATCTCCTTTAACGTCTCCGGAATAGAACGTTAATGACGGTGGCTACGTGAATATAGACTGCGTCAGCTTCGGTGGTCACAGCAAAGAGATCGTACGATCTCACCACTTTCAGTAGATCAGCAGCAATGTACGCCTTGAACGTATCGCCTTCCATGTGGCTAAATATACAAAAAGGATATCAATTAGTCTCATCTAGGTTGAATTCCAGAACATATTGTTGTAGAAGACCCACGTTTGAAAGGCAGCCGCATCCACATATCTCTCCCAAATGAGGAGTTCGTCTCCGTTTTGTGCCCAACTGTACTCTAGGGTGCCAGGTTCGTTCGCCACCGCAGCCCTCAGCTTTCCCATCCAGTCTAGGATTTGAGGACCAGTGCCAGCCTTGGGATAGACCTGGCAGTCGAGAGCACGTAAACAATATTTCCAATCAATAGGGTTTCGAGCCGCAGGTGGACGAGTGCCACAAAGTTGCTGACCTTTGCAAAGAGAATGACTTCCCCCTTGATGTCGTTCGGGTTAGAGGTCATGTCGGAAAGTGCAAGTTAGATTCAAAAATATTGTAGTCGGCCTGCGTCTTGATATAGATCGTCGATAGGAATATTGGTAATGAGGCTATATAAGTAACAGTGTTAGTAAGTAGCTGCTGACAAAAATGGAACTTGGGAATCGAAGTGGGTTAGGATAGTATTTCTAAGTATCCCTGAGTTGCGGCTGGGCCCAACCACTTATTTCTCGTAGGGGAGACGAGGGAAACCATGCGAACATAGTAACGGTTAAAATTAAATATCAACCTAGTAGGACTCCACTTCTGCATACTCAGCCGCTCTGTTCAGTAACAAACCCCGTACAATTGCGTATAAATTCAGATGCATGCGGCGCCCACGCTACAACCTCTGAACTACAATCGTCGTGTCGTCCATCCACCTATGGTCCATTTCCACCGTCAAATACCTCGACACCTTATCCAGGTCATTACCGCCAATCGCATCCTTCAACAGTGCCAGCGCCAAATTCAGCTCATCACCGCCCTCAGCGCTACTACCACGAGTCGCGCTGGCAGCGCTCACGACTTCCATCCACCGTTCTGCCGAACTCTCCAGCTTATTTTCCGATTCACCGGGCACGAAGTATAGATCCGTCAGACCGTCAGAACACATGATCAAGAACTTCTCGCCAGCCGTCTTTGTGTCCGAGGTGTTGGTAGCGGAGGGAGTGAGGCGGACGTGCTGGATATCAGGGATGTAGCTCAGGTAGGGAGGGGTAAAGTTCCTCTCCATTATCACGGAAAGCTTGCTGTGGACTTTGAAAGGGATCTTGCACAGGGCGAAGACACGATCGGTGTAGATGCGTGGAAGTAAGAATTCGAGGTCTCCGAGAGCTATGGAACGTAATCAGGATGACCATTGCTGGCTGCGAGTACAAAGACGAGACGAACCTCTGGTGACAGCGATACCCCCCAGAACCCTGTTGTTCAGCATGGCTTCGGGCTCGTTGGGGTGCTCGCTCATGATACGAGCTTGCTCCGCGGGAATCGCGCCGTTGTGGGTCGAACTCAGGACGCGAATGTCCCAACCTTGGTCACCCTTCGTGCCGAGCACTATGGTACCAAAGGCAAAGTAGTCAAAGAAGCAGTCAGCAAGCGTCACCAGAAATAAGGCTATCATTGAAGATTTTGAGGCGCAAGATGGAGGTGCTAACCAGCTTGGCAGTCGCCGAGACTCGCCACCCACAAATTGTGGCGTCCCGGGTCTACAAGCGAAATCAACGCCGTTGTACCCTTCATACCGTGCACAACCTTCCGCAAGTTCTCCTCTGTGTTGATCCTAGCCGAGATCTCTTCGTCGGACATCTTCGAGATCTCCTCGACCCCGCCGGGAAAAAGCGCTACGACCTCGTCAGCGATTGACCTTCCGTAGGCTGTGATGGTGGAGGAAAGGACTGCAGAGATTGTCGCCACAAAAGTCTCGCCGTTGGCCGGTTCAAGGAGAGAAGTGTCCTCGAGAGCAGTCGATAGGGCGGAACGAACCAAGGCAGGGAGGGCTTCAACAGTATGATCGGCTAGTTGGTGTCCGGCATGTCCTGTGAGCACAAAAAACGTCAGCTCTGAGATCATTCTCGACAGTGTGGGACAACAGATATACCATCGAAAATAGCGGCCCACCGCCATTTTCCTCCCTGCAACGCCCACTCGTGGACAACATGCCTATCCTGACTGGTCTCTCCTGGGGCAGCGCAAGGCTGCATGGACACAGAGTCGACCGTGCAGGTCTTCTTCGCGAAGGCATGACGGTCGAGTTCAGCCTTCAGAAGGTCCTCGGGGAGGATGTGATACGTCCAGGGACCGCGGCCTTCGCCTTCGCCCATATCAGTTTGGCCGGTTGGGAAGGCGGCCCAGGGAGAGGTCATGGCGCTCTCGGCCAAGGTGGAAGTTCCAGTTGGAGTGGGATGTTGAGTGGTGGGTTCCGCTGGGGTAGATCCGGTGGAAGTCATAGAGGCGGTAGATTCGGCAGACATGGATAATCAGATCAGTGGGACCGACACAAGGAATAGAATAAACTAAGGGAGTAGAACGGATAGACACGCTGTAAACACGCTGTGGTGACGCTGATAGACCTATCTTCCTCGCTGGTACTTATAGAAAATATCCACCGCCGACGTTTGGGACTCATATCACTGATTCCCCGCAAAAGGTACTAGAGGGCGTAGGGCAAAGCTGGGCAAAGGGCACGCCCATTGAGGCTATCCAGTATTCTAAGCAGTACTACTCACGGTGAGGATTCGGGACAGGCGATGCCTCGGGTTATACCTATCCTGATTCCCTAGAACATAAGATCATATTCAGCAGCAGAGTCATCGACGCTTGAGGCGCTCGGGAGCGCGAGGAAGATACAAGGGCAAAGGGCATGCGGATAGACAAGTGGGCCGGCAGGATTGCTCCATGTTCATGAATGTTTACCAACGGCTGCCTATCATGCATGGATAGGTAGGTACGTGATCTTGTTCCCGAAACTTCGTGGGTACTTAGTACGTTGGGCAGAGGGTTACAAGTCCGAGTTCGATTCCACTGGCAAGCCCACAGCCCAGTGTGTAGAATCGCATTATGTAAGCAATGGACTTTCTCACCGTAGAGTCTTGATCCTACGAGTTACACACACTTTGTGCGGGATAATTGCGTTCGACGTTGAATGTTGATTGCTGAACGACGACAAGAACGAATCTGGCGTGGCCCGGATCCGGAGTTCTCCTGCCTTTTCCGGAGCCCGAATATCTACTCTACCACAGTCACGACAGTAGACAAACAGTAGACCACAGTGCCACCTGCTCGCCGTCGTGTCGCTAAATAATTTCCCTCTATCGCATCTTGTGCCCCGGTTCTTGCTCTCACCCCAACCTTTTCTGGCTGACCACATCCCCGACGTCGACTTGAGATGAGTGCCGGTGACTTATGGCTGGGCCTTGTCTCTGGAGCATCCACCAGTTTTTCCGACTTGGGAGAGAAAAAGACATACTGGACACTGAACCGGTAGAGCCATCGTTCGTATACCGATTGACCTTATTATTCAAGGTAGAGGTCAGAAGAGGTGGGCCATAAAGACTGTGACGAGTCGAAAATATGGTGACAGAAGTGACAACTTGTAAGATAGGAAGGAAGGAGGAAGGAAGGAAGGAAGGAAGGTCTGCTAGCTGGTCGATGAGGACTTCACTAGGGTTGAATATTGGAAGGTAATATGTACCAACTCTTGTATCATTGACCAGACCTCTTGGAAGTCCGAAAAAGGACTAAAAATGTATATTCGCCCTGGATATGGTGAAGGCTGGTGAAGGACAAGTGACCGAAACGCAAAGTCCGGCCTCAGGTTAAAAGCTTGTCATGCCGCCGGTGCCTCCTTATGACGAACTTGAACATTCGAACAACTGTTCCTGTCAAGCCTGACAACGTGTACGGTGAGCAAACTATTTCACTTCTCCAGCACACATCTCACTACGAAGGCTATCAACTTATATTGTCTTCAAGGTACAGAGGACTCAGAGTACCACCAGCGAAAAACAACGATACGGTCAACAGAAAGTGCACTGGCACACGATTGAACTATCTGTGACTATGACGATAAAGTATCACGGAAATGCTTAACCGCGACAAAGGGCTAAGGGTACCGGCACCGGAGGTGGAGCTGAGATAAGTGCACAGTTCGTCATGCATACCAGGGTCTGTGTCTCACCATGATGGGGTTCGAAAATAGAGTCACCCCAAAATAGACAGCTATTCTCGATTGGATGGACCTTGAAACCAAAGTTATATATATCTGTGGATCCATTCGTTCAGGGCATGCTGTACGAAGCTGTCAGCAACTGCGGAGAACCTGCGCGACTCGAAAATATCTAACACTTGTCCCTCGTCAAGCTCTGTCTTCCCCCGCACATAATCTGCACTTCCTCACCTCCTCAACGCCTCTGAATCTCATTTAATTGACAGTCGCTCTATAATATTACTCTAACGATGCATTTCGCTCTGCTCTCGCTTTTATTCTTCACGATGCTCCTCATGAGCATTCGAACTGCCAGGGGTAGTACCGTTCAGAGCTCTACCGGTACGGTGCATTGAATGCTCTCATTCTCCGCTCCGCTCCTTCCTTCGACACATGTGTGCTCACGACAGATTTCTGGCGTATCATCCATCCCGCTTCATCATGGATATTGCTTTCATACAGCCGATGCGTGCGCAGGACACAGTGAAGGAGACACATGTGCATTCGAGCTCTGCTCGGTCGATTCGGATACAGGCGGGGACGTCTGCGATGACTTAGAATACAGTGAGTACCCCGAAATCTATCAAGATTACGATGTCCAGACCCTTTTCGCGATGAAGCTCTGATTGTGTGTGGTGGTTCCGATTAGCCTGTCAGAGCGTCTCGAGTGGTGGATATAATGGCTTGGATTGCCTCAGCTCATAGTTCGGCGGACTTTTGGCTCGGATTCGGAGGTTTATGTATATATGATGGCGGCCAAGATGAGACGACGTTGGAGACCTTGACATAGGCTCAAGAGTATGATTCCCGAGTGCATTTACGGAGGGAAGCCGTACCGCAAGGTCAGCAAGGGGCAAACCAAGAACAAGGCGTGACCTCACGACCTCGGGTAATATATCGCGATGGTCTCGAACTCGAACTCCACACCCAGCGAGGATATCTACTGTCATCTTCAGGACCGAATTCACTGCACCAGCATCTTCTACAAGGTACGATTCATCTGACCACAACTAGTTTCTACCCACTTATACCCTCTTCTTCCATACAGATGAGTAAAGCCGGAGATGAATCAGACGGGGCGCGTGCGGCAATTGTCGAGCTCACAAAACCCGACACGCTTTGGTTAAACGGAAGTGGCATACAGTTCATCGCGATTGCAGATGTCAAGGATGTCAGTAAATAATAATATCAGGCAGGAAGAATGAGTGTGACTCACTGCACCACCGAATGCGACTAGCAACGAATCGCCCAGCCCGGGCATGTATCATCTCCCTGGACTATGGTACCAGTCGCCTACAGCCAATTCAAAAGGTGCGTTAATCATTGGTGTTCATTATATGAAGGAGAACGAAGGAATGAGCTTGAGATTCTATGTAGCGTCGAACTCCGTTGGCTCTTTCTTTGGAAGGTACGTACATCGTCGTACACACAGATCCGCGCACCGTAACTGTGTTTTCATGAGGCTCTCTGTCAGTGTTTTTCCTGATGACGACGTGTACAGACGCGTAGGATAGGAAAGCGCTCACTCGCATCTGAGGCCCCACTCCTCCTCCCAACTCAGGAGGGCATTTCCAGCCTTATCCGTAGGGTAACAGTGATAATTGCAAAGGGCTCTATTGCCAGTGTTGACGAGAGCAGCCGAGGGGGGAGGCCCGGTGATACATCTAGCCACGGCCGAAGTCGATGCAGCTGCACATACGAGGGCGATCAGTGGGGTGAAAGAGAGCTTCATTGTGAGTAGCAAGCGTAAGATGAAGGAATGAGTCGACGGTCAGGCTGGATGGGCTGAACTTATCTCTTTATATATTCCACAACCAACCATTCATGAATAAATTATAATGGACGAAGGGATGTGCAAGGAGCGTCAACTTGGTACGACATTGTGATTGAGCTGCTCCCGTAGCACGTCATAACCTCGATCTATGTCTGCGAATAATACATGCATCGAATGATCTACTGCCAAACAACGAGACGCTAATTCTCACAACAGTCCAGTGTAGTAGGGAAGAACAAGTTAGGAATGTCCGTCGTCGGCTCATCGATTGCTTTGCAATGACATACAGGAGAACGCACGGTCACAATCCTTTCTCGACTGCATGCAAGCATTCGACGGCACGAGGTTGGATTCTCCCCTCTAGTTGTCTGAATGGACGACCGCAGACAATGCGATGGTCCTTAAAGTTGATACACGCCTCGGCACCCTAGAGTCATGTTCGCACTGATCAAGAATCAACCATCCAATGTAGTGTGGTATATGCGGCATTCATATAACCGTCGATACCACCAATCGCTTCCAAGTCTCATATGAGGGCTGGACATCGAGGAAGAATACGATCTGTAGCATTGAGACTGCATCAATGGACTCAGTCGAGTCCGAAGATCGTCTTGGGATAGATGATGGCGCCAGGCATGCGGAGTGAGACTTGATATAGGACAGGACTCGGACTGGAGTATACTTACCTCCGTTCACAGCACAAGAATTATTGCACTCACGAGCAGCCCAAATTAGTCTCGTAGGATATTTTCTGGGTAGCGACTGTGCTAGTAGCATGCCAACAATATCAATACAAGAAAAGGAGAATATTCTATGTGTAGTTTACCTTGGCAATCCCGGCGACCAGCTGGCAGCGTCCGGAAGGCGAGGACAAATCCTCACCAATGCGTTCCACATCTACAGTCAGCCACCATGCTCTGGATTTCTTGACTCACCTTCCTCTATGTTCTACACGAGTGCATGCTGAGCTTGCCTCGCATGTTAAACCGGAGTATCTCTTTGGTTGTTGAACCATCCGGTCATGAGCAAAGCTACTGACCCCTGGACTCACCCACCTCACACTTTTGCCATACACCTACCGCCTCTCATCAAAAAAAGATGCACAAAGTACACTTTCACGGGCGTTTAGCGCAGTGGTAGCGCGTGCGCTTTGCATCGCCTAATGACCGCCAATCCAGATTGGTTGATGATGGAGATAGCTTGCGCAAGGCCATGGGTTCAATCCCCATATCGTCCATCTAGAGGTCGTAGCACAGTTTTTTTTCCATTGTAAAAGCAACGCGGATACACCCTCATCCACACATCAATAACGCGGAGAAGTAGCACTCACATCGGACTCCGATAACCAGCGTACCACACATCATCCCCGATACCTCTCATCCGACCACGGCGGATTATCGACCACGACGCCACCAACGCCCCCGTCGAGGACCGCATCGATCTTGACAGAGAGCTGTGGCGAGACATGAACGGACTCCATAGCCCACAGCGCAACAGCGACGGTGCTAGAGAGTTGGGAGGATTCGGTACATGATCAGCATGTCTTCACCGCAGAGAGAGGGAAGATATACTTGATGCCATGATAATCGAGGATACCCTCGTGGACGGGGAATTTCGCTTGAGGGCTGCACACGCCATCCCACCTTCGTATCAGCAAACTGGGGCCATAGACCAACACTAGGCGCAGCTCACCCAAGGTTCGCAACCCTCTCACCCATCATCCATCCATTAACGAACAAAAACGCCCTGTACGGCTCTCCACCCGCACCAGTAGGATCTGCGAACTCAAACGACATCATCACATCGAAACCACCAGGAAGATCCATCTCAAACGTCGTCACGAAGAACCCCACACCTGCTTTATCGCCAGGTAAACCGGCGGAGAGGTCACGATGGGAGAAGAAGGAGGTGTCGTAGGAGGGGAGGTGCCAGCCTAGGCGTTCACCGTACAGGCCGCCTTCGTTGAATATGCCGCGGTGTTTATCAGGGAAGCTGATAATTGAGGAGTAAGTTTGTGAGCTTGAGATGAGCATGGAAGGGAAGGGAGGGTGGGGGAGGGTGGGCGCACTTATTGTAACCACCGATCTTGCCCTGTACCTTCCAAGACGTGAAGTTCCCGCTGTTGAGTCGGAACCCACGTACACCTCGGGGCGATCTGCTCGAATCCGTCGTTTCTGCGTGATTTTCCCATTCTTCTGGTCAGCCACCTCGAGTCAAGTCTCGTATAAAGTTCGACGTACTACCTTCCGTTTCTTCCAAACCCATGTTATCCTGTTGAAACGTCAGTCGGAGTGTCCCCGGGCGAGCAAGTACGGACAAAGAATCGGACTGACCTGCACGATCGTGATGACGTTATCTTGCCCTTCCACGAGCGCATCCTCAGGGAAGTAAAACACCTCATCTGTCTCGCCTATGATATTGTTGTTATTCGTCGAGCTATCCAATGGATTCCCCTCAGCCAGGCTTCACCAAATGGCAAGGAAACGAAGGTTACGTACTTTCCGTACGACGTATTGAGGAAGTGACTGTTGAGGAAGACACTGGCTGCGAAGGCTGTCCGATTTGGTAGCAAAGGGTCAGTGATCAGCAAGAAATGGTACAGAGTAGAGGTCGGAACACACCTTCACCCCCATTAATCGACAAATTAACGCTCCTCGTCTCACTCGTCGCATCGAAATGGCCCCTCCAAATCACGATATTCTCACAGCTATCAGATCACCTCTTCATCAACCACCTTCTCCTTTCCTCGTCCACAGAAAGAAGACCACTCACAACCCATAATCACACCCATAAAGCACCCTCCCGTCCCACTCCCCATCCGTATACCGCATCCCCCACGGAATATTCGTCTGCGTCTTATTCGCCTCCACCCACATCTCATCGTTATACTTCTCGCCGAGCATCACCTCCGGCAGGCTATCCATATACATCCAGTTCTCCAGCACCGGGGGCTCGATCCCGCCCAGACCCGTACCCATACCATTACCAGCAGTGTCGGCCCTCAGATTCCTCATGTTCAAGGACCCAACGAACCCACCCCTCTCCGCGCTTGTCACCTCCATTCTCTTCCCATCCATCATATCAACCCCGTTCTCCATATCCGTGTTCCTCAAACTCTCAACCTCCATCCCATTCCACCGAACCCCCCTCACACCCCTCGGCCCCACAACCCCCAACATAACGCCCTCCTTCAAATCACCTCTCAACTCAAGTATACCCTCCGGCGTGAGCGTCGCGTTGCGGACTAGGTACGGGCCTGAGACGAGAATGGTGCTATTCGTTCCTAGGCCCCAGAAGTGCGGGAAGGCGGTAGTGGACGTGGTTCCAGTGGCGTCCTTCAAGTTGGACGAGTGAGAATGAGAGCGAGAGTCAGAGTCAGAGTGGGAAGAGGCGTCGGCGGGAATAACAGGCGCCCAAAACGTCGCCGCCGTGCTTTTATCGGCATACATCACCAACTGCTCCTCCGAATCGAAAACAGTGACCATGCCTCGAATGCCAGGCATAAACGCCACCGTCGTCAACTTCCCTGCTCCTCTCCCATTGCCATTGACATCTCTCTCCACCACCACTTCGTCGAAACCCTCCACGCCGTCTCTATACACCACCCTACCCTCTCTCGACCTCAAGTTCTGGTCCAGGTCGCCCGTGCCTTTAAACCACAGCGCGATCTCGCTCCCACCCGCGCCATCCGCATCCGCGTCTCCTTCTACAGCATCCCCATAAACCAACAACACGTCCCTCCCCCCAATCACACCCGCGAACATCACCTCCGCCGTCGAATATAGGACTTTGGAGGACGCGCCGAAGGTGTAGTCTGTCACGATCACTTTTGATTGGCGGCCGGCGAGGGAGATGGAGGGGAGGATTTGGGGGATGGTTAGCGTAAGGGGTTGGAGGGAGGTGGAGTAGGGTTGGAGGGAGGAGGAGAGAGAGATGGGGTCGATTTCGAGTGTGAATTGTGTTAGTGAACTGGAGGAAAGATCGTCAATCAGCACCTCAGTTCGTTCCTCTTTATTCTGAGGACAGAAAAAAACCAAAAAAAAAAAGATGTGGGGGGTAGAATCAAACAACGCACGTATCCGACGAATTCGCCTGCCTCGCGATCCAGAACCCAGCCCCACTCCCCGGATTCCTCAATTTCACAACAAACGCCCCTCCCTCCCCCTTCTCTTCCCCATTGCCCTTCTCTCTTTTCCACCCCTTCCCAGCTTCCTCCTTCCTTCCCCTCTCTTCCTTATCGCTTAAGACACCAACCCTAACAACCCCACTCCCCACACTCGAATTCCCCAGCACATCCGTCTTATAAAACTCGGGGGAACTCCTCAGGAAGAGACCCTGCAGTTTCAGCTCGTCGTACTTGGGTGTGAGCTCGCGGTTCTCTTTTATGGCGGAGCCGTAGTCGTAGGAGGCTTGTGTGAGTGAGTGAGTGAGTGGATGCGTGAGTGAGTGGATGCGTGAGTGAGTGGATGGCGGGAGGAACGGGAGGAATGGGGAGGGGAGAGGGGGAAGGATGGATCGTCAGTGTTAGTGTCGGCGCCGGTGAGAGTCCGTTATGAGGAGGAGGAAGAGGAAGGTGGATCGGGAGTGCGGGATGGGGTGGGATGGGACGGGATGGGATAGGGTGGGAAGCGAGGCTGAACTGGGGAGAAAGAAGGTAACGGCGACGTACTGTAGACACCAGGGAACGGGATCGCGCCCCACGAAGTACCACTAACGAAACCCAAACCCAAACAGACACTCATCAGTACACATATCTAACCAAAACCCCAATTCAAAGAACAGAGAAACAAGGTGGCTATGTGGCTACTCTTTTGACACGCGCACGCTCAATTTTGAAACCCTCCCTATACAACAAAAAAACCAGTACAGCGACTTCTCCGTGTTTGTCCTGCCAAATAGCTCGGCATCGTTCTCATTACGCGTTAGGCGTTTCCATTCTGGCCTTCTAGTCGTCGTTATACCCTCTCAGCCACGATGCCTGAATATATGCGCGCGCATGCATCTCCTCTGCCCCCTCTCCTCTCCCCAGCCACCCCTCTCCCCTCATCCCAAAATCAGCAAACAAACAAAGAACGAAACAACCCACCCATAAACCATATAATAACTAATCATCTTCGCATTAGCCGCCCACAATCCCTTATAAAACACGCTCTCGAACTCGGGCCCCGTCAGCTGGCGGCAGTTGTCGTAGCCCGGCGCGGAGGGACCCCAGGCGTCGAAGGCGCCTGCTTGGAACTGTTGGTGTTGGGTTGGGGAGGAGGAGGGGTGAGTGTTGGGTCGTTTGGCGGCGGCGGCGGCGGGGAAGGGGAGGACGTGTGATTGATTGGAAGTGGGTGGTGGGTGATTAGGTGATGATGCGTGGTGGGGGAGTAGAAGAGTCGGTAGTCAAGAGTAGTCGAGGGCAGATGTTCGCCGTTCGACGTTCGACGTTCGATGTCGCAGGTGGATAGCAAATGTTCGAAGACGCCGGAGTGCGAGATCGGGTACGGGATTCATCAGCGTCGAGCCGTCAGTATGTTGAAGGTTCACCAAGCAACGAACGTCCGGCGATGGCGAGAAAAGAGGCGCGTATATCCAGGTCAGGTAGACGCCACCGCCACCCGCCATCCACCAAATCCCCAAATCATCATCATAAAAATCCAAACAAACGACTGATCAGCGAACGTCTCCTCTCCGCTCCCTCCTCATCCCCATCCCGATCAAATTTGCGAAAGAAGAGAAACCCACCTCAGGCAAATAAAACGGCTGATCCGGGTTCGTATCCATATGATAGTCGTGATAATTCTCCGTGACCGGGTTCCAGATATCGGGATGGGAACAGTCGAAGCGTTGTGGGTAGGCGTCGAGGCTGGGGATAAAATTGGGGTGTTAGTGGTGGACGGAGAGCAGGGGGATTAGCAGATAAGACGAGAGGATAGGACAGGAGATGGCATGGCATGGCATGGAAGGGCGAGGGGTAGAGCAGTGGGTGTGCGGGTAGATGTGTGCATAGGTTGGGAGGAAGGACGGGGCGGGAAGAGAGGAGGTGGAGGATGGAGAATGGACGAGGCATGGGTAAGCGAGTGGATGTGAGTGGAGTATACCGTTTGTAGATAGTTGTGGCGGGAGAGTGGATGCATGGAGTGAGAGCTGGAGAGGAAGGGAGGGGACGCGACGCGAAGGGAGGAATGGTGGGGGGGGGGGGATAGAGAGGGGTTGTGGTGGATGTCGTGTATGCATAGATTGGGAGTTGGGAGTTGGATAGAAAGGGGCGGGGGCGCGAAGGGAGGCAGGGAGGCAGGGAGGTGGGGAGGTGGGGAGCCGGTGTGGCGGGACGCACGGAAGGGACGGGAAGGGACAGGAGAGGAAGGTGCGAGGTTGTGGTATAGTATACTATGCGGAGGGATGTGTGCGAATGAACGAAAACCACGAAGCGGCCATATACAGGAAAGGAGATCAAAACGTAACACGAGCTTACCCATAAATATCCACCGATCCCTACCCAACCCAACACCAGAGCACAAAGAGCAATATCAGTGACCTTTCATGAATCGGCGTGATGGTACGTGCACCCACCGTCCCATTAACGAAATTCTTCCCCTGGTTCGGGTCGTTATACGTCAGGGGTACTGTCCAATGTACACCGAGGTATCAGTACGAGCACGCTCTCGAAACATCAATACATCACGAGTGGAGTGGACATGGGATGGACGTACCGACGATGCCGGATTCCTTGATGAGGTCCTCGACCGCCTGGAAGTACTCCCTATTCCCGTACCCGTCTTCGTCGTACTCATTGTCTATTCCATGCATGTGGCGTGGTGGTCAGCTACGCCACACATCCCCTCATCCACTCAACACCTAGCACTCACCAATCTGAACAGCTACAACGGACCAATCAACCCATTTCATCAGCTCCCATCCCCTCCCTCCCAAAAAGAACTGGACACACGCACCAATAATCGGTCCCCCCTCCGTAACCTGCCACCCCCTACTCTCCCTCATAACCTCCCCCACATACTCCCTCCAACTCCCCATCCACTCGCTCCCATTCCCTCTCAACCTTCCCTCCTCCCCACCACCCACCTCGCTCGTCGCCCAATGCGCGATCCCGCCCGCGCTAGTCTCCGCATTGATATATGGACCCGGACGGAGGACGACCCAGAGGCCGGCGTCGAGGCAGGCTTGGTAGAAGGGTGCGAGGGCGCGGAAGGATTCGAAGTCGATTGGCGACGTGGGGGAAGGTTGGAGGAGGCCCCAGTGGGTGTAGAGCGAGACGGAGTTGAGACCTGCTGATGTGAATTTTTGGAGGATGTCGGGCCAGAGGGAGGGGACGGGGAGGCGGAAGGTGTGGAATTCGCCGGAGCTGGGTGGGTTGGAAACGAAGTCAGGCTAGGCTTATGAGGGTTTTGGTTTTGTGGATACTCACTGCAAGAATATTCTCTGTCCTCTCACGAACAAACTATACCCATCCCACCCGACCTCGTCCGTCAGATTATTCGTCTTGAACGACACCTTCACCTCCTCCTGCACCTTCACCTCCCCCTCCACGTGCCCCTGCAGTGAATCCCAATACTCAATCGCGCCTTGTGTCTCCATCGTGCCAGTGCTCGAAATGTCCTGGTTGTTTTGGTGCCCGTATCGAAGAGGGAATAATACGACCCATAAGAGCGCCAACAAACCAGAAAGGACGAAGAGGAGGACATGATGTTTTCTCCCCCACAAGGTCTCAGCTCTCGATTGAGTCGTTATCGCCTCTCCATAATCGCTCGATAACTTCTCGTCGCGTTCATGAGCAAAGGGTAAGCCAAAGCCCTTCGAGTTGACCGTGTCAGGCCCAGTATGGGGATAGGGGCTTCCGCCAGACGGAGGCAGATTCATCCTCCCACTACCGGTCGTTGAGAGTTAATGCGCACAGGCCTGAGAGCGATATTGATGCGCTACAAGTTTATCGACTGGGGAGAGGTGCAGGTCAACGACCACGAATGGGTCGCGGGTATTGCAGTTGGGGTGAGCGAGTTGACGTTTGGTTGTACGTACAAATCCTGATTATGACTGGAACATAAAACGAGCGGCGGTCCGGATGGCACCTCGCTCATTTCTTAGATCCTTCCACCTCCCCTTGCTTGTCTTACCCAGAGAAAGATAAACCTACAATGAGTGATTGCGATAGAGGATATCGAGAAACAGGTGTGTTCAGGAACAGCGCCGGCACTTATAATATTCCAATCAGCGTATATACGTATCGACATGCGTGGATAAGTACAGTAATTCGTGTTAGAGAAATGAGGATACTGTGTAGCTACGATGTGAGGACACCAACGTACTGGAGGGATGATGGGACAGGACGAGTAGGTGGGGGAAGCGGAGGGATGGGCGTTGAACACAACGGGAGAGGGTGAACGAAGATGCAGAAATCGTGCTCGGGCTCGCTCCTGGAAGTAAATAGCCCGTGACAGAACATATGAACGAACCCTTACTGCAGATCCTCATCCTCATCCTCATCCCATACATATCGACGTCAACGAATTCCTTGCCAATGCCATCTGCCTCAAGTACAACACTGAGCGCTGAGCACACATACGAGCACACATCCAATCCAGAACCAACGCACGAATCTGAACAATTCAAAATCCGTCATCGTCAGTAAACCCGTCCAACGCCTCGCACGGAATGATGGGAAGGAAGAGGAAAAGTCTCAGAAAAAGTGTTCGTCACTCCCCGGGTCTCACGCCAGGGTCGTACTCATTATAAATCAGAATTTTCGGAATCATCGACAAGTAAGGCTTCGGGATTGAAGCGGTAGAAAAAGCAAGGCATAGAAGAGGGGAGGAGATGCTCACCGGTCGGGAAGAACTCTTTCAAATGCGGAGAGGAAGGACGAAGCTCCTCGGGTGTTCATGAACGTGAACGAAAGGAACGATGTGGACGAGAGTACATGAGTATCAACGTCGCATGGCTAGAATACTCAGCGCCGACGAGGACGAGGGACAGAAAAGAAACAGGGAGAGGACGACGAAGAGGACAGAGGAGAGGACAAGCGACAGAACTTTTTTTTTCCTTTTGTCGGTTGGCTCGCTCTCCACGTGGCTGCCACGCTGCGGACCTTTTCTGTGGCACCGTTCACTGCATGCGTTGTGGCCCAACTCCCATCGCACCGATTGTCCTTCGCACAGACATCATACGAAGCGGTTATTCAATTGCACATGAATCATGTCACGTCGTACAAATCATACTCCTAGCTCATAAAACACATACATGTATCCACGTAAACTTATTCCATACCCCCATGCACCTTACTATTCCCAGCTCAAGCTTGGCACAAGCCCATCCGAACTCGAACTTGAGCTTGATCAAAGGGCCATACCGTGACTGTACCAGCTTACGCAGCAGTCTTCTTCGCCAACTCGGCGCCGGTCTCGATTTTGCCCAAGGGCAAGAGGACAGACTTGGACCTCTCGAGGAAGCGGGCTTCGTCTGGGCGGATGATCTGTCACACCACGAAAAAAGTCAGCATCCTCTCCTCTTAACAAAAATAATATAGTACGTAGCATGGAGCATGGAGCATGAATGGATACAGACAAAGGGAGATGGGAAGTTAAAATCACGTAGGAGCCTGAAAAACACACCTTCGCGAACTCCTCGTTCGTGAACACAGCCTTCAGATCTTCCATCGACTCCGCCTCGAACTCGGCGATGCCGTCACATTCGGAGACGGCGGCGAGGGCGGAGAGGGCGGGGACGATGGAGGTGTCTTTGTGGTGCTGTTTTTGTTGTTGTTGATGGTGAGTAGTGGTTAGACAAAGGGAAGATAGGATAGGGGCTTACCTGCGTGTATTTGACCTTGCCGTCTTTGAATCCAGGAGCGTTCGCTACGAGGATACCGTGGTTCGACCTATGCACAATATCATAATATCACGATGAGAATTCATACGATACCAATCAACCCCAGAATAATAAGATCAAAGTACAAGAAAAGAGACACTCACCACATACGGTCAAACTCCTCCCACGAAATCGTAGGCAGACGGTAGACAAAGCCGATGAAGCGGACGCCCATGTTGTTTGTTGGAAGATATAGAAGAGTAAGAGTAGAAAGTTGTTGTGAGGTGTGAGTGAGGAGAGAAGAAGAGTGTTTGTTGGGCTTTGAGTTCAATGTCCGAGCAGGGATATATACCTCGAGCACAGAGCTATGTACACAGTCACTAATAAATGTTCATATACAATATCCAACCTAACCGCAAACTTGAACGGTGACTAACGCTAATGAATCCTACTTACTCCCCATGGGTCGAGTCGAACAAACGACGACTGTAATCCGAGCGACCCGAGCGCCACAAATGCGTGGGCTTACTTACACTTCAAGTTGCCAGCAACGCATCCTCCCAAAGCAGACTTCATGTTGCTTGGCAGAGACAGAGGCAGAGTCAGAGCGTCATCCGGGACTTTCTCAGATGCTTAGGACCTGCACTGCTTTCATAGCACGCCGCCCATCGTATCTCGTGAGCTCGTTTCTTACCTCATGCTATCATATGTATGCGAGACCGGGCGGTCTAGCGGTGCCCATCTTAGACTAGAATGCAGAAAGTCAACGCACCTGTTTCTGAATCCCGTTTCGTTCCCAGCGTGGAGATTGTCGCGCCTTCAAGGATCATGATCATCTGTAATTGCATAAGTCAGGCAAGTAAGTAGGAGGCAGTGGCGCGGAGTTCGCACCTCATTCTGATTATCCCAGCCAAATGGTTTTATTTCGTGAGCGGAATTTTCGGGACACTATTAGTCGGTCGGCGCCGTGGTTGCTGCGTAGTGCGAGGAGACAGGACGCTCGACCTTACGCCCAAGTACATAGCGTCGACTTGTTTTTGCTCCATCTAGAATGATTGGCAACGGTGGATGCTTAGGTCCGTCGTAACATCTTCAATGCTCTGCAGTGCCAGTTGATGTATGTAGTCGCCCTGGGACGGATATTCGGGTGCGTGATGTGTGGATCATGATGCGTGATGAGTGATTGAGGATACGCACTGCTAACTCGGAGGATTCACGATCAGGATTCACCCGTCAACGGAGTACTGCAGCCGTAGGGGCCGTGTTTGTCCTTGGAGGTATTTTATGGTGTTGATGATTAGGATGTTCGGGACTGAGCTGGGCGTAGTCAGTAGAATAAACGGATGAAACGCAGTTTGAATCTGTTTCCTCAACAACCTCCTATCCACGCAGGCGCTACGTCGTATTCAATGTGGCACCCCCGGTGGCCCAGTCCCTCTTTGCGCACCTCGCACGGCTCCTTCACTTTGCACAACCCAGGGCGCTGATTCGAGAGTTCAAACATGGCTTCAAATTCGTACAATCTCTCTTATACATGACAAATTTCGAAGTGCGAGTACGCAGAACCAATCCAGCTCTATGCCGCGGGCGCCAGAGGCATAACTATCGATTTTGTCCTGTCGAGGAAACGGCCTTCGTCTGGGTAGATGGTCTGAAGAAGGGTCGATAACAGCTCGTGTCAGCGCCTTCTCATGTTCAAATGCGGTATCCTTGCGAAACTTGGGGACAGAAAAGAGGTGTGGCATGGCGCGAGGTGAAGAACGGAGAATGAACATGTCGAGGAAGAATCTCAGGACAACAAAAATATAGTGGCCAAATCGAATTGCAAGTAGACGAAAGGAAGAATCGACAGGAAATTGCAATGACGCAGAACCGAGCAACGATGTAACGCACCTTGGCGAACTCCTCCGTCGAGAACACAGCCATGACATCCTCCATGGTCTCAGCCTCGAACTCCGCCATACCGTCACAGTCTGAAATCATGGCGAGGGGCTGGAGAGACGGGATCAGGGCGGGGTTTTTGTGGTACTGCCGGTTTCGAGTTCGGTTTCGTTAAATGAGTAAAGGCGTACGCAGTGACGGGATTTGAGCGATAGGGGAGGGGTCGACAGAAATATGAAAAGCAAGTGGGAATTTTAGGCTGCTGATCCCGCAGGATGAGAATGGACAAGGGCCTCGTACCTGTACATATTTGACCTTCCCGTCTTTAATCCCCGGGAGTTTCGAAAGCATGACGCCATGGTTCGTCCTGCACCATTCGACAGCGTCACGTCACTACAAGTCCACCACATAGCGGTAACACTGTCTACGCACCACATCTGGTCAAACTCCTCCCAGGAAATAGTTGGCAGGCGATACAAGAAACCAATGAAACGGACGGGCATGGTTGGAGTTTGGATACTGGACTTGGGATAGCGAGTCTTGCTGGGCTGATCGGAAAGTACAAGTGGGGAATGAAGTGCTATTGACGTGACGTCGGCAAGCCTTGAGAGAAAGAACGAAGTGTTATATACCTACCCGTAATTATCAAGAAATACGCGTAGATATCTACGCAGCGTTCCGAGGACAACGGATCGCTCGTGTGGGTCAACCTGAAGACGCGTACTCCACACAAAGAGCAAGCGCTACGTTGACCAGCGAGAAAGAGTAGGAAGGAGAAACAATACGTGAAGGCTGTGGGATGATGTCGCTGTGGCACGGTTTGGAAAGTGCCCAGCGGACGTTGATGCGCGAAGACAGGAGTGCGTGCGGCATGCGCACGCTCCGACTCATGATCAAGAAGCTGCTCCAGAAGCGCAAGAGGGTGTCTTCAATCCCTACAACAGCGTCTGTTCTATCCATGGAGGTAGTGGTGAAGATGGCCAGGCGAACTCTGCCTGCTGCAACACGCCAGCGTCACGCTGTGGACTAACGACACTGATGCCCTCAACGTCAACTCTCCGATGTCACTTGGTGCGCGTCAGTATCATGAAAAGTGAGAAAAATGTGCCCTGGGTATGACTTTTGAAAGCTAAGGTGAGCAATGCGTGACCGTCCAGGAAGCCTTCTCAGTCTGAGGAGATGAGGAAATGGAAAGAGTAAAGCGCCACAGAAACCCAACATCGTGGTCTTCTCGCCACTTCATGGGACTTGCCGAATTCCGAACCTCCGGCTCATCCGAAAGTCGTGCTTTGACCGTTTCCACCGAGTCCCGACTCCAACTTGCCCGAAACGGCGAACAATAAAGGACAACCTATCTGATCAGATTACTCCTGAGCCCTCATTCCTTTTCGTTCCGTCAGAACATTTACCCTTTCTTATCTGTGGAGCTAAATCCGTCTACATTGACTAGAGTAGTAGGTTCATTTGGCAATCGTGACTAGTAGTAGCCCAATTGGACTAACCACCGACGTTTAGAGTCAACAACATATTCCTTGGAAGCTTCTTCATCGTGTTCAATGATGGTATGTACGCTCATTTCGACCTCAATGTAGCGGGAATTGCTCATCGATTTTTGCCTGGCTGTCTAGTCTTCGAAAAAGAACAAAATCAGCTCGAAGCCCAATATCTTGGCACACGATCACAATAAACGTACGGTAAGCCTCTCATACCAGAACATCATTTTGTTTACACAAGCGGAATGCGCTGAGACCAGGCTCACAGGCTCCTACGATCTTCGCGAGTGCTGTGGCGCTTTTCGAGGCACTTCATGAGACACTCGACGACACTACAAGTGTGTACCCAGAGCCTTTCTTATTCCATGGAGGATATCAACGTCCGTTCACGGAGCAAGAAACGCCTAAGTCTGTCTCGCGCGAATTGGCCGACAAAGTGACTGAAATCACTGGTTATCACTACGCGTATGTCTCATTGATTCTCGCTCGCTCATTTTCCTGCTCATGTGCTGCGCTCACAATAGGGTCAAAGACAGCCTGCAGACCACCGGTGCGCGAAAAGGAGTGACGTACAAAACGCGTTTCCGGTGCAGCATAGAGGACGACCAACGCCATGTGATACGTAAATCGCCCTATATGCGTCGCAAGAAGCCTAGTCATGTCTGCCATACCAGTCTCGTCATATCCTCAATGACACAAGAGCAGACGGATGAATACTTGGTGACGATTCGGCTATCTACGCCACATCGACGTTCGGAATCAGACAGAGACCGTTCCGTTTACTCGAGTCACCCACTGATCGATACGTCGGACGTTGAGGAGAGCATCGGGGTTGTGGATGAAGGTGCATCAACGTCCGGGGAGAACAGTTCGGCCCAGTTGGAGGTGTTTGACGATGAGGGTTCTTCGACTCCTGCTCCGGATGGGTCTATGGTCGAACTGAAAGTGTCCGAGTCTGGCGAGAGCGATGCCGAGATTCCTGCTTTGTTGTACCCGGAGGATTATGCCGTGTCTTGATGTTGATGCATACGTTCGTCTTCACTTTCCTTCTCTTCCTTGCGTCAGCCCAGTATCTCAATCTGTCCCTACGCATTTGGCCCGCTGATGCTTTCGTCCATTCCTCTGCCATGATGTCCAAAATTTGCATGCATTATCCATTACCTGCCACGACACGGACCTCTCAACGAGTGCTCATTCATGTGGCGCACCATTCATTTATACCGTTCTTGAGAATAATTAGGCCACTATCGTCGCAACGATATCATTTGCCGTAAAATCAACCTACGTCTGGAGTTACCATGCAGCATGCGTGTCGTAATTTACAGTCAAGAGGGCAGAGATCCGACTTGAAAGCTCGTCGTAACACCAGATGCGTCGATGACTATGCAGCATGATAATACTCGTCCAAATTTCGTTGTAAATACGTGCTCACATTGCAGCTAAGTATCAAGGGCAAGTTCGCGGTCCAGCGCGTGGTATTAAAAGAAGGCCAGTACACAACGAAATTCAAAATAATAGCGTACTGAAGCAGCGGCTTAAAGTACGAGGGCGGTAATATACAAGAGCGATACACGGCTGAAAAGGCAAAGAAAACGACGACACGATCCATGTGCTGCAGGGAATAAAATAATGTATGAAGTGAAAAGTAACGTACAAGTCGCATCGAGCGTTCCACTTCTCCACACCGATCCAAATCCAGAAGATTGCAACAAACCAAAGACCTACGAACTCAATCACCCGTCCCCATGTCCTTCTTGAACTTCTTGTTACTGGTCGGTGTCGCAAACGAGCACGCACGCTTACGATTATACGCCAGCTCCAACGCCCCTGCGGTTTTCGGCATCCTCTCAAGACGATCTTTGGGTGCTTCTTCATCACCCCAACCACCCATTGCCAAGCACTCCTTGAATGTTTCGATGACGGTGTCAGACGTGGAGAGATAAGTCTCCGCGAGTTTCTGGTCCTCATGGTACCTATCCCAACTCCGTTGTCCTAACATCCTTTCCCTAGGCCTGGCTGAATCGCGAATCGGCTCAGGGCGTCTCGTGTAGATGTTGACGAAGATATTGCGGAGATGACCGACCAGGCAAGCAAGGGGTTCTGGGAAGGACGCAGCCACAACACCCGACAACCTATCACCAAGGAAGAATCTATGTTTCCCTGCTCCACCGGAATGGACGTCGTCAACGGTCACAAAGTTATCGAAGACATCCTGCATCTGGTCGATGAGGGCCTCGTCGCTCAGTGAGCTGTTATGGTACCGGAAGGCCACATAGACCAAAACATGCAGAGCTGATTCGAGGTCGTCCGCACGCTCGTGGTCCTTACTGGGATTCAATAGCAGAAGGTCAGAAAGAAATTGCCAGGTCCCCTGATTGAATAGAATGAGCCTCCGGATGTAATATTGAGAAGGAGTGAAGGTATAGCGTACGTACCGACCTCGCCAATTGGCGGCGGCGGCGCGGTGTAAGCGCAGAAAACTGGCACCACTCATTGTCGGAGTGTTGGGAGGAGTCTGTCACGCCTGTCGCCGTACGATCACCTGCAGACAAACACGAAAATGAACATAGCTTCGGATAGTGACTAGCAGCAACTTTATCGTCCTCCCCTGCTACTGTGTTTCCGAGTTCCGTGACCTGTCTGGCAAGATCGCAGTTGAGAGATACTGTAATCCACGGTGCCAGTGGACGTCACCGCCGTTCATGAAGGATAAAAATTGTGATAAAGGAACCATGTTCCGAGCCGTTTATGAAAGCCAGATAACGCAGTTATCTCGTATATAAGGGTATATCAAGACGTTTTTGACCTCAAGAAATAGATAGCACCAGGTTGTGGGCAGGCGTTGATGAGTTCTGACGAGCGCCGGGGGAGGGTCAAAGGCATGCCAGTTGAGCCACGTGGATACCACGCGAGTCGAAATTGTGTGGCGTCGATCATAACTGCTCGGACGCCACCAATGCAACTGCTCACCAGCATTCGTGCATCGAACTTGATGCTGACGATGCTCAAATACTCAGCACTCAGCGCTCAGTCAGTACCGCACCACTGTGACTCCTCTGCATCATCGGTGCGTCGTCGTATCTGATCGCGACCCCCAAATCCTTCGTAGTGAACATTCCTAACATGTTTTTTCTCTCGGGAAGTTTTCTGTCGCTTACTGATATTCCGATGTAGGGTGAAGGAGGTCTCATGGACTGGGTCTAATTCTCCTAAGCTACCCTTTCGATGCAGTGGAGAATACACACACTCTCAAGGAGCTTACATACCGAAGCTAAAGAAGAATCACCTCATGCCAGAGCAACCTCACTTTCTCGTGTGCAGTGGAGCGGAGCGACGGGGCACGGTTAACTAACAGCACGATTTTTGTTAGGCACGGTACCACTGTAAACGACACCTGTCGAAATAAGGACTATTATACTACTTCAAAGACTGTGGACAATACACGCGCGGGGAACGAGATGATTACCGAGGCTACAACACGCCGTCCATCTCCAATAAGTGATACTTCTCCTAGTCTCGACGATATTGCTGTCGAAGATTGTGTAACTCTTCACCTAGAAGACGGTAAGTCAATCCCTTTTTATTTTTGGTCCAGCTACACAATTTATGTACGCTCTATCATAGATGAGTCATGACCGCCGTAGGCTTTATAGTCCATCTATCATCGAGCCTGAGCATGCAGCCTCCACCTGTAACATGATGTTCTCTGGATGCAACCTAGACGTCTCATCATCTCGCTTGAAACTTGTTCCTTTCGTCACCAGCATCCAGCTATTTTCGAGCTTTGTTCTGCGTTGTTTCTCAATGCCTCAAAGTTTGCTCACTCTGTTGTTCGTGTAGGTCTAAGCTTTAGTCTCCCTCCTTGCTCTATATAGCCTTTGTTTGCGTGTTTATGCTCCAATACTCAGTTTCTATTATTCTTATGCTGCTGTTCGTAACTCAGAACCTGATGCTGCCCCAGGCCTAGGCTATACTTGTTCGCTGCACTGTACTAAGCCGCATTCTGACTAAGCCACGTGCTACAGTTCGCCATTGCACTTAAGAGGGAAAGCCCGAGGCTAAGTCGAGAACTTAATCGCACGACCGAAAGTCACGTCATCTCCTTTCTCCTAACCACCACCACTCAGCTCAAACTTGCCTAGAGGTTCGCAGCTGTCCGCCCATCCTTTGTTTTATGCTAGGCTGGTACTGAGTGTACACTGCATATCGGCAATAACGGTCTTTGCATTTTTCAGCCCCCGCTTAGCGTGCCTGAAGTGTGGCACCCAAAGGAAGGCTGATATACTTAAACCCGGAAAAGCAAACAAAAAAGTACGTGGCCTTTAAAACTCCCCTCCCTACAATGCAATCACTTCCTCTCGCTGCCAGCTGTATATACTTATCACGCACCGGCTTCACTCCAATCTCAGATCGAGCAAACATAATATCCGAACTGAAACGATGGCCCGAGTGCGAGATCCTCCCAAAGTTCTCGCGATACCACTTCGGAAGTGCACGAACAGGTCTTGCGCCGCAATTCTTCCTCCTATCGAAGAATACAAGCACAAACGATGCAATGGATGTCGCGAGAGAAATCGCCAATGGGCTGTTGCACGGAATAAGAAGATCAAGGGTGATGATTCGGAGGTAAGATCTGGGTTTTCTCATCCGGCCCGCCGCATTCAGCCTGACACACGCTTTCCACTGATTGATCTACGATTTCCTCCTTTAAACACTGACGCAATGACTGATTGCCATGGTTCATGATTGATACTCTGTAGAGTCCCGTTGTATATCCTACCGCGCAAAATTTATGCGACGATCTTCGCGTCCTATGGACCAGTAATCGTGAGAAGGACGAAATGTTCTTCTTCCAAGGGGAGTTCTACACTTCCCTCAACACCAGTGCGGGCGAAACGCTCCAAGATTCCACGCGTATGACCACCAACGATATCACCTCCGCGACGGGGGTGAAGTACGGTCGGTAAGCACCTCGGCGATCTGTCATCTTCAATTTGCCATACTGTCCGAAGCATTACATACCAGAACGACTCTCATTCTGATTTCTCATCTTTTTGTTTTTTGCTACAGCTCGGGTGTCAAGGACACGAAATGGAAGGATCATACCGGCTTACGGACCTACTTCCGCTGCACGCGCGAGCACCTCGCACGCCAGAAAGCTCGAAAGGCGTCCGCGAATGGGCCTGTGGAGGAACATATGTGTCATACGAGTCTTATGATCAGTTTCGCGGACCAGGAAGAGGCGAATAGATACCTCGTTACGATCAGGTTGTCTTCGATGCATAAACCTGAACGCTCTGTGGGCAATGGAGGCGTAATCGCCGGAGTCCTGGACTCTGACATGGTGTCCCAGCCTGGTCAACCGGAATCGTCGCCAGTAGCAGAATCGAGGGGTGGCGAGGCTGAGACTGAGAGTGTCGATGAAGATGAAGAGGCTGACATGGTCGAGAATATGCTTAAGGACATAGATGAATTTGATGAGTAGGTGGATCAGCTCAGGAGAGAAGATGGGGAGGCCCAATCTGTGCAGTAGATTACTGGTAATGTTGCTTTTTGATGTGCCACAGTTGTAATGACCACTGACCCTCATTCAATTCTTCAGTTTCAGCTCCTTTTGCCCTATATTTTCTTATTCCGCATATGTCATTCAGCGTGCTGGGCTCATCGTTAGTCGTCAAACGTCCCTGCCGCCCAGACCGTGGGACGCGTAGTAACATGATGGAACCCACCGAGCGCTTCAGAATTCTTGACTCCGTTTTCTTTATCTTCGGGAATATGTACCTCATCAGTCATAATATCACTACCTAATTGACTGCTGCTCAAATCCTGTAAGCACTAAATTGTCAGAGGTGAGGAGTTGGTGAGGAGATACTTAACAGCAATAACTACTTAGTAGATTTTTCCCCGGTCGGCCGTTATCAACTTGTCGGTATACTTGATTATTTGGTCGTGATGCTATGTGCTTTATATGCCCCCCCCCTTCTTTTTTGATCCCCTCCCCCTCCCCAAAGACTTGTGATCAATTATTTGCGTGTAGCTGTTCATCGCTCTAAATCGCAGTGTCCATTCATTCGACGTGGGGTAACCGCCTGAGTTGCTGCCGTAGTGTGTTGTGCTTAAATTGCGTTTGGATTGTTACCCGGCAATTCGTGGCCAACTATCCAAGAAATACGACCAATAGTATCAGTGTTCATCAGTCTCGTTTAAATTAGTATAGTATCTAGCACTTTTAGTTCAACATTTTCTCAAGCTCCAACAACCTATCCGCCGTATCCTTCACACTATCCTCAAGTGAAGTGTACCGTATGCCGAGCTGTCGCTCCGCCTTGGAACTGTCGAACGTAAAGTGACCATCGTGCGTCACCTTCGAGACATCGACTTTCGGAAGACGATCGGCAATCTCTGGGTGGGACCGGGCAACAATGTCCACGATGTTCTCGTTCGCCTGTACATTAGAGTATATGATCATTGCTTCGTTTCCAGAGCTGGGCGACAGCATTGGAGAAATAAGTGTGAACCGGAGACTCACGCATAGACCCCCGATGAGCAGATACCTCTGCCCTTTCGCCTCTTCTCGTTCCACCGCTCTAACGTGGGCGAGCGCAACATCGCGAACATCCACGAAGATGGGGACAAACGTAGGAGGGCAACCGTCTTTAAAAGATCCATTGACGACGTTCCATATATTTTTCGCAGACTCGTTGAGCGAATCTAACAAAGTGATCTTCTGGAGCGGAGGACCGAACACGGTGCTGGAGATGGGACGATATGTTTATTTACTGCGAATGATGACGAAAATATGAACATACGGAGGGCAAATCGTCGACCCGGCCCAAGATGGCTTCTCCTTCTCGATGAACTCCCAGAACAGCCGCTCAGCGAGGACCTTGGATGCGGAATAGACGAAGGTGGGCATTGTATGCGTCTTTGCCTGCTCGTACGTTGCTGGGTTCCAGTCGTCGTCTGTAAATGTTCTTCCTACGTCAGGGAAGGTCTCGAGGTTGATCATGGAGGAGAAGGAGGCGGTGAGGACGACACGCTTGATCTTTGGCTCGAGTTTTGTGGCTTCGACGAGGTTTCGGGTCCCCATGATGGCGGGCAGAAGGAAATCCTTCTCGTTGTCCTAAATGACGAGGTACGCGTACGATACGCGATCAGCTCTGTGGTAACGCAGAACAGGACAAACAAAGGTTTCGTTATGGAGAATGAAATAAGAAAAAACAGACCGTCATGTTGGAGTGGAACGGCGAAGCGGTGTGCGCGATTATGTCCACTCCCTTGACCGCTTCGTCGAAGGCGTGCGGGGTAACAATGTCCTCGACAATTGCGTACTCGAACTTAGACTTGTGCTGGGGGAACATGGCGATCCATTCCTTGGCTTTGGATCTAGAGCGGCAAGTCCCGCGGACGCTGTATCCTTCGTTGAAGAAGGCGAGTGCGACAGCGGTACCCACGAAGCTGATGAATAGGCAAGAGAGTCAGTCCTCAATATTGCAGTCGATGCCAATGTTGTCAAAATTAATTTGAGGCAGAGACGTACCCTGTGATTCCAGTGACAAGAACGAGTCCTTTGGACATGCTGATCTAGAGAGGATGGTATGGAATGAGGTGATGTCAACTCGAAGTCGAAGTAGCGGAAAGCAGAAAGTTACGGTGGTTGGAGCGGGGATGAGCCCCATGCTTTATACCCTCCTATTTTCGTCTCGGGTGACTGAACAGCACAGCTATTAAGCGGCCGAATCAGACGAACCACCGCCAAGACCTGCTCTGTGAGCAAGACATCGATAAAGAGAGCCCTCAAGTGGGTCAGTGAGACGTCTTTTGTGGCGTACGCCCGAGTCAGTGCGCCGAGTGAGACGTGTTCCTCGGTCAATGGTTGGGAGCGCGTCTCTTTCAGTGGAGATTTCCTAGAAGTGTTACAGGATGGACCTGTTATGGAACAAGAAAAGGAAATCGCATGTAGCTTCCAGAGGCTTCGGAGGGTTGCCTGAGTGAGAAATCGCGGGGATGATGTGGGTAGTTAGTACTTTATAGCCGCCAAGGTGCGAAACTGTGGTATGCCGCCTGACATCGTAAGTGGTGGCATAAAAACGTCACCGGGGACCGCCACCGGTACCATAGAGGAGGCATTTTTTAAGAGGCGGTGGAAGTCAGCAATCTTGAAGCAATGTCTTTGTGGTTGCTCGGACTCGGGGCGGATGGCGCCACAAACGTTCGACGAACTGTTGCGCCACAATGCGCATGGCATTTGCCGGACGCCAAACCTGCGGGAGAACTGACCTTTTCCACCGTCCTGGCAACTTCGTGTTTTTGACCTTGCACACAGACGTCTAACTTTGGGCTCTATTCTCTGGTTTCCTGGCTGTAAACGAGTCATATAAACTCGAGGGAGACTCTCAGCGCCTGTATTGGCATTATATCAGGTCTTTATTGGACTACCTTCACGCTTTGCTCGATAACTTTTCTTGTCTAGCCCCGAAGCTCTATAGCTGAAGTTCTGCGCCCCTCATGAGTCTCTCTTCGTTTCTTCTTGGGTCCGGAAAGTCCAAAGCTTCTACCTCAATGGCAATAGATAATGAACTTGACACACTGTTTCAGTCTACCGTGAGCATGGCCCAATTTTTTTTCTTCATGTCTACCTTCCATCTAACAAACCTTGCGCTATTAGAAAATTGTCTCACTACTTCATGTACCTCGACATTCATCTACCACTACTTCTGAGAAGAAACGAAAAGCACCCACTACATTGGACGAGGACGCAGAGCTGAAGAACAGTGAGGTGAAGAGGAAGAAGTCAGCGAAGGAGGGCGATGAAGTCAAGAGCTCAAAGAAAGAGGAAACGCTGAAGGAGGAGAAGCCAAAGGAGAAGGGAGTGAAGTCGAAGAAGGAAAAGGGAGAGAGACGGGCTAAGAAGGTGCGGTTGGATGATTCTGAGGACGAGGACAAGGACGAGGACGATGCAGGACTTGAGGATGCGTACGCGAAGGGAAGGGTGGCGAAGCTCGCTGGGAAGGATAAGGAATCACAGGCCAAAAAAGCGAAAGCGAAGGCGGTGAAGGATGTTGAGGACGAGGCCAAGGCCGATGTGAAGACGAAAGGCGAAGATGCTGATGGCTCCTCGGGATCAGAGGTAGAGGAGGACGACGAGGAAGATCCATCGCGACTCGTACATGAATCCCTGTCGGGCCCCAAATCGCGGAAAGACAGGCGCGGCAAACGGACAAAGAAAGAGAAGTATGCTCCACAAGAGGAGACTACAGAGCAGAGGAACGAGAGGACGATTTTTGTGGGCAATGTGGCGATCGAGGTGGCGAAGTCCAAGGTATGTTTCTGTGTCCGAACTTTTTTTCTTCCTTCTTTCCCCTTCCTCTCAATTTCGATTTTAATCGTGACATCTTAGTCTTTACTGGTACTAATTTCGAGTTACATAATGGCGCAATATCATAGTCGGCCCTCAAATCCTTCAAACGCCACATCCTCTCCCACCTCCCCACCTCCATCTCCTCTACTGCCAAAATTGAATCCACACGCATTCGCTCCGTCGCGTTCTCCCTCCCCACATCCAAACTCGATCCTTCCACCTCCGCAGCCACCTCCGACCCATCTAAAACCTCGTCCAGCGACGCGGCATCAAAATTGAACCACGAAAAGGCCCGCGTGGCCTCTTGGCGCGCTTCACATCCAACGAAGGACGACGAAGACAACGACAACGAGAAGAAGTCAAAACTGTCGTCTCAGGAGAAGAAGCGTGTGGCGTTCATCAAGAGGGATATACATGAGGGCGCGGATTCGGTTCACGTTTACGTCGTCTTTGCGCACTCTCGGTCTCACCCAACACCCTCTGCCGATAACCCCGAGGAGAAGACATCCGCTGCCGCTGCCGTCACTGCTCAAACACAGACGATCTCACCATACGAAGTCGCAGCGCTCGCGGTCCAGCACTGTAACGCCACGGTCTTTATGGAGCGTACCATCCGAGTCGACCGCGTCTCCACAACTTCCACCGCCGCCGTCAACTCCGCCTCCTCCACTAATACGGTAACAGCGAAGACGAACGCCACGGACGGAGTTGGAGCGGATCCGAAGAAGACAATATTTGTGGGCAACCTTGATTTCGCGAGTAAGGAGGAGGATCTTAGAGTTTATTTTGAGGGAGTTGTAAGTGGAGAAAGGGGCCCAAGGGGCGACGGGAGTGATGGGGATGAAGAGGACGAGGCGGACGAAGAGGGCGAAGAGGAGAGCGAAGAGGATAGAGAGGAAGATGAGGACAGTGAAGAAGGAGAGGGCAAGAGGGGGAAGAAGGTTGCAAAGGGCAAAAAGGCGAAGACCTGGGTTACGAGTGTGCGGATCGTGAGGGACAGGGATACGCAGCTCGGGAAGGGCTTTGCGTATGTGCAGTTCGCGGTACGCCTTCATCCCTTCTTGTCTCTCACAACTTCTCTCCACCACACCTCGCCACCCATCCGTCCTCTCCTCCATTATTCATCCACGCAATTTTGACTGCCTCTCCCCCCCCGAACGCCAGAAACTGACGCTTGATTGTATTCGACGATGGCCTCCTACTTTTGTGTACTCAGGACCGCGAATGCGTTGACGAGATTCTCGCACTAGGAACGTCCGAAGAAAACAAGCTCAAGTTCGCAAAGAGGAAGCTAAGGGTGCAGAAGTGCAAGACCGTGCCGGGCGTCAAACTCTCATCTACGAACGCTCGTTCACAAGTTCGAGCCGCAGCCGCAGCCTCCGCTCGCACCACCTCCCACCCCCAATCCAACTCATCTAATCCGCGTACCCCGAACTCGAACGCGAAGTCATTCGCCCGCGGATCCAACGCCACCCCCACTGGTACTAGGAGCCCAGCTCAGAAGTCGAGGGTGCCCATCATCGTGCCCAAAGGCGACCCCTCCCTGGGCACAAAATTGGCCCACTTACCCAAGGAAGCGCGTAAAGAGGCGAAATCCCAAGATGCGGACAGGGTTGCGAGGAGGTTGGCGAAGAAGAAGGCGAGGGGTCAGATGGACTCCCAAATGAGGAAGGGCGGAGATGGAGAGGTCAAGGTGAGGAGTCGTGAGAGGGTGAAGAGTGGTGCGAAGGGTAAGGTCGGGGGTAAGGGCAAGGGAGGTGGGAAGACGAGGATGAGGAGCGACAAGAGTATGATGAAGAGGAATGAGAAGAAGTAAGAGGTTCTGGTATGGGTGTGGCAGTCAGTTCTTCTTCAGGGGTGAGGGAAGGTTGGTCGGTTGATGGTATGCTTGTTACCTTCAGGACAGCAGTTTCAGGTGGGTATGGACGGCGCTCGACCGAAATGAGAGGTGGTTCCCCGCAGCTCTACCTCTCGAGTTCAAAAGTTGTGATGACTAGCTTTTGCATATCCTGGTGTTGAGCTCAAGGCAGCGTGAATGATCTGGCTCTTATTTTCTGTTCTGCGTTCGTGTCAAACCTACAAGGGTAATCATGATTCGACCGGAATCTCGTATCACAGAATCAATCTGACGTTGTTTGTGTTATTTTCAGCTAGACTAAGATTTCCGTCTGTTTTATAGGACGACCAAGCTTGTGCGACGCGCACGTTATGGAACGCTTGAGCAAAACCCGGACGCATTGGGCGGACGGTTCCCATCCGTGTGAAAATGCAGGCGATAGGCATTCGCAAGAATGCAAGGCATAATTTTGCCACATATCAGTGATCTCGGGGACCGAACGGACCGTGATATGGTGCTTGACTGGCTTGCATGTTCATCTTCATTTCATTGGTCAGATGATAAGAACTGAGGCTGGAGGACGATGTTGATGATTGCTCACTATCCTAGACTTGGGTACATACCTGGAGGCACTCGAGACGTTGCGTACATAGACCTGACGCAGCACTCTTTCGTTCCGTCCCCAACGGACTTCATCTTGGCCTGCTCGGTGAACTCTTCGGACGCGAGGTAGAAAGAAGATACAAACCATCATAACACCAAAATGCCCAGCTGACCCGTCAAGAGGCACGCGATACGGTCTCGTATCTCCTACTGAATATACGTCTGCTTCTTTCCCCTTGCCCTCCTTATCAAGATCCCACAGCTGAGCGCTGAGATCCAGGTGGAGTCCGTATATTGCATGCTCAATCTAACCGTGACCGTCGCGATAGCCGTACCGCGTAAAATACAAGAGAGCGAACTGTAACGGAACGGTACGCACCGTCTGACGGCTGTTCAGCGCTCACCCCTTCTCCTGTCGCACTCGCACAGGCCACCAGTCCATTGGCAACATGGAGAGTATGCGGGACCTGAACAAGAATGATGGTGTAGAGCAGGTCGAGCAAGACGATGCGAAGACGAAGCTTTCAACGATTGCTTCGCCTTCAACTGTGGACCCTCCGGTGAAGACGATTCATGAGGTGTATAGTCCAGAGCTGGCAAAGGCGATGGCGTCGGCTACGCCTATGAATGCGCTTAGTGGGAGGAGCTTCAAGGTGCGTTCTGTCTTTTCCCGTTTCCATTGTAGGTCTTGTGGCGGAAGTGTGTGTGTGTGTGTGTGTGTGGCCCGAGCGCGCTAATGCTTGGGTGGGTTTCGTAGTTGTACTTCATCATGATGGTTGGGTTCTTGAATGCCGTGTCTTCTGGGTTCGATGGGAGTTTGATGTCAGGTATCAATGCGATGGACCAGTATCTCGACTTCGTGAGTGAATTTATTCAACCTTACCTGTAAGGACGTTCACGCTGACGCCACAGTACCACTCATCAGTTTGGGTACACGACTACAGGAGCATCTACCGTACGTATTCTCCCCTACCCCTCCCCATTTCAATCAATCTCATCCTTCCATAGGGTGTCATCTTCATGATCTAGTGAGTGTGTCACATTTGACGGCTCTCTCATTTCATTGTGGCGCTGAATGTGATTTGGTGAATGATGCTATCCTCAGTGTGGCGGGAAACTGCGTCGGCTCCTTGTTCGCGGGGCCTTTCTGTGACCTCTGGGGTCGACGAGGTGCTATGTTCGTTGGCGGATTTTTCATCTTACTAGGTTCTGCTGTCGTGACTTCGGCACAGACTGCAGAGGCTTTCATTGGTGGACGGGTACGTAGATTCTTTCAGACACCTCTGTTTGGTCGAGCTAGTGCTCTGATACGATGTGAAGTTCGTCCTTGGTTTTGGTATCGCCATTTCTACCACTGCTGCTCCGACATGGGTTACTGAACTAGCTCCTCCGACATGGAGAGGTAAGTGTCTCTCACACCCCTTTGGAATTGCATCGTTGACATGAAACACTCCTTCCAGGACGCCTGGGAGCATTCTACAACTCGTAAGCCCATGGCATGGATATTCTCTTCTCGCCGTTAACCACCCGCTCCCTCCAACGCCACAGCTGCTTTTTCATTGGGAGTATCCCCGCCACCGGCGCCATGGTCGGCACGAACAAGATGAACTCTACCTGGGCATGGCGTCTACCTTTGATTCTCCAGATCGGACCACCTGTACGTCTCCCAGTTGAACATTTCCAACTACCTGATTCGGGAAACCTTACTGATTCTACCTGGGCGTAAAGATCATTGTCATGAGCTGTGTCTGGTTCTGTCCCGAGTCACCTCGATACTTGGTAGCACAGGGAAAGAGGGAGGAGGCTCTCGCGGTTCTGGTGAAGCACCATACTAGTGACGGGAAAATCAATGCTTTGATTGAGGTGAGCCCAAATTTTCGACTGAGCATTGCTTGCTCAGTCATAGCCTGACGTTTTTGCTCTGTAGCTCGAGATGAAAGAGATTGAAGAGAGCGTTACCGTTAAACGTCAGACTCCAGTACGTTACAGGATGCCCTTATCATATTGAGGGTCATACTGACGGTGGTATAAGTGGTGGGACTATAGCGCTTTGTTCAAGACTCGCAATGCCCGTGCGTATCCAATCGTATAAACTTGTCACGTATTCTCGGACATCTTCATTGATGCAATGACGGTTCTGTAGGCTGGCGTATCCTCTGCCTTGCTCTAATGGTGTGTCCTCCCTGCTCTCTCCGACACTCAGGGTTTTGTGTTGAGTTTACTTCTGTTTCTCTGTTTCCTAGTGTATTAACGGTCAACTGGCCGGCAACGGTGTAAGTCTCAATATGGTTCTTTCCTGGGCCTCAAAAGCAACGACAACGCTAACCCCTGTGCTCCAGTTGATCACATACTTCCTTCCCGTTGTCCTCTCGAACGCCGGAGTCACCTCGTCGCAGCGACAACTGGTATTGTTAGTGGAACTTTGGTGGACTATGTTATCTCTTTACTTTGCACTGACTCTGCGACTCTACATAGCAACTTCGCGAACTCGATCCTCTCAGCCTTTGGCGCGTTCCTGGTATGTTTGACCTAGTACATATTGAGGTGGATTCTAGCCTTGATAACGGTGCTTTTCATAGGGCGCCTCAGTGACAGACCGAATTGGTCGTCGTCGACGACTTTATGTCGGTGCTTTCGTCCTCGCCTGTCTACTTGCAACTGTGGCTGCTATGTCTTCCAAATGTGAGTTAATCCCATCGACACTTTCGCATCTCAAGCACCACTCTGACGACAGACGGGTTGCAGACGGCGTAAAGGGCAACACGAATACCGCTGGGGCGAACGCATCCATAGCGTTCATCCTCTTGTTCGGTGTTGCATACAGCTTCACGTACACACCACTTCAGGCACTCTATTGTGCAGAGTATGTTGTTTCACGACACGAAGCCTGGACCTGATACTGACAGCTGATGTGTCTGTGCGATAATGTAGGGTTATGAACAACGATACGCGCGCGAGAGGAATGGGCATCCATATTCTCATTTCCAACATCGCCGGGTAAGAACTCATCCTACCTGACCACCCTCGATATAAACTCATATCATGATCATCGGTAGCTTCATCAATACTTTCGCAAACAGTGTCGGCCTGGGCAAACTCGGATGGAAGTACTACTTCGTGTACGTGCTTCAACTTCTTTATCGCAAAACACACATCACCCGAATCTCACCGTATTATCTGCACGTCACACAGCTTCGTCGCCTGGAATCTCGTCGCATGTGGGCTATGGTACTTCTTCTGCGTCGAAACGGTATGTCCTCGGTGGTTTCCACTCACTCTTCATATCATCCTATTCCTCGGTTCGACAAGTGCTTAACGGATGTTGCTCGTGGTTAGCGTGGTCGAACTCTGGAGGAGCTGGAAGATGTGTTCAACCAGCCGTGGCCTGCATGGAGCAGTAAAAGGACGGTTAAGGTCGAGGTTAAGGAGACGGGTGATGTGGAGGTTATCGAGACGATCTGAAGGACGACGTGGACGACTTGGACGACTTTCCAGTTTGATGTTTGTTATGATGTCAGTATGTCTATGTTTTTCTTTCTTCGATGGCATTCGCAAGCGTCCATACAAAGGCAAGACTCCTGCGACACGAAGTGAGGATACGGCTCGTGAGTTGCATGATAGAAGCATCTATACACGCTGATGCAGCACGCAAAGCATCAGCGTACGGTATCGATTCATGCCCAACGAGGCGTTCGCTTCCTGTCTACTTTGCTCGCGATGCTAGCGATTTCTGTGCCCTATATAAACAGAGCCCATGATCTGCCCTCAGCATTGCCCTCCCATCTTGTTTGAGACTCAGAGCCACCTTGAGTGGTCGTCATGCCCGTACGTTTGATTGGTTTTCTGAACCGGCTGCCCAATGTCTCCTTCGAGGATTTTGACGCTACATGGTGAGATATAACATAACCACTCGCTCAAGCATAACGCTAACCTCAATGCACAAAAGGATTCAATACGGGAGTTTGGTATCAATGTTGCCCGCCGTGAAGGGTGGTAGGATCAGATATAGGCAGGTGCGCCACATACTTCCAAGGAGTATAGCTGCAAGAATGGGTCCATTGAACCATCAGAAATGACGTTGTGCAGCTACACAAGGACCCACATCTCAGCGATCGTCTCGGCAGTACTAGTGGAACCATGGGCCGCACAATCGCGGATTACGACGGTATAGCAGAGTGGGAGGCGGAGACTTTGGAGGAAATCACGGCAGTCTTCGCGACCGATGAGTACAAGAAGGTTCGTAATCTGTTCTTGACTCAGAGCACTTCAACGCATTGATGGATGATGTCGAACACCTTCATCGATTCGCTGCTGCAGGCATGTTTTCCTTTAGAAGCGAAGTTCTTTGATCGCCCGCGAATGACTGTGATGACTGTGAGCAGAGTAGTGGAAGATTTCGCCGCTGTGTAGGTGTACATAGATATCCAAACTATTTACAATAATATGTAGCTATTACAATGTCCAAAGACCACAATGATGACCGTCGACCTGAATTTTCGGCCACATCGCTTCGCAGCTGGGCTGACCGGCCAATGCCGGAAACCTCGCGTGGCGCCGAACCCACGACACCGGCCCGCCGCAGACGGCGGGTCCCTTGCCTTTTCCCCTTACTTCAAGTTACTGTTGTTTTTTGATTGACTCTGTCCGACTGCTACTGTCACTTTTACTTCTCTAAAAACCCATTGTCTACAATGGAATGGATCGTATTATCCCAATTCATCGTCTTGCCTTACTATTCATCGACCGCGACATGCTCGAAAATGCGGTTGATCCGACTCCGGGTAGCAATTGAACCCCCCCCCCCCCCAATGGACAACGACGACGGAGCCTTGCATGTATTTTTTATGCGGAGGCATGTATCTCGCGGCTGTGTACAGATGGGAGAGGGCCCACTCGACTCTCAGCGATGGGGTTTACAAAAAATTTGGGCCAGTTTTGATGTGTCGCGAAGAATCTATTCCCTCCCTTGAACACTAATTCACAGTACTGTACGTCTGACGGCCATACACAGAGTCCTGAGCCATCTATCACGCACTTTCTTGACTTGAGTTGCCGACTCTCAGCTCTCAACATCATCCTGGCTCGACTAGTATTCTGTCAAAACAATACCACAGGGTTGACTCCCCGGTCCGCTCCGCGGATAAACGTCTCCACGACAGCACCTGCCCGTGCAACCATCTGCTTGCTCTGCGGCCTCATTTCGCGAAATCTCGCCCCTTTGTCCGCGAATGTTGATGCAGTCACAGGATTACCGACCGGGTGCGAATTGAAGCTTCTGCAGGCACAAGTGCGGCATTGGGTTGACCGAAGAACGTCACCCATCGCCTCATGACCCGTCTTCCTCCTGATTCTTCGTGATTTAAAGGAGTCCTTCGCGAGAGTTGAAACCCATCGCTTTGCCCACTGCTCTTACTTCCCATATCTTTCGTTGTTCACTCTGGTCAAAGAGACTCGTGGTCATCGTACGATGAAGTCTCTGCTCGTCATTGCTAGCCTTGCGGCCGTGTCATGCATGCCTTCACTTGCAGCTGCCGAAGGGCTCCCACCCGATACGCGCCGAATGGTTCAAGTTCAGGAGCGAGCCCAGGACTCGGCCTCGGTAACTTCTCAGTCGTTCAGTACTAACAACCGTACAAGTGACGTCGGTTGGGACGAGTATAGCTTGTTCTTGAAGGGGCAACGCATCCTCTTATAGTATGTCAACATTATACCAACCCTTCATCGTGCATGTTTCCCACTCAACATGTTCCGTTCTAGCTCCGGAGAGTTCCACACATTCCGTCTGCCTGTGCCGTCCCTGTGGCCCGATATCCTTCAGAAAATAAAAGCTGCGGGACTGAATGCGATATCCCTCTATACGCACTGGGGTCTTGTGCGTTCCATTATCAGGATTTTTACTCCTTTCCTTATCCGCTTACGTTTGCATCGCCTCTTCATTGCGTATCCATAGACAAACCCTGCGCCAGGTGTAGTCGACTTCGACTCTTTCCGTGCTCTCGCTCCTCTCTACGACGCGGCCAAAGCGGCAGGCATATGGGTCGTCCTTCGACCAGGCCCGTATATCAATGCGGAAACCACAGCTGGAGGGATGGCACATTGGGTGACGACGGAAGTGAGCGGCCAGCTAAGGACAGACGCGGCGGACTATGCGGCGAGCTGGAAGGACTATCTGAAAGGTGTGATTGGAGAGAGCGAAGGGTATCAAATCACGGAAGGAGGACCAGTCATTGGTAGATCTTTATCTACGTATATGGATTCACGAGGAAACTGACTTCTTGTGTTCTCTCCCCAGCTGTGCAAGTTGGTTCGTAATGATATCCTCCTGTGTTGAATCAGGTTCTGACTAGTTGTTTCATGACAGATAATGAAGTATGGCAGATGAGTCCCGATACTCCAAACCCGGAGTACTTCGTGGAACTCGAGGACTTCTATCACAACTCCTCCATAGTGGGTGCGTAATTGTGTCGACACTAACATCTTGTGCAAGGAGCTCGCTGACAGATCATCTTATTGAATAGTTCCTCTCACGTACAATGATCCTACCGAGTTGAAGAACTTCGTCAACGGAACAGTGTGTCGTCTTCATTCTATATGTAGCATTGCCTGATGAAAGACTGCGTAGGGCGCTGTTGATATATATGGGTAGGGACACGCCCACGATGCTTTTGTGTAGGCATAACGACTAAATCGTATTTTAGCCTCGACTCATATCCTCAAGGCTTCGATTGCTCCAACCCTGAAACCTGGACAGGCGTCACCACGAATTATCATGATTACCATGAAGGCACGAATCCTAGCCAGCCTCTCTACATCCCGGAAGTAGGACTACTTCCTTGAAATTTCACAATCTCCAGACCGTTGATAGCATTCATCACAGTTCCAAGGTGGTGCATTCGATGCTTGGGGACCAACGGCACCAGGTTACCAAAGTTGCAGAGTATTGACGGGCGGCGACTTTGAGAGCGTGTTCTATAAGACGCTTTGGGCTGCTAACGCGAAGATGATGAGCTTTTATATGGTTTACGGGTGTGTTTATGAGGCTCACAACCGATTTTGTTGATAACTAATTTTGTTCCCCGTTTTCAGCGGTACTTCGTGGGGCGCCATACCCTTCCCTGGTGTTTACAGTACGCGTGCACTTCCTCGTATATTCAGTTCTAAGGCTGATACCACCTTCGCCTTAGCTTCTTATGACTACGGCGCTTCAATTACGGAGAACCGCGAGCTCACCCCCAAATACGACGAACTCAAACTACAAGGCCTCTTCTTGCGCACCTCGCCGGAATTCTACAAAACTGATTGGATCGGGAACAGCAGTTCCACTGCTGTGACTGTCTCTAATTCAGACGCGTTCGTGGTGAAGCTTGTAAACCCAGAGACCACCACCGGGTTCTACATCGCGAGACAAAATGACTCTACGTCCACGTTTGTCCTTTTCCCGAATGATCGGTTTGATTGGCATGCTGATGTGGCAACTCAGGTCCAGCGCCACCACAGAATTCACATTAGCGGTTGATACGTCCGCCGGAGACTTTACCATCCCACAGGCTGTACCCGCCATCACCTTGGGTGGCAGACAGTCCAAAGTGGTAGTCACGGACTATAGCTTCGGATCCTCCTCGTTGCTTTATTCTACTGCCCAGATTTTGTCCGCAGGAAAAATCGGCACAAAGGATGTCCTGTTCCTCTACGGAGACTCCGATCAGGACCACGAGATTTCGATTTTCTTGGACGGCAATACAACAGAGGCTACCCGGGCTATCCCAAACAACTCGTCTTCCTCCGGGTCGATCACCTTCTCATCTCTGAACTCGACCGCCGGTGCCGCCAACGCATCCCTCATAGCGTTCACGAAAGGTCTCGACGGCATCTACACAGTCCACGACTCCGACAACCAGCTCGTTCTATACGCCGACACTCTGACGGCCACCACTTTCTGGGCTCCCACGATTGCATCCCCCAACTCTAGTGATCCTCTGGCCAACTTCTGGCAGATTGGCACCAACGATACAGTACTCGTAGGAGGGCCCTACCTTGTCCGAAATGCGTCGATTTCCGCAGATGGCAGTACGTTGGACCTGAGGGGCGACCTGAACGCGAGCGTGACGCTCAGCGTAATCGCACCAGAGTCCGTAGAGACTGTGACTTGGAATGGGGTGGCGCTCTTGCCAGACAGCGGTGCTTCGTCGGCGCTGACGTTCGTCGGGAGTTTGACGATGTCGAGCCCCAGTGGCAGCTCCAATAGCACGGGTATTGTGGCACCAGTTCTCGAGGGTTGGAAGTACGCAGATAGTTTGCCGGAGGTGACACAAGGAGTCGACTTTGATGATAGCGCGTGGGTGGAGGCGAACCACACGACGACGAACATCCCGTTCCCGATATGGTATGGTGACGGGAGAGTGTTATACGGATGTGATTATGGCTTGTAAGTCTCCTTCTTGCGTGAACTAGCCGCGACCTACTGACTTGTCGTTTATGTGCCATACAGCTGCGAAAATATTGTCATATACAGGGGCCATTTCAATGCGACCGGAGCAGAGAAATCTGCCAACTTGTCGATCAATGGCGGAGAAGGTGAGCGAAACCGAGCCCACTTTTCCTTGTTCTCGTAGTCTCACACTGTCGTACAGCGTTTGCTGCGAGCGTGTTCTTGAACAACCATTTCTTGAATACAACATTCGGAAAGTAAGCTGCCCCTGGCTGTGAGTCTAACGCGTTGGTTGATGATATGTGCTGTTTTCAGTTCAACCAATGACGACAACATTATTCCAGAGACCGATCAGATATATACTTTCCCTGATGGACTAGTCCTCGAAGGCCAGGATAACGTGATCACTATCGTCCTCGTGAGTGTTTGGGTTATGTTCTCTCTCGACGAAAGATGCTGACTTTCTCTTCTCCTTGCGCTGTAGGACAATATGGGCTTGGACGAGACCAATAGTACGCTTTCTGCTTCCATTGTTATATAATGTCTACTCATGTTGTTTTGTGGCCTGCTAGACACTGGCACGACGAACGATTCGAAGTCTCCGCGAGGAATCCGTGGTTTCCAATTGAACTCAGGCAACTTCACATCCTGGAAGGTCCAAGGCAAAGTCGGTGGCTATACGAGGTCTGATATCCACTTCGCCCACACGCCCCCCTTTCGCTAATATTTTTGACACACACGCAGTTTCCCCGATAAACACCGTGGCATTCTCAACGAAGGTGGCCTTTTTGGTGAACGTCAAGGATGGCACCTTCCCTCTTTCGATACCTCCTCCTGGACATCGCTCGATCTTTCCTCCGGGCTTCCTAATGCCACTGCTGGGGTCGGGTTCTTTGTCACAACGTTCGATTTGAGCCTGCATGCGGGCTTCGATATCATGCTGTCATTCAATTTTGCGGACGAAGCAGGGAATGACGGGCAGCCTTACAGGGCGTTGCTGTTCGTAAATGGATGGCAGATGGGGAAAAGAGTTACAAATCTTGGGTAAGTGTCCTACTATGTAATCAGCCTCACGACATACTCTCAGACGAGCCACATCTCAGACCTCAGGCGAAATTCCCGGTCCACGAAGGTATCTTAGACTACAACGGTACTAAGTACGTGTCTACACTCCCTTCAGACCTAGATTCATCAGGTGCAATTTACTGACCTGCGTCATTTATCTTATCTTAGCACCGTTGCTGTTGCATTATGGGCCATGGAGTCCGTCAGCGTCTCCCCTCAGTTGAACGTAACGATCGATGCGATTATCGAGGGTGGCGTAGGCGGAGTTGTGGCCAACAACCCTGCCTGGTCTTCGTCGGGTAGGGCGTAGATGACGACTTGTATATAGGTCTCTATATGGCACCTTTCGTGCTGGAGGTCGAGTGCGCAATCAGCGTCATCTCTTTCACTCTGCCCCTAGGAATCGGAAAACTACAAACAAATCGGCAAGCATACCTAGCCCTAGATTATGGAAATTATAGGATTGTGTCGACTTGGCCGCATGCTGACCATTCAAATATCTATACAACGTGTAAGAAAACAATGACGGCGACGAAAGTCAAAACGCAGCACAAAAGAACGATAATGTATTTCACCCCATGAAAACCACCGCGCCCGTTCCTCACTCTTACCCCTACCATTATCTCTCGAACCGCCTGATACCAGGTCCAAACGTGACGATAAAACATGCCGGTGGCAGGTTTGGGTCAACCCTTACATATAAAGAATCAAAGCTCCATCGAACAGTTGATTTGGACGTGATGAAGAGCCAATTATTAGTTGAAACTGAAGTGAACAGATCTGCCAGGAGGAAGGAGAAAGAGGGAGAGAGCAGACGACAGCTGGCTACAAGCGCGAGAGCCGTGACGCTCTCTCACGAGATGTGACTGTACGCGTCAAGCGTGATCAAGTATCACGTTGTCGAGTACCGCGTTTTCGACCCAATTTGAAGGACGCCGCTTCTTCTTTGTCTCACCGTTCCTGCATCCCCTGACGCCCTCACAGACGATATCGTTCGTAACTGCTCTGAGTATAACGAAAACACACAAAATATATCGACAAAATCCCTTCGTGAAGCACGAGAGATGAGCGCTGACAACCAAGCAAGGGTAGAGGTCGATGAGCCTGCTCGCACACCAGAAGGCCACGAGATATTTATGTTTAGGACCGTTGATCCTGTCGTGCAAGAGCGTACCGAGGCTGGTTTACCTACGAAGGAAGAGCGGAAGGAAAATCTGGACAATATGTTCGTGACGTGCTCAAACGAGCAGTGCGCTAAGGCTGTCAAACGCGTCGAGATCAAGGTCTGCGGAAGGTGCAAATTGGTCTGTTCTACCTTTCTTTCTTTCTTTCTTTTTTTTGGCCTTAAAGGCGAAAAACTTACAGAGTTGCCTCTTTTTGAAGGCCCGTTATTGTTCGCCTGCGTGTCAGAAGGTCGACTGGTACGTTCTTTGCCCATCTCTTGAGCCTATGGATGTGTCTCATTCCCACTTCGTATGCTCACAGGAAGGCAAACCATAAAGAGGAATGCGGCAAGGGTCCCAGGAAGGAGCTCAGCCTCAAACTCGCCGAACGCTCTCTTGCCGTGCCCGACGTCCAACACTTCCTCGCTCATACCGGCATTCTTCTCCTTGAGCTCGTCGAAAAACCCAACAACTGGAAGACCAACGTCGTTAAAGTCGTCTGCACTACACAGGTGGCGGATATGCAGGAACACTTCCGACGAATGATAGCGGGGGAAGGAGACGAGGACGCTCAAGTCTGCTTGGCGTATTCCACTATCGAGAAGGTCGCACTCAACGACGCACCCGAGTTGACCAAGCTCACGGCGAAGAGGAAGGAGGAGACTTTCAAGAAGGACAGAAAGGATATGGACGAGAATTTATCTCGAGAGAATAATCCCATCATCACTTATTATGTGACAAACGAGAAAGGTGACGGGGATGATGGAGTTGTCTCCTTGTCACTCGTGATTCCGATGTACGAGATGATGCGGATGGCCACAAAGCCAAAGCTGCATTATAGGTCGGCGATGCGGGGAGAGTATGAGGTTGACATGACCCCGAATTCTCTGACAGAGTGCGTTCTCTTTTTTGCTCCGCAGCGCTCTTCCGTCGGTCCTACTAACAAATGTCGTATAGAGGTGTGAATAACTTCATTCGCATGGACAAGCAGAACAAGTTACGTCTTAGAGGGGTGCGTCCAGTTATATTTCAATCTTTGACTCTCGAAGTAACCATGCTGAATGGATTGAAACAGTACCGTAATGGCTCTAAGGCAACCTCATCCGAGTCAAAATAAGAGCATGTCGATGTTATATATAAAGCTCCGCTACTATCTTTGTGTATCCTCCACTGTGCTTCGCCTTCAATAGTGCCGGTGAGTTGTCCCTCGTGGTATGGTTATTATCTTTTCAAAGACGGAATCTGATGGTATCGTTGGCAGGCTGTATTTTCCACTATATTTTTTAGCTATCTATATCGACTATTCCATGCATTCCAGGTACAACTCCTCATTCTGTGGTCAATAAAGACAATAAACGCTTAGCGATCCCATGCGCTCGTGTGCTCATGGCTCATGGCCATGAACTTCCTGCACGCTCATCATCGAGCTCGGAAGCGTGGTCGTTGTAGAGCCAAGAAGTCCTGACGAGCACAATTGAAATTGTGGCCCTCTTTATCCCGCGGTGCATACGGAGCCCCGCGGGCTCCGGCCCGTTCTACTATCTGAGCTGTGGTCTCTCCTCAATTACTTCCCCAAGTTGCACACTCATCCGATGTACTCAGGCTTAACTTGTACCAATACCCCCTCACCTTCTCCCGCTGCTCCTAACTGGAAACACGCTCGACCATTCTCAGCGAACCCAACATTGACTCACGATGTCCCAACCAATCAACCCCATCCACCCATCTATGATCGCACGGCTCGACGCCGAATATGTCGCATTCCACAACGCCAATCTCCTCGACGTGAAACCCACGCACCTTCTTCCATGGGACCCAGCTATTCGTAATGGACCTGCGGTGCCCGGAGGGTCACCCTCGCTCGAGGTCGCGAAAATTCAGGATTTCGAGTTGAGTAAGTGTCCGGTTAGGGTGTTTTGGCCGAAGGGAGAGAAACCGGAGGGGGGTTGGAGTGTCTTCATTTTCTTCCACGGAGGTGAGTCCATGTCCTGTTCGTCTGGGTGGCGCCGTACTGGAGAGTCGAGAGCATTGTGGCGTAGAGGTATCGGATGGTGGAAGGGAAGAATGTCGAATGGTTGACGGATGTGGTCTGGAGAGCAAAGTTGTGGGATGCTGACAGCTCGATGTATGATGATCTTAGGTGGATGGACGTTGGGCAACATCAACTCTGAGAACTCGTTTTCTACGCATATGGCTGTTAGTGAGTGTGCAGCGTACTTCTTACCTTGACAGATCTCTGACGATGTGATATACCTGCATCGACGCATGGGCGCAATGTATGATCAGATGCGAACTGTGTCGTAGTATCAGTAGACTATCGTCTCGCACCGGAGAACGCGTATCCTGCTGCAGTAGAAGATGCCGTCGAGTCGCTTGAGTGGGTTCGGAACCAAGGGCCGAGTCTCCTCAAGATCAACCCCTTCAAGATCGCTGTTGGCGGCTCTTCGAGGTGAGCGTCACGTCCTCCCCCGAAGTTACATATATCTCCTCGTGATGCTGAACACGGATCATCAAACGTAGTGGCGGAAACCTCGCCTCAATTCTTGCTCTGAAAGCGGCTACTCTCACGCCTCCCGCGCCTCTCGTCCTCCAACTGCTCATAGTCCCTGTCACGGATAACACCGCATCCACCTCTGACCTTTGGGCATCCAACGCCTTGACCCCATGGCTCTCGCCTGGGCGTATGATGTGGTTCCGAAACAACTACCTCCCGAACGAGGCCGACTGGACGAAATGGGACGCGTCGCCCATTTTCGCGCCTAAGGAGCTGCTGGCGAAAACTCCAAAGGCCTGGATCGCGGTGTGCGAGTGTGATATTTTGAAGGAGGAGGGGGAGAAGTACGGAGAGAAGCTGAAGGAAGCCGGGGTAGATGTCGAGGTGAGAGTGTACGAGGGTGCACCGCATCCGATTATGGCTATGGATGGTATGTGCCTTTCGAGTTGTGACTCCGAAGTCGGAATGTTTCACTAATAGGCTGTATTTGTTATCACGATATCTATGGGATGTTGACCTGTGTAACTCTCAGGGTGAGTGCGGTATACTGGCTGTGACTCCTTCTGAAGATACTGATTCGAATCTCCTATAATTAGGGCGCTCAAGATCGGAGCGAAGATGGTCGCTGAGGCCGGAGTAGCCTTAGCGAAGGCGTTTGCAGCATGAAAACAAGTGAATGTATTGGGTCGCAAGGGAGCATGTACGATCAGAACAACTTGGAATGCAGCGCGATTAAGGGATCTGCCTCGCCACACCGACTGCTTCAAAATGTGCTGAACCCATCTTATACTAGGTGAATGGCCTGCGTAATCACCACTCGTACTTGGGTGCTAGGCGGTGCACCTAGAGGAGACTCACAAAGACGCATTTCATAGAAGTGCGCCTAGTTTGTGAATGAACTTGAAGCGCCCCGGGCGCTCAACCAACAAAGCCCCTTAAGGTGCCACACCAGCTTTCTAACGTGCTTCAATCTAACAGGTGAGAGGAATGAGGGTATCAGAAATCTTTCTCCGGGCAATGAAGTTGTTCAACAATCGACATAACTATACGCTAACAAATGTGAATAAAGATATTATCTTGATATTATCTGTGGTAGCAGTCGAAGTTTGGTCGAAGTCGTTCGCCTTGGGCCGGCACGTCAGACAGATGATCCTCGCTTGCCCGGTTGAAATCCCGTGTACTCTGCCTTTGGGAGACTAGCCGGCACAGCGGTTTCACCGATGCCGGTGATGCCGCCCCTGTCGGAGCTTTTTACCTTCCTCTTTTCGCCGACTTTTCGTTCGTTTTGGCGCCACGACATCTTTGTTACGGAAATGCATGTTCATCCGCGAGGCGACCTCCACCGCCGTCGTTATCAAGCATGTACAGCATTATTTACTGGTCTCTCAGTTGCCTCGATAGACCACCAGAGCGATCTCAACATCGCGCTGTGCATCTCATCTTTTTTCCGTTCATTTGTTCATCACCGCTCTTTGCTGTTACCGGGCGTTCAATCAGCGTCAAACGGCATAAAAAGACTCCCGGTTCCCCAGGACCATCTTATTCTTGACCACCCACCAACTACTTTGCTTTTTTCGAGTCATGCTGAACACTCTGCTGGGGTCCTTCGTGATCTCGTCCGTGTTTTTAGCATCTGTCGTGAGCCATGTGTATGGCGAACAACAACCTCTAGAACTTCCGGCGACTACTGCAGACTGGGATGCTTTGAAGGCTCAAGTGGGTGGAAGGTTGTACCCGGCCGTTCCTTTTTCGAAGCCTTGCTACGAGAACGCAGATTCGGAGGAGTGTCAGGCCGTCCAGAAAGGCTATGGAGATGATGGTAAGCCTTCCTAGCTGATTTGCTGAAGGAGAATTACCCTTCTGATCGCTTCACGGTACGGCTTACTTCATGTCTAGTATTCCGGTCACAACACTTTGGCGCATAGTGAGTCAAGCACTTCTCCTTTTCTCCTGGTGAGGACGGAGGACTGACGCGCCCCTATTCGCGACGACAGCGTCAACACCAACTGGGAGACATGCCAGGCAACTGGTGCGGAGTGCCTTCTGAACTCTACAAATCCTTTAGATGTGTCGCCCACGACACCTCCACACCACTGTCAATTGGGAGCAGTACCGAGCCACTACGTTAGTCAACTTCTAATGCACACCACTTCCATCGTAAACTGACGTTTGGGGGGCAGATTGAGGTTGAAGACCCAAATGATGTTGCCGCTGCGTTCGACTTCTCGAGGAAGACGGGTGTGCATGTCCTCGTCAAGAATACTGGTGTACGTGTGCATTTTTATGCTAAATAGAATGTCCCACTGAAATTTGTTGTTCATAGCATGACTACAAGGGCCGAAGCAGCGCTCCGAACTCACTGGCTCTTTGGGTAAGCAGTTCGGAGCATGTTCGGTCCTCAGTTATTTATTCATGCATTTTTACTTTCTAGACCCACAATTTGAAGACCGTAAGTACTTCAAACCTTGTAGCAATTCGACCGGGCGATAGCCTTTTCATGTACCACGACATCTCATTATGTTTCCACCCGGGGCGTTGATAGATGTCGTATGATCCCAAGTTCGTCCCGGAAGGCTGTCCGGCGACTGAGAGTAAGTCTGGTGCAACGCTCGGTGTATGTCCCCCCCTTTTATTTACCTTCAATTCATGGACGTTCTCGGAACTGATGTGTCTATTCAAGGCCGGAGTTCAATGGGGAGAAGCATACCCCTGGGCTGAGGAGAACAATATCACACTTGTAGGCGGTGAGTTAGCCATCTGTTCACGATCCAAACACCATGGATCAAAGGTTTCAGACTCTGACCACAGCACACCTGTATTACTCCAGGCAGCGACAAGGGTGTGGGCGCTGTTGGTGGCTGGCTCCAAGTACGCTTGCGATCATTTCATTACTCCATCGGCAGAATCTGATGGAGATTTCGTTTTTGTTATTGCACAGGGTGGCGGACATGGTGCCCTCACTAACACACTTGGGTTGGGAGTGGACCGAGCTGTTAGTGCATACGATCTCGCACATTGTCCAACTAGATACTAACATGGATATCGTTCTTAGCTCGAATTCAAAACTGTGACCCCAGACGGCAAATATCGCATCGCCAATGCTTGCCAGAACAAGGACCTTTTCTGGGCTCTCCGTGGAGGTGGGTTTTTCCTCTTTTTCGTGTCGATACCAACACTGACTGGTCTGTTAATCACCCTATAGGTGGTGGAGGAACATTCGGTGTCGTCCTCGAAGCCACAGTCCTCGCCTCGCCACCCGTGACTCTCCAGGTCTTCGTTGTGCTCTGGGAGAATACTTACATCAAGCGCACCCGCAACCTCTGGTCCATCCTCGTTGACAACGCCATCAAATGGGCAGACGAAGGCTGGGGCGGTTTCGTCAACGGTCAATCCGCCATCTACATAAACCCGAAGCTCTCGAAAGAGGAGGCGGCGAAGTCGATGGCTCCATTGACCAATTTCGGACAGAAGTTGGTGGAGAGTGAGCGAAAGGCGGGACGGAACGAGACGCAAGTTCAGGTGCTGGAGTTCCCGAGCTGGGGGACGTTCTTCGACGCGTTTGCGAGTACGGACTCGGCTGTAGGTCATCCGTTTTGAGGATCGTTATGGGACATCGAGCATTGATTGTGCCATTGGTATATATAGGATATCGGCATGAACCTCGCTCTTACATCTCGGCTTATACCACGCTCCAGCTTCTCGTCCTACTGGAATCGTTGGACCCTCAAATCTGCCCTGGGTGCTGCACACGCACTCGCCCCTGGCCTCCGATTCCTCGTCAGCCCTCCTTCTACTTTCCAAAGCGCCCCAGGAACCACGAGTGTCACGGAAGCGTGGCGCGACTCTGTCTACCATATCACCTTGGTGGAAAGTTGGGGATGGAACGCTACGAAAGCGGAAATGAAGGATAAGTATGAGACTGCGAAGAAGGCGATTGGCCATCTGAGGGCCATCACGCCTGATGCTGCGTACTCGGTATGTTTTTTTTCTTCCTTTTGTGATGATTCTCGATAGATCTTTCGATGCTCATGATTCCATTCGATGCAGAACGAAGCAGATGTCTATGAGCCTAACCATGAAGGTTCGTGTCCGGATCACTTATTACTCACCATTGCACCATTTGCTAAACTTACTTCCGCTATACATAGTGAGCTTCTGGGGTAAGAACTACCCCGAGCTTATGAGAGTCAAGGGTAAATAGTGCGTCTACTCGATCCATTCGTCACCTTCTGGAGATTAACGTACTATTATACACCATTCAGTGACCCCGACCATCTCCTTGATTGTTGGCAATGTGGTAAGTAGAACTGTTTGCCTCCTCAGCGAATTGAAAGGCTTAACTTATCGATAGTCGGCTGGAACCCGGAGTCAACACGCTTTTCCTGCTATCTGCGGTGAAGAGAGCCTGGACGCTTACGCCGGAAACGCTTGCTGTGGATTTGCTTAGTTTCATGACCAGAAATGCTGTTCTCAGTGTTTCGACGGACGTTTCTTCCTGGACCTCATGCATATTTATACCGACCGCAGTCTCCTATGCTTTGGAGGATTGGACTGTTCTCAACGATAGTGATTACGTGCACGCTTTATGACTTACTATATTTTGTTCTCTGTTTTTTTTTTGTACGCCACTGCGCCCGCCACCCGCATCGCAATTTTGTCTAGCACAACCTTGGAGCATTAGCAAGAACAAGTGGACTCAAGAACAAGTGGACTCAAGACAGACGTAAGCTATAGTGAAGGGAGTATGACCCGAACAGACCGCGAACCGAATTACGAAGATAGCAAGACAACAGTCCGTATACACAAATACTGTAAGTATTTACGCAAGGTGGGCCTGCCAGTGGACTTGAAGAGCCATGACCGTACGGGTTCAAGGCAGGATAGTGCTGGTGTTACCATCTGGGGATTAGGAATAGAGATCTAGCTCGAGAGTAGAGGGTAGGATGGAGGTGCGTGAGGGTGTGGATGTGGATGGGCGATTCGGGGTTGAGATGTAGGGTGTAGGACAGGACGATCTAGCACAGCAGACGGACGGATACAGATTCACGGATTTCAACGGAAAGACGAAAGAAAAGAGCCAAGAAACGAGACCCAAACCGAGAGGAAAAGACGAAGTATGCTGCACGAAATGAAGGGGGATTGCTCAGAAGTAGGGATCCGAGATGAAGAGTGAGATCGATCGAAGGACAATAGGATAAGTAAAGAGCGAAGGTAATAAGTAGGTGCGAACGTGAGGATCAGTAATCGTACAGACGAGTCCGGGGAACTTCAGGATTTGGAGATTGGTACAATGCACAGTGAAGACCGCGAAACTCATCGGCGCGTAACGAGGAACGACGGTGAGAGTTTGGCGGAGGGTAGGTGATGAATCCGAATTGCGATGATATGCTGAATACTGGCTATGATAGGATGCACGAATAGGAAGGATGAAAGGATAGACGGCGATTTTTCGGCAAACGGAGAATCTCGCTGGTGGGGAACTACCATCCAGTAGCATATTCGTCGTATCGAGGAACTGGATCGGCGGCACCGGTTTGTTCTCGGTTTACACGTACATCCATAGTCAATGGTCCCTACACAAAGTCAATTCCCATGAGCGACTAACCTACGCAAAGAAAAGCCAAAGAAAAAACTTACAGAGATAGCTCCCTTCGCCGTCGGCTTCATCTGATAGACCTCTCCTCTTGACCGTCCGGATCCAGGGGTGATTGGTCCACCACTTGTATGGCTCGTAATCGTATGGTGAACCATGACGAACGAAGGGCCAGTGACTTCTTCCCTGTCTGTTCCCTTGCCACGCACGAAGCGACGCGTGTTGAGCCTGAGAAAGTCAACGGAAGTCAGCATGAAGGCTCTATGTTGTCGGGAACTTGTGGCGGGGAGTATAGTGGGCTACACCCTCCGCGAGGCCACCGGTATCTGCCGGGTGCACGTTGTACTGAAGTGCAACAATCTGCGGGTTCTCGCACAACTCCCCCCGACGGGAAAGTCGAGCTGCCTGATTGACCCTAGATTAGACCCTGTTGGGCGGTGGGGCGGATGAGTCTGTCAAAGGAACTTCCGGTTTCTCAAAATACAGCGAAACGTCCCGTATAACCAACGGGATACCCTGAACAAGAAGACAACATGCAGGGATGTGCGGGTGGGTCTGGACGGGGATGTCGGCATAGAAACTGGCCCAAGAGGATAGGGAGCCGATAGAAGCACATATGGGTGCTACCCACCGACGGAGTGACCCACGAAGTGTCCTGAGTGGACCATGGAAGGATCAAAACCAGGTCGGACCCGAGGCGGAGACCAGTGCCCCACCCCGCAAAGCTTCAGAGACAATATGACGTTTCCAGGCGACAAAGAACCGTGCATGCAAAGGACAGCGATGGAGAGACGACTCACGTTGCTAGACACGAGTTGGCGTACACTGTGGCGTCGCATATCAAGGTCCGCGCAGATAAAGCAAGGGGCGAAGTAAACGTCGTAGCGGGGCGCGTATCCCATCGCGAGGTATTTGAACCGAGCATATGGTATGTCGTTGGGATTGCGGTTTGCAGATCATGAGCAAATGGATGGTTGTGCGTATGTCGTGGGCGGAGTATGACGAGCGGGTGGTGGCGCGTTGATGAGCATGTTGCTGAACCAAGGATACCGGACTAGAAGAGAAAGGACTCACACTTGCACAAGATGAAGTAGAAGGCCATGAAGATGAAGTTCCCCGGCATGATGTTGTACTGCGCAAGAATAATTCATCATCAGTTTAGCTCCCGTACCAAAAATCCTATGGAGTCAATAAGCAGACGGGAAAGGCACCGAGGACGATGATGGCGCGCAGTAGATAGAACGTGCACATAGAGTATTGGGACCGAGGGGCTCACCAGGATGAGCACGGTCAAACTGCATATGCTGTAGGCAACGAGCGAAGGGAAAGCAGTCAATATATTTTGCTATATTTTGACTGTAAACGCAGAAAGCATACCTTGTGAAGAATCCATTATTGACGGAGTAAAGGATCAGACGGTTGATGAGCCCATCCGACCTGTAGGACATACTCTCAGAGGCTGCGGAACAATTAAAGCGGAGAACCGCAGACTCACTTAGCGTAACCAGTCCGCATTTTATGAAGGAAATACGACAGTGCGGCCGCTGTGAAGACGTCCGTGCCAACGCCAAGGGCCAAAGACGTTGTAGCGATGGTCTACAGATGTCACGTTCGAAGTCAATTCTTCTTGTAGTATGTATGCACAAATGTGACTGAGACGTACTTTGAGAGCACTGATCATGATCAGGTTTGTTGTGAACGACTTGTAGGTGTACGCTGTTCACCAATGACCGTGCGACATCCATTTAGAAAAGGAAGCTTTCATCATGGGCAAAACAGACGTACCGGTGGCGAACCCTATGCCGGATAACAAAGAGACGAGCGTATGAGAACACGGATGGATGGGAAACGATGCACAATGTGCCTTCCACGTACCGAGCTGTGAGAGCGCCAATAGCATCTATGAAGAGAAATATCAACATGAATCCTGCATGGCAACGCACATAGAATCTAAACGATGGGAAATAAAGACTTACAATGACACCGGTCACAAACCAATTTCCCTTGCTGACTGACAACCATGGACCCCAAAGATAGAAAGTCAATCAGCATCAGAACGGCTGAGGGAAGAACTTTACCAGCGAGTGGTCGCTCGCGTCTCTCCCGAAACGCCGACTCGAAGAACTCACATTTCCAGACCCGCAGACCGAAGCACCTACGTTAACATGAAAGAGGCGTAAGTGAATGAATTCTAAGTGGACGTAGACCACGAGACATTCTCGAACATAATGAACGGGTCAAGCGGCCGAGGGTGTGGGACTTACAGTTTGACAATAGCACCCACGAGCGCCTAAAAAGCGCCACAGAAACCGTGACCATATCAAGTAAGTCTACGGCCTTCTACGATGGAGAAGAGGAAACGGACGCACCCCAATAATGACTTGGATCTGTTTCGTTACCGTGGAAAGGAAGGTTTTTTCAGTTAAAGATTTCATACCGCACTAATACCGCAATAACCGCGTATGAGTGAAATTTATTGGTACTCACGCTCAGAGACCTATGAATATGCGAATGCGAATTCATCAGTATGCAAACCCATGTGCTCAATACCCCAGAAATAAAGACCACTGAGTTTGGACCATGACAACATCCTTCACGAAACCCGCGTACGCCGATGTCGCGTTACGAGACGTTGGTTCGGAAGGAGCAAAAAAGGTCGGAGAACTCACCATTCTGGCTTGCCGAGGAGAACCAATGGCTTTCCGTAGGACCTACAAGGCGTCAATGCCATACAAAATAGATCAGCCGCGAAGAGAAATTTGTCGAAGGGGCAGGGCGGTAGGGAAACGTACGTGACAGAATAGAAATAGATGCAGTGTCCCACAAGTGCCTGGTGCACGGTTTCCAGCACGCTATGCTAAGGGCGTCAGGTACGTTTGGGTGAATGTCGAACGCAGAGCTCACGTCAAAGTAACAACCTGCGCAAAGGTGTAGCTCACGGTCAGCGACAACTGTTGGTGAGATGATGCATTGTAAAATCGCGCACCAGAAGCTTCAGAGCGAGAGTGTCCTTGGGATATCGCTGAAAGTAGTAGTAGACTTGGATGCACAACATCCCATACGGCCTATGACCCAGAGCAAGACTGCTTCAGATGTGCAAAGCGTGGAATTGGACTGAGACTAGAAACATACAGCATCGAGACACCCCAGCCTACCACCAGGGCTCCGATGGTGGAGTCGATGGTAGTTGTACCCAAAGAAACCGCGGTCGACATGGCTGCTATTTGTTGGACAAAGGACCAGGAAAATTTTCAGACGCTCAGTAGCGTCGTCTCGAGATGACAGGAATGAGGAAAGGAACGTGGCCAACCACCGAGGTCCACAAGATGCTGGACGCTGGCACGATGGTTGAAGTCAGAGCACAGGTCGAAAGGAGGGGAAGGATTTTGAGAAGAACCGAGTTATAATGAGAGAAGCGGGAAGAAGCTGTGACCAGGGAAAGTTTCTCGCAACGAACACAACATACCGAAACAAAATCAAATGAGAATACAGCAGCCGAGATATCGGAATGTTTGCCCCCGCATGACCAGATCTCGTTAAGAACAATCCCAACTCTGTTTTGTCTTGCGAGGCCCCTGAATTGAAATAGCAACCGATACCGCCTTCAGTCATGGAAGGACCGCATGGCGAACGATTGCGGAGCTTTCCCAGCGCTTGGCGTGCAACATACCACTCCGCTTTGCCTCGCAAGTCGGCACCATGCAAGGCGTAAAACGTCAGAAAACGTCAAGAAATCGACCATTCCTGCAGGTAGATCAGCCTCCGATGGAAAATCGGCTATGTTAGTCGAAGGAAAATCCAAGTGGAACGTGGCCGAACAGACTACTCTTAATCCAAGCACAGTGCCCAGAAATCCAAGGAAAGGCTCCTGGAAGACTTGGAAGACTGCGATCATCGACAACGCAGTCGTTCTGGGTCCCGCTTCCCATCGGCATCCATCCATTCCGCCTCCTTCCGAGGACGTTCCTCGTCGACTCGTCCAGGTCTTACGGTACTGATGGTTGCCCCAGTGTTAGCCGGAGCTGAACCAAGGCACCCACACCATCTGAATCTGCGGTCATGTCATCATGGACCTCGGTGACATCCTGACCTGCCTGGATCTGAGACTGATGAAGCAGGTAAATCGACGAAACCGTGTTGACTCCACGAACAACATATGCGGGAGTCAACAACCGGTATCCTATGCCGCTCACCTCCCGCCATGATTGTCGACGTCTTCATCCGCATTTGCCCACTCAAGCTACATACTCAAGACCGAAAAGTTCCCATTACGACCGACCGAAACGGCAATCTCCAAACCCCTCCTCGTACTTCCTTCCTTCCTGCCTTCAAAGCGTCGAAAACCGGCCGCTTCACGAGCTTATTGGCGAAGGCACGGACCGCTAGCCCCAGAAGTCTATGCAGGACTAATGTCTCGTGAGGATATCCCTCTCCAGCCGAAAAAATCTGCCTCCGAATACGTCTTGGACGTATCTTATTTTCCACCGACCTCATTCTCAGCGCTCTCATGATCAGCACAAGACCCTAGCGCTATGTCACGAATGACACGACATCCCCCAGATGCGACGCCATCATGTCCTTTCCTGTACATTCCTCTCGAATTTTTGCCCCTTCGGCTCGTTCAAGTGTTTGTCGGACGTGGTCAGCTGCCACAGCTCGAGGTCGAGGTAAAATCGCTCGTGAATGATCTCGTCGCCATGGCCAGATTTGGTGTGCAACGCTAGCAGTGGTGACCTGGCCTCCTTGAATTTCGTCAGCACTTGCTCCCCTTGATTATCTCGAGCTCTCCTCCTTCCTTCTACGTCCTCTGCTCGTCGGGTTTCCTTACTGGCCAGACAGATGACGATCCTCTGGCCATACTCAATCCCATCTGGGTCCTCGAAACACGCCAACTTCAGCCGACGACCCTCCTCACGAACTTGACCAACCTTGGATTCGGAGGATGTTCGACGAAGGAGAGGCTTCGCGATTTTGCTCCGAGTCCGACTTCGATACCTCAACGCCACCGCCACCGCCACTCACCATCGCTATTGTTATCCTCCCCGAAGAAGTTCTCGCCCTCGTTCTGATTACCACCCTCATCCTCCGTTCTCCTTTCGTCAGCGCGCCCATGCCCATTAGACGCACCGATTGCTTCTGAACCCACTGAGCCATCTGCACTTGCACCTGCACATGTACCCCCGCTGCCCTCGCGCGCCAGCTCTAGAACGGCGTTACCACCACGTCTATCACCCAACTGGAACTGTAACGCCACCATCCACCATCTTCACTCCCATGCACTCGCCCCCGTCTCCTCCATCCCCATCCTAACCCACCATTCCCTTATTCTCAGCCTTCGTCCTCGTCAAATCTTCCACCAGCGCGTGCTCTAAGTCTATCGACAGGCGTCGAACCTTCTCCTTGTCCCTGATGTCGTCGCCGTCGCTGTCCTCCGGAGACGAAGAAGATCAAAGAGAATGGAGAGAAATGAAGGGGTACGAGAAATGAAGCCGTAACACCTGTCTCTGTCCCTTCATTCAAACTCACGGTCTCCAGTTTCATTCTTCGAAGACCGCACATCACCCTCTCCAGTCCCATATAGAGCACTCGCATCAGCCTCAGGATAAACATACGCGCGAAGAGGAACAAACAACGACAACCTCGGGACTGAACTCCATATCCGTTATCCATCTGATGGCTAGACGTCCGAGTTCGAGGGTTCGAGGGTCCTGATGACACGGAAGTTATCGCTCTCCTTGTTTTTGATGGCCATAGGAGATGAGGCGGGCGAAGACGAAGACGAAGGGAAACTTCCGAGCAAGGGAATGGAGACTATATATGGTATCCTAGGAACTGTCTCGGGATAGCTAGTCGTCCGAGTGTTTGCGCATAGAGTATACATCGATAGTTCCAGTGTATACGGGTCTGGATGAGACCGTGCCCCCAAGTGATACCGTCGATCCGCGTTCGATGTTGAGGCGGCGAAAATAGTAAAGGCTGTTTATGGTCTGTTAGGGTTGTGGGCGTCGACATAGGGGTAGATGTAGGTGTTGCACAATCCTGATCAGCGGTACGAGCGGGGACGGTGAGCTGTGAACTGTGAGCGATGGTGGATGCTCGCCCTCCGGATCGGGTTCCACGATGACTGTACTGAGAGCAGAAGTAGCATATTGCCTCGAAGACGACTGAGTCTAATTTCGCTGCCCTCGACAGGGAGTCGACACGACGGTACGGGGGATGTAAGACACGCGTCGCGGTGCTCAGCGCTCAATGCTCGACGCTCAGATCCCAGGAGCAGCAATCTCCATCCCACACGCCGTACAATATCGACTCCAAGTTCCGACTCCCATACTCGAACGCTCTGCACCCGCACCCGCATTTCCGTTTCCTTCTTGCTTCACTTTGATGTCCGCTGCTGTCCCCGGTACAGGTGCCATTGCCGCTGACGCTGATGCTGCCGATACGGAAGGTGATGCTCGTATGAATAGCCCCTCCTCTTCAAGCCACGAAAAGACATCAGCGGTGCTGAGCGGGATATACTCCACATCTGTCGATGGGTACTGTGACATAGATCGGTCAGGATCAGTGGTGTGAGTCTGTGTCTGTGTCTGCGGTTCGGATGGAGGCCTTTGTTGTTCAGTGGGAGTAGGAGTAGCGTGATGATGATCTTGATCTTGTTGAGCGAGGAGTGTCGCGACGTGTTTGGTGTACGCATCGCGGAGAGCTTTCGCGCGAGCCCACTGCCAAGACGATAAAGAAAGAAGAGAGAAGTGTTGGTGTCAGTTCGAAGATATATTTAAGGGCGGATGGGCTAAATGTGTCACGAAGGTTCAAGGAACGGACGAAACGAAACGCGACATAGAGGAACGGAACAGATACTGTGCAGCACCATACAAAGGAAAGGTCCCAAATATGGAACAAAGGCAGCAACGGAACAGAAGGAACAGAAGGAAGCAAAATGGAAGCTGGAAAAAAAGAAAGAAGAAAACATAGCCCCAGAACGCACCTCAACAGCCTTCCGCCTCCCCATAACCCATCCAGCAAACACAGTTGGTGACGAGGCCAGCGTATATGGTACCCGAATAGCACTGTGTTGGCCGCCGTTAGCACCTGCACGCGTCTTCGAGGTCGTCGGGATTGATGAGGACGGTGTTGGAGTTGATGGTCCGCCAACGGGGACGGGGGTACTGCCCATGCCAGCGCCTGAAGAGGGTACGTGGATACCTGAAAGGATGGGTGCAGGTGCGATTGTTCGAAATTTGGGTTTTGGATCTGTGAGAGGATGCGATGGAGTGGAGCGAAGTCAGTCTCTGTCGCGTTTCAGCAGCCCACAATTAAGGAAGGAACATGTGGGTTCACGGAAAAATCGAACTAAATCACGGTGATTATCAGGGAGATGTTTCTGAGTAGAAACGAAACAAAACACAGGGTCTGTATCCGGGACGGACGTGCTCTCCCCATCGGTTTTCTCCACCGCGAGCTGGGGATACTGACACGCCATCGAGCTCTGAGCCACCGATCATGAGAAGCACGTAAAATCGCATCCTAAACCCTCGTCCTCGCAATGTCAGTGCTAATGTGTGCGCTAGTCCCACAAACTCTCCAATTCACAGGATGGTATACTCGCAGATACTCGCCCTTGAGCCTCGTCTCCTCTCTCGACAATCAAATCAAATCGACGGAAACAAATCATTATCTCCTCTCCGCCGGGATCGAAGGCGCAGCAAAGAACCCAATTCCGATTTCGAAAAACAAGTCCCAAATCCAAGCAAACGATCGACCGATCGAGCGACCGAACGCACGTTTTTCGAGAGTCAGGAGTCAGGAAGGGAGGAGTCAGGAGTCTCTCGCCTTGGCAACGTTTCAGCCAGACCAAGCCACGGAAGAAAGCGAGATAAAAGAGACTGGATAAGACGGTATGCGCTGGGCTGGTACGATAGAGAACGAGATGGTCGCAAAATGTCGATATCGCCCGCACTGTCGCATCTGACAAGGGAGGATAGGGATGTGCCACGCCCAATGAGAGACACACTAAGCCAGCGCTAGACTCCTGGCTGGTCGGATCGCAATTACAATCACATGCATAATCCCGTAGACGATCTTGTTCGCCGTAGAGCACTGCAGGTACCAGGCCGTCAAAGTGAAAGGAGACGAGAGGGAAGAAGAAAGCAAAGAAGCAGGAAAGAGAACGGGAAAGGAAAGGAATGGACATGTATGCTCACCTCTCATCGTCATCGGGAATCTGCCCACTAGGCTCCTCAGAAGCGTCACATAGCCTACACCAACATTGACGAAGACAAGAGGAGAGTTCAGTAAATAGCCACCGTCACACTGATACCAACATCGTTCATAGAAAAAAAGTGAACTCACCCGGGATGTTCTCCTCCCGCCTATTCTCCTTCTCTTCTCCACCTTTATGCGTCCTCATACCGCTGACCCCATTGGTACTTCCCCCCTCACCAGCACCATCGACACTACCAGCCCCAGCACTCACGCGCTCCCCGGCCCACAACCTCCTAACAATCGCCCTCTCCTTCTCCCTTTCTCCCTCCTCCCCACTGGTCCCCATCATCGTCATATCCTCCCCACTCTTCCCTGTTTTCTCTACTTCCGCACCGACACCGGCACCCGCCCCCGCAATCCCAACTCCACTTCCAACTCTCAAACTCGAAATAGCTCGCCGATCAACCTCCACATCCACAATCTGTTCGTCGCCCAAGATCGGTGACGGCGATTTCGACAGGTCGAGGTCGACCCAATGCTCAACCTCAAACCACCTCCCCCCTCCTTCACCCTTACCCCCATCCTCACCTGAGCCGTCATCACCTCCTGCTTCCCCTCCTGCTCCTCCACCAGTGCTTTCGCCGTCGCTGTCGTCCCCATCTCCAACCCACCTAAACCTCAACCTCGCCAAGAATCCCTCGCTCGCCGTCCCACAGAAGATAAATGGGCCGGGCGGGCGGAGGGCCGGGATTTGTGTCTTTCCTTGCCTCCTTGGCTGACTTTCTATGTTCATCGCGTCGGTGGATAGGGCGGGATATTCGACGGCCACGGTGGCGGAAGGAGATACGTCTGCGTCGAAGGAGGTTGATGTTGACGTTGAGGTGTGCAGGCTGATTGAGGAAAGGAGCGGTGCGAGCGGGATACTCTGTTATATTCATGATAAATCCGGGACTTAGTAAGTTCAGTGATAGCTGGATTGAAGATCGGACAACTGGGGCGCTAGATTGTGAAACCGAAAATGGAGAAAGAAAGAAAAGAAAATAACATACATAAGAAGGTGAATGCACACTCAACATCCAGCGATGCGTATGCTCCGGGTTTGAACGCGGTCGTTTATCTGTATTTTTCATGATTAGACCGAACGAAGCACGAAGTAGAAGCAATCAACCAAGAAAACGGCAAGCAATCAACAATCAGCCACCAAAATACAAGGAGAGAATAAAAGGGCAAAAGTAAACAGAGAAGGACTTACGCAAAGGCAACCAGACGCTCCGATCCGCAATGGACACCCTCGCCAACACATGGAACCTGCTCGTCCCTCCCATTCCTAGTCCTAGTCCCATTCCTCTCAGTTCGGGTGGTTCCGCATGTGTCGGGACGTCGCTTTCTCTATCAACCTCTCCGTCACCGTCGCTGTCTCCGATAACATTCGCAGGACCCTCCAACGGTACCTCCAACCCCACCCTCATCCGACTCCTCTGTCCAAAAACCATCCTCCATTTCCCTGCTCTACCATCCCCTTCTCCCTTCTCTATCCCCTCTCTTTCCCCTGGTTCTTGCTTATTCCTTCCACCCCCCGGATTCGCGCTTCTTCCTCCAAATCCCAAAACATCAACTTCCAACCCCTCTGTTGTATGATCAACATTTATACATCTCCGTTTCGCAGTCCTCCCTAAGAACGGAGCGAGCGCGGGCGTGTCGATGTGATGGCCTAGGGTTCGGGAGAGGTGGGTTGATGATGATGTAGAGGGGGGCAGAGGGGATGTTGGAGGAGGAGGAGTTGAAGTTGGCGGGGGAGCAGAGGTCGAAGGTGAGATTGCAGGTGAAAAAGAGGGAGGGAGGGGAGGTGTGGGAGAGGACGAAGGAAGGAGAGATGTCGGTGTTGGTGTCGGTGGAGGGATTAGTGAAGGGTACGGAGCAGGGGTAGACACGGATGACGCGGGCGTGGGTGCAGGGGAAGGGGAAGGTAACGACGGAGTAGTGGGCGGACGGCCTGAGCTGTGTGGCGGTGGCGACGAAGTCACAAAGGGAGGCACAGAACCCACAATCCCTTCTTTCTTCACCTCTTCCTTCCCTACCACACCTGCTCCACCCACCCCAGCCCCAGCACCCACACCCACAGCCCTCTCGAAAATCCTCCTCAAATCTGGCACGCCCCCGCCTCCCCAAACCCCCAAATCAACCCCCCACTCCCTCACCCACTCCTTCTCCTTCTCGTCCGTAACAGGCACGGCACAGGCGCGCACGAGCGCATCGTGTGATCCGAAATCGATTTTGTGTGAGAGACGGGCGTGGTTGAGTAGGCCTTGGAGGGAGGGGAAGTCGGTGCGGAGACAGGTCGGGCAAGGGAGTTTGAGGAGGGCGGGGGTTGGTTGGTTTGAGGATGTGGAAGGAGAGGGGGAAGGGAAGAAAGAGGGAGCGTGAAAGAAAAGGAGTTTGGGTGTCCGTGGGGGAGGGAGGTACGCCGTTCGGTTACGATGACGGGTATTTCTCTTGTGCGTCGGTCCTGGACCAGGTGCCACCGCCACCTCAGGTACAGCTAATGGCTCAGAGCTCTCTGTATTTGAAGACGCAGGTGTTGGGGCTGATGTTGTTGTGACTGGAGGGGGAGGGGGAGCAAGGAGAGGGAACGGACGTGAAAATGACGGTGGTAGTGGTGGTGGTGCATGGTCGAGCAGAGAAAGAGTCGGTGCCTCGACGACGTTGAGAGCTTCGAGCGCGGCGTGCTCGAATGGCGACGTTGTATTCTCCAACGTCGATATTGAACTAATCTCGTGCTTGTCGACATCGAACGTAATGGCCTGTTGTACCGCCTTAGCCCACGTTATTCGCTCCTGGATAGTCTCCTGTAAACGTCGTCGGATCCCAATTTCGAAGTCGAGTTCGTTCAGGACGAGTTGGCGCGCTTTCGTGTGCGTGGAGGGTTCTGTGTAGCATAGAAGTCAATGTATAATATTTTTGTTTTATGTTTTATTTTGGATAAATGGAGAGTAGGGCATATTTGTAGCGGTTTAGACTGATTTCAGACGGTATACAACGAACGTCTGAACGGTCATGAACTATGGCCGAGCTCCAGTGCCAATTGAATATAAAATAAAGGGTATGACCTGCGCTCATTCCTCTCTACATCCATTCTGGGTGCTCACCTCAACGCAAGGAGTTCGAGGCAAGGCTCCAATGCACAACGAATGAAAACGTCTCTCAATGTGAGTCTCTATTTTCTCGTTCTTGATTATATATTAAAGCAATATAGACCGCTACAAATAGGCCCTGCTAAAGAGACGTACCATCGTGCGTGAGCTTTATTCTCTTGAGTGGTCGTGGAGAGGAGGAGGACATCGTTTCGGAATATCAAATTCGGATTCTGGGCGATGATGAGAAAGGTGGCGCCGCGCTGGGCCACAACGTCGGACTCTGCTCTCCTCCCTCATCATGGCTTCACATGCACTGAAAGCTCCAAAAAGTTATGCTAGATGAACACACCTGTCTCATACTGGTGACAACTCGTGGGTATGCTACTGCTTAGCTCTAAATCACCTACTGTTGCTGCCGACACATCAACCTCGATATTTAGTACTGCAGTGTCGACTGGTCACCGAGGAACGACGTCGACCCCCATGGATCAGCTAAACCCTTGGATCCAAGTTCATCTTAATGGACCAAGATTATAACGTCGTCTGCCTCTGGATCACTGACGATTCAGAGGCCACGTCATCCAGAGACACACCTGCACTTGGCACGTATCTTTCTTTCGTCTTCTCGTCTTTGATCAGTGGTCCAACGACTCTCGAAACTTGATTGGTCAAACGCAATACCTCCGTCCTTGCTTTGTTCTCCGAAATGACTGCAGTGGCTTGTCTGCCGGACTAGTACTCAGATCGGTAGCTTGTGAACATAATACGTAGCAACGAACTGGGCGACTCGACCCTCGATGACTGTGCTCAAATTTTCAGGAGCACCAGCCATATGTTGCAACTCAGAGGACCACTGTAGTTGTCCTCCATCACAAGTGGTGCTCTCGGGCCACGGTCGATCAGTCCGATGCATTAATGCCCTTTCATGTGCTCCAATGACTGGACCATTCGCATTTGGGATGCAGTGATAGCAATCTACTACTGAGCCTCCCTGAGGGCATCGGGATAGGGTTGTGTCGGTTGCCTTTTCGCCAGATGGAAATCACATTGTCTCAACCTCAGACGATATCACAGCTGATTGCAGAACGACTCGGAATCTGCACAAATTGGGAGGCAATTATGTCTGACTTTTCCAAAGTGGCGTCTCGTTTGCGGCTTGCTGACTCGTATCATCTCTCAGTGTCTTTGAAGTGGCGAAAAGCCGCCTTGTTTTCACACAGAGAGCCTTCGACCTCTTGATAGTGAGACATGTTGTGCAGACTTCCGGTCAGATGCAGACTGTCCTTGCGCCCCATGTCTTAGGCATCTTCTAACGATACCATCTTGCCATCCGCGGGTGAGATACATACCAGCATACAGGACGAGTTCAACCCGTACACCGAATACGACTCTCTGCAGGCCAAACGAGAGCCAGTCTCTCTCGGCTCTCCGGGCTCTTCCGCGGCCCATGATCCCTCCGATCCTGCCGAACATGCTGCAGCATGCTGCATCACTCACGGACTCGACACTCAACATTGCCTGTTCAACCAAATGCGGCTCGCTGCAGTATATGGTCATAGTTACGAGCGTAAAGACTACTCACCATGCCGGTAGTACTCCGAACTCGTGTTCATTCTCCGAGGTTCAACCAGTCCCGCAACATGTAACGATGCCAATGGCTGATCTCTCACATCTCCCGAGTACCCTCTTTGATCCGTTCTCGGGAAAGCTATGGCTGCAGGCGACCTGTCTCTCCTATGCCAGTAGTGAACTTGTATGATCCTGACAGTTGAATGTGCAGAGGACGATGATCGGAGTCTACGATAGTTTCGGGCGGACTTGACCGTACATGGTGTTCTCATTCAGATATTTCCGAAAGATGAAGAAGCATGCAACCGTCTGTAGCTTGAGCAAAATTTCGTTTGGTTTTCCCTTGTCAGCGTTGCTCGTGTCCAAGTCTCGTTTTCAGTTACGTCTATATGGAACCCCTTCAAGCTCGCTGAGGGCCCAGAGGCCCACATTTTTTTGGCACCTCAACTTACTCCTCAAACTGTTGCGATGAGTTTCCTCCAGTTTTTCCGCCCTTGCATCCTGACCCCAGATCACGCGATTCCTTTATCCGATCAGCAGTCCTCACAGGCCGTCTGCTCTGCTGAGTCGCCGGCTGGCCCTTCTTTGACGCCGTCTCCTCGTTCAAACATTGCTCCTTCTCCGTCGATTCAGGACCGCTGAACTCTCCGACATTCTACCTGCCACGTACCACGAGACAATGCTTCCTCGTCTTCAACATGGACATAAGCCCCGTGCGCGTACTCTTCGTTTCGTCCTCGGGCCTGTCTCCAGGGGCATCCATTTACTCTTTTGTAGAGGAGAAAGCTAGGGGGTTTCTGCGCGGCAGTACACCCTTTGAGTCCCTGCCACCAGGAACAATTTCAGTTTCTCCTTGCATAAATAGTCGAGCGTCTCTCGAACACCTTCACAGCCACTTGCTCGCAAGTTATCTTCAGGCTCTTATCGCGTCATGGTCTTCTCACAAGGACTTCGTGCTATATGTACTCTGGGGGTGTTGCTCGGCGGCCTTTCCGGTCGTGCATTAGCAGCCACCAGTTGGATCGTCCCTGGTGCGGTATGGACGGATACGAGCGGGACGAAGATCGATGCGCATGGAGGGCAGGTTTTCCAGACCGGGACTAACTTTTACTGGGTAAGCTTTTCTTTGCTCTCTCTGACGCTCTTTTCTCATTACATTCCTTGGGTTGCGTGGGTTGATACATACTTAGGTCGGGGCTGCGTACGGAGATAACACATACCCGAACATCTATTCATCGACGGACTTGTTGAACTGGGAGCACGAGGGCTATGCGACTACCACTGTCCCCTGGATGTATCGGTACGTATTCCCTTCCCTTTTCTCACTTCTTCCCTTCCTTTATGCATTTTTGTAATAAATTATGTCCCGAATCTTACTTTTCCTCTTCTCCCACCCACCGAAACAGCCCTAAAATGTTCCAGTCGGGCGGAAACTACTACGTTAGTATTTAAATCCTCGATTCTTCATCCCGGCTCAAACGATATGACACTTCACAACTCACCCGCCGTGGCACCGACACACAGATATGGGGCCAAGTCAACAGAGACGTCCAGGCCCTCAAGTCCTCCACTCCCAGCGGGGGTTTCTCCGTCTACGGCTCTCCTTTCACTCTTCCACCGGACGCGAGAACTTACAGTGATGAAGGAGTGTTTGTCGACGATGACGGTGAGGCTATGCAATCTCCACCGAGACCGAGTCGAAAAGTCACTGACATGACCTGCATGCACCGCTGGAACCGTTATACTGATAGGCGACGCGTATTTCCTCACGAGTGCCGACTCTAACAATATTCAGGTCAACCAGATTGTATGTTTCGGCTCCTTGCTATACTGCTCATGGGCACCATTAAGCGTGATTTTATTTTGCATAGAACGGTGGCTCGAGCATCTCGATTGGAGATCGAGTCGCTGACCTTGGTAAGCTCGGCATGAACGCCGAATAAGCACTTTCGGTATACTGACTTTGAGCTTGCAGAGGGAAATTACGAGGCGCCTGGAATGCTCAAATCTGACGGTCAGTACGTTCATTATACAGCCTTCCGTAGCTCTGATCTCGCCTTCATTGTTACCATGATCTTATAGGCGTCTACTACCTTATCGTCTCCTCCAAGACAGGATATCGTCCAAAGTAAGTCCCCTCTCAAATCTCTTTCTCCTAAACACTCCAATTCTCGTATCACACATCCTAATACGATCTCCCACGCCAGCCCAAACAAATCCTTCTGGTCTACCTCCCTCACCGGTTCCTGGTCCGGCCCGAGCGATATCGCCCCCGAATCCACAAACACCTACAATTCACAAAACACCAACGAGCTCAAGATCACAGGAAGCAGCGTCACCACTTGGATTTACATGGGCGACGACTGGGACGCTGATGGCACGGCTGCTGCGAACTATGTTTGGTTACCGATCTCGATCGATAGTGGGTCGCATACGCTGACTCTGCAGGATTACGCGTATTGGAGGGTCGATGTGAATACTGGTGAGTCGCCACTGCTATTCAGTTTGATGGCAATGTGTGATTTGACTTGATACTGACGAGTTGATTACTGTGTTGAATTCTAGGTGTCGTCACGACGTCTACTACTGGTAAACGGTACGAGGCACACGATGGCCTCGTTATGCGCCGTGGTTGTAAGTCACTCTGCTTTCGATTCGTGACCTTCACCACGGACTTCGTTCTGAAAACGTTCTCCGTCTCATCTCTCCAGTCGAAGACTCTCCCGCAATGTATGCAGAGCACAAGCGGTCCCAGGCAGTCCACAACAGTAAGTTCGATACCTCAACAGCGATTCTTTACATCAGAATCTACTCAAGTCTCCTGCCACTGACAAGTATTTTCCCTCCCAGTTGACCACGAGAGCAACGTGACTTTCACTGGAATAGAGGGCACGGGCGAGCCTCAATGGGTCTCCATCCATTACACGGTCAACAACGCTACTGGTGCGTTTTTCAGTCGTGCTGTGACTTTAGCTTTCATTTCTAAGCATCTGACTTGTTGACCTCGTTATTCTTCTTATTCTCTCATTCCGATTGCTGCATCTCGCTCGTATGCTGGCATGGGATGCGATGTCTTTGTTTACAGCCGGAGAAGCTCACGTCCACGTAAACGGCGAGAAGATAAAGATCTCTGACAAGAACTCGAGGGCGGGAAAATTTGCTACTGTTCCCGTCAACCTCAAGCTCAGGAAGGGAGCCGACAATGTCCTCACTTTCGGATGCGACAAGAGGAGCGAGAACGACCGTAAGCTACCATCTTTGCCTTTCCTGCTCTTCATTCTCGCTGGTCACTTTTTCGCAATGAAATTCCCTGATATATGTCCTTCGTTACCCTCCAACGACCCCGAAACGGTCGAATTGGTCGTCTTTCTTATTCTTTGTCCCGCTTTGATCCTGCTCGGCTTGGACGTGGCTGACATAATCATTAGATTTCGAGGCGCGTTTGGAGGGCATCGAGGTGATTGACGACTGATGACGGATGGTTCGATGAATGGATGGAAAACAAAAGAAGAGGAGGCCAATGTTTGGAGTGTGTGGCGTGGGTGTGGCCCGATTGCTAACTTATTTAAACTGTCGTCTTGGCGGAATGTTGTAGGTTCTTTCTGGCAGGACTTCTCATCGGTTTGTGTTCATGTCAGTTACTATGTGTAGTCAATAAACCCTGTGATTCGAGAAGCAAACACTCGTTTACTACTTCAGACACGACTCTGGAAATACCCTGGTGCCTTCCGTGGCAGTCACGATGGTTGAGAAAAACTCTGGAGGTTGCAGGGACCGCGGAACAGGTAACCGAGCGGTAGAGTGCCCGATGTAGCTGGCTGTCATGTCTTCGAGCTCCATGCTCAAGTGCGATGAATGCTAGCACTCTCACGTTTAACAAGGATTCACAGGTTTGGGGCTAAATACTCAGTAAGCGTACACCACGACAAGCATGTTTTTATTGGAAATCTTTTCGTCAGGTAGTTCGTTGAAGCATGAATTGAGTTGTGGATAGTTCTAGTCGCAAATCGAAACAAACGGCGTTGGCCTCAATTTCATCAAAAAATAAATGGAGAAGAATCGTATCAGGGTGCGACAGCCTCGAAGCCCTGAAACAGGCTACACGACAGCCAATACAAGGAAGTTGACGACGAGTCCCTACCATATAAGTTAACAAGAGCACAGTCGTAGAACCACAAAACGTTTTGTCAAGCATCCTCCCGACTCGTTTCATCCTACGTGTGAAGTCCTCAACATTTCATTGGCTTCGTCGCGGGATGTCAAATCCGGGCCGCCATAGACTGATTCCACTTGTTACTGGAGTCGTCTTCGTCTTCTCGTTTGCGCTTCAAAGCCTGTGACTCGCATTCTTGCAATGCTTGGCTATGAGTCGTCGTTTCGGTCTTCTGCGTGCGGGGAAGGCGATCTATGGAAGGCTGGATATCCTTGCCTTTGGGCCAATCCTCTCGACCAAGGGCGTAATCGAATGCCAATATGATGCTGCTGGAGCTTTGATTCAGGGCGTCAAGGGTATCTGTGATAACGATTCCCTTCACGTCAAATATAACGGATGGTCAGAGCCTATATCTGTGACCTGGTCCGCATGAGCCTTGATAGCGTCTTCACGTGCCTTCTTCTGATGCTCGGGGAAATAGGGCGGCAGGGATTGTGGTGAGGGTAAGTAGAGAATGTGGAAATTCTGGCGGAGGTCATTGATCAAGTCGGCTAGTGGCGCAGGGAAGGATTCGGTCACGGGCCGTCTCCAGATGTTCCAAATCTCCGCGGAAGAAAGCCATCTTTCCCATTCCACCTTTGGGTATGTCAGAGTCGACTTGTTGATCGTAAATAGTAGCCATGATGCGTGCGAGATCGTGGGCGAGGACGCTGCTTTTTTGAAAGCGGAACGCGAGGTATACGAGGACGTGTACAAATGCTTCAAGGTAATCGGCGCGGTCTTGCTCCTCAGTAGGTTCCTGAAGTAGGCGGGCAGACATGAACTGCTAAGTTCCCTGGTGAAATCCTTCTCAGGACCTAGAAATAATAAGTGACATAAAAAGGCATACTGTTCTCCATACTTGCCGCAATTGACAATGTGTGGATCCTGGACTGGGGACTTCGTCCTCGGCGGAACTAACGGGACTCACGGTGGTTCCCATGTTCAACGATTCCGAGCGAGATAGAAGTCGTGGGGAAGGCGTCGAGGGGCTCGAGAGCGTGTCGCCGAACGTAGATGTAGCTGGAGGAGGATACTGGAAGCCCTGAGTTCGAGAAACACGTCGAAGGACAAGAGCCCAATTCAGTCACTGAGCCCGCGTACGTGTCCTCAGCACCCCTTTCTAGCATAGGCCTCATCATTCGATTCTGAATCGTTGACTTCCTCCTCGCCAGAGATCTCTTCGTGAAGACTGCGTGAGAGAATAAGAGTGAGAGACATACCAGCTCATACCAGAGATGTGTGACCCTTTGTGTGACCATTTATATGCCCAGAGCAAAGGGATCTCCGTGGTTGGTGTTTGCGCGGTCTTCGTGGAGTTCGAGGATGAAAATTCGGCATTTTCCGGTGCTCAAGGTAATTATTATAATACAAATAATGACGAACACAACGACGTCCACTACCCTCAAGCAACGTCCGAGTTTAACAATGTTCACGCCGAACATCCAATCGACCCCTGTCGACAGAAGAGTTCTCGACATCTTCACGACTTCACTGCACGATCCCGGTTGACCATAGATTGAATCCTTTTGAAGGAGGAGGAGTCGCCGTCCCGTTTGCGTTTCGGGACGTGAAACTTGAGCTGCCGCCCTGTATCGATCTGGGTCATCATTCCGGTATTGCGCGTACGGGGGAGGTGGTCCATGGCAGTGTTGACGTTGTCGCCTCTGGGCCAGTCCGCTCTCTTAAGAGAGTGAGTAAAAACTTCCACGAGCTCGTTGGAGCTGTCGTTGAGCGCCTTCAAAGTATCTGCCACTCGTTTCGTATGAGCCTCTATTTCGGCAAGTCGCTTTTGCTTCTTGGTCGCCGAAAAGTACGTCCTGGGAACGGATGGCTTGGACGAATAGATATAGGAAAAGACGTCGCGGAGGTCGCTGATCAAGTCAGCCAGCGGAGCGGGGAAGGACGCGTCCACCACGTCTTGGTCCAGCGTAGACCCTTGGAAGAAGGCTTTCTTCCCCTCTCCTCCTTTTGGTATGCCGGAATCCACGTATTGATCGTAGACTTCGGCCGTGATACGCGCGAGGTCAACGTCCGGGATGGTGCTCTTCTGATAACGGAAGGCGAGGTAAACAATAGCGTGCACGAAACCCTCGAGATCATCGACACGGTCTTGTGGTCGATCAGGTCCTTGAAGCAGTCGGCCTGACATGAATTGCCAAGTTCCCTGATGAGATTCCTGTCAGAACTGAAACTAACAAATGAAAGAAAGAGACGCACCGTTCTGCGTATCTGCAGCGGTAGAGATCGTATCGAAGGATGAGGTTGAGGCTGATGATTTGGTCGGGATTGTGTCACCAAACACAGAGGTGGTAGCGAGTCACATACAGGGGATGTACCGTCCATTATGTTTTCAGAACAATAGCGCCTTTGCACGACGCGTTCGTTACTTTTTGTTCAATGTGTCAATCTTCGTGGGGTTTGTAATCAATACCCGGCGGCATTTCCCTGTGTCAAAAATGCCTAGTGGGGTTCGGGAATGTGAAATTGAAATTTCCCCGTGTCAGATAACTTCGTGAAGCTCCTTCAGTGGTCTGACCAAGTCCTACGACCAAACCACGATGGACCCAACTTTGCAAGACGGGCCAACTTTGCAGAACTGCTCATACACTATTCGCTATCGATCATAGCTGCCTTCACGACGAGAACGATGGTACCAAGCAGTTTTGGTGAAAACAACGAACATGGGGATACGATGAGACACCAAGCCGTAACATAGAACAAAAGGGTGATGATACAAGACAGTATATGCACGAACTCCATCGCCAACGCCTACGTTCCGGTTTGATTTAAGTAGCCGTCGCTTTAGTTTTGGGATGATACCTTGCAAGGTCCCAATCTACCAGCAGTCCCTTGCCATTTTCGTCCACCGTGATGCTAGTGTCACTAATGTTGCCATGCAAAAGTTCCGCATCCATAGCCTTGTCCTGGGCTGTCAGAACCAACGACGTCAGTCAAAAGGATTGGGTAAGGATGGCAGGGAACGAGTGCTGAAGAAACCATACCTTGAAGTATATCGAGCATAACCATCGTGATACCCTTCATGCCCAAGTCCCTGATATCCGCGCTTATCTCGTTCACGACAAGTCGAATGTGCTGGTAGCGCAAAAGATCTCGTGCCCCGAAGCACCATTCTTGATCCATGTAGTTATGCGTCATGGTATTTTGATCAGGTACGTCCCCGTAGCATACGAGCGTAGGGATAAAGGGCACGCCATGGGCGTGAAGGCGTCGGTAGGTCTCGCCCTCTCGCATGAAACCGCACTCGTCAATACACCAGCTGTCCTTGAGGTATACGAGACGCCCCTCGGTAACCCCGTACGCGATGAACCATTCTGTGTCTCGTCCGAAAGGCGTTCGTTGAGAGCGATAAGGCTCTCCAACAACATACAGACGTTTTCCGTTATGTGCGTGAACCTCTAACTGCCGGAAGCTGTCGGCGACGGTGACCGGTATGTTGGGATACCTCGAATGTAGCGCAGCCCAAGCGTTCTGTTTCTCGTTGTCCGACGGGGAAGAGACCGTGGGATCGTGTCCACGTTGGATTTCTGTGAGGTTATCGTACAACCAGAGGAATTTAGGGAGGTAATGAGAGTGGGCAGCGTCACGGAAGTCAAAACGATCTGTGACGACTATACCGCCTCGGTCCCATCGTAGGAAGCGAGCGTGGTGCTTTCCGAGCAGGACAAGGGCAAAACAGTGCGTGCGATATTGGCACTGCTGGACCGCGATGATATGAGCTATGAGTCTATCGCGTACAAAATCTTGCTTGAAGCGGATGAATTGCTGATCTTTGAGTGGACGAGAAGGGTCTGCCTGAGCACAGAAAGGGTCGAAGTGGAAAGGCATAAGCTTGATAACAAAGCTCTGCATATTCCAATCACAATGGGAGGGAAGGTCCCCACAAGTCCTCGCAGAGTATACGGAAATCTGAGCGGTCTTGGTAGACACGGCGCATTGGGTGGATGTATCGACGAACTTGAGGTCCTTGCACAGTCCCGTAGTTGTCATGCGCTCCACCTACAGATGTCGTAGATAAGTATTGATAAGTGGAGAGGGGAGCTAATAGGGGACGCACGAAGTGGCTGGAAGATCTCCCTGCGTCCCTAAGTGTCGCAGCATGGGCACGAAAGGCGTCATCTGAGGGGATAACTTTCTTCTTAGGCAGCATAAAGTCCTTGTAGAATTGTTGAACGGGCATGGGCCCAATTATAGGAATCTCGGCACGAATCATTCCGTAGAAGTGATTCTAAGAGTAAGTCGACGTAGCGAAGGCTGGGAGGAGGAACGACGGAGGTCCACTGAGTGTAGCTAACAATGTAAGGGAGCGTGAAGAGAGTCAGGACCGTGTCAGTATATACCCTCGGCTGTGAAGCAAGCCTACAAAACAAAGCGCGTCGTACCCGGTTCTGGGCCTTCCTTTGTTGACAGTTCGGTGTCCGTGTCCTTATGTTCTCCCACGTGTCACAAGCACGTCACCAAGACAGTGTCTGTTCAGAATGAGAGCGCAGATGGTGCCGATATAACAAATAGAAAAGGGGACTAGGTGCGTGGTGGTCGACGAGGAATTCGCAGATAGACGTTGACGAGAAAGGGCTGAAGGGCAACTGAAGGGTCAAAGCGAAACCAAAGGCCGATCAATATGGTCTCGGGATTCCCCGGCTTACAAACTGTGTGGCGAGGTGGCGTCACCGAGCGTCCACCCAGCCATGGCTCAATATTGGGGGCTGACTGCTATGGACTTCAGAAGCACAGTAGATCATACGATGCATAGACTTATTTATTGCTCTCTGTTACAATATTCTCTGTAGGAGCAAAGTTTCTGGCCCAAATGATGGAATCCCACAAGGAATCAACTTCATACAGTACACAAGATGATCCACAACAAATCCATAATCATATAGAGTACACTCCTCGAATCGAAGGCGGCTTAGAGGTCCACAACTCGTGCAAAGTCATTTATGTCTTGGTATAGGCACTCCGACAGTCTAAGATCCCTAGATAAGCCATAAATGAAATGTCAGCGCCACGAGGATCCCGAACGCCACAAGGCCCTTGGAAGGCACGAGCCGTACGTACGATCTCCCATGTACATAGCGAAGTCTCGAAAGGCATAGACCTCGTCGTAGTAGATCGGAGGACAATCCCTTCATCGGGCGACCTCAGTGGCGACGAGTTGCCCTGCGATTTGTGGGGACAGACCGATAGCTTCCGCTAGAACAGAGAACGATATATGTAAACCACGGGACTTGGGTGCCACGGGTTGCTCCCTAGAGGAAACAATTCGAAGGCCAACTTCGGCGAACTTAGGACTCACCTTCGGTGGGGTCTGCGGGGATGAAAGCTGCGCTGACTGTGTGTGCGAGTACGAGTGAAACAAGAACCGCGAGAGATGGGATAAAGAATTTCATGATGATAGGAAGACAGGTGGGTCGATGTGGGGAAGATAGAAATGCGGCGGAAACTTTGTGGCGTCGGGTTAGATAAAGTGGAAGAGCCTGGCTAGGATCCAAGTGGGGCTTAAATAGAGCGGCAAAGGATGAAAAATCGGATGGTTCCGAGAAACGATGCAATGCTTCTGCAAGGAACCTGCATGGCTTGTGTGTGCGTCCGTCACAGCAAGACTGCGTGGGGATGTGCGTGTAACCCTGTTTCACCCAACAGCTTAGCTCCAGTCGCGCATTGCAGGCGGCCGAGCTTCAGATAAGTGAGGAGGCGAGTATCTTTTTCCATATTTGGAGTCCTGTCGTGTAGAGTCGTACTGCATTGGATGAGAGATATGGATACCGTCCCGGGTACTAGTTAGGTTCGGCCAGAATGGAAGAGAAACGCTGTTTGTCGGACGGTATTGGTACCTGCCAACAGAGATGGAGATGGAATCAGAATCTGATCATCAACGACTCTTGAGCTCGTGCATCCAGGTTGATACGTCTGAAGTAAAGACATTTCGGCGTAGAGTGGAAAACCAGACGTAGGACTGTAGCCATTCACGAGCAGCCACAAGGGCATAAAACGATGTGAGCAATGTCAACAAGCTCCGTGATACGCTGGCAGCACATATATTATACTGGAATGTTCGACAGGCAGTATCGGCGGAGCTGCACGATGTACACAGCTACAAGGTTTAGGTCACACGAGGGATGCTGTCAGGCTTGAGCCGAAGATGTCGCAAGGGCAGGAAAAACGAATTGGCTAGAAGGCAAGATGGTGGTATAGTGCAAATGGCGATCCGAGAAGTACGGCTGCACGCTTTGTCGCCGATGACGCGAGTGAGACTGAAAGCACAAAGCCATGCGTCACATACTGCGAAACGCAGTTTCCTGAGAAAGCCTTGACTCCTATCATATTGAGCATAGCCGCCAGTCTTAACAGAAGAACGGAACCGAGAGCCATATGTTTTCCAGGCGTACCAAATCAGGATTGCGCGATATGTATGTAATATTTCTCTTCCGCTGGTTCTTTTGTTCTGTGTGCTCTTGTCCTGAGCCTTCGCCTCACCATACTGCCTGGGCATGAGAACATATTCTTCATGAGATTCAATCTCACCAAGTTTTAGCATCTTCACAGCGATCATCCTCAATGCGTACTCTGGAAGAGTCAACGTGACATAAACATAAGCGTCACTAGCGCAAAAACAGAGCCGACCTGGACACGCACCTCTTTCGCCTTCCAGCGAGAATAGTCTTCCACATTTCTCCGAGCCTCCTCGTAAACCCTGTTCCAGTCCCTGCACATACTATCATCGCGATATTCCACAACCGTAGCCGGCCTTGGCCTGCCGAACACGGGGTCCAAAGCGGTGGTTGAACGGCAGAGAACCATCTCTCGAAGATAATTGTAGCAGTGCCTGCTAAGCGGCGTATCGATATCCGTGGTGTTCAGTTTCTCGCGATGAGAGATGAGTTGTTTACGAAGGACGTCGAGACAGCGCATTTGGTGGAAGTGGGAGATACTGAACGGACGGTAGTTTGGTCCGAGATAGATAACACCATCGTTGGGAGCTAAGGCTTCCCATTCGACGTCGGATTGAGAGGTATCGAGTTGGTAATGTGTGGTGGGCTCGAGAGGTATAAGGACATCTTTGAGATCACCTACGTCCCAAGACTGAGGGTAGTCAGCACCAACATAACCTAGCACAAAATTCGACGATCAGTGTGTATTCAAGCCTCAATACGGAGCATAACGAACTGTGGACTCGTGACGATATAGTAGCATTAGGTAGAGAAATGGCGACCCATACGATGCAGCCAACTTTCAGCACAATGAGAAAGCCCAGCAATGGAGAGAGACGAGAGGCATCGACGAGCTGTCCGCAAAGCATGTCAACGGTTTGGATGTGCACGAAAGTTGGCCTGCGGTGGTGCACGTCGTGCGTGTTTTGAGGCTGGAAAGGAGTGGGATTTAGTGTTCAAGACACTGTACCCAGTCTGCCTATCTGAGTTTGACCGCTAGAGGCTGGGAATCGTGGGTAGACAGTAAGGCGCCATCACTCCGACCAAACGCGGAGAAATGTCCTGCCAGATGGAGCAGAGAGTCGCACAGCCCACAGATCTTTCGCTACGATCAAATACTCCGTAACAGCCGACCTGAATGGGCGTTACTTTTCCTCAGATGAGGTCCTTATGACTATTTCATGCATCGTTGAATATCGATTGCAATGCCTGCACCCAGCCATGAGACAAGTGAATGCTTATCACTCGGACCATCGACGCGCCGTCTTTGTCCACGGTAAACGGCAACCCTTGTGCACCTTCGTAAGCTGAGCTGTGGTCTTTTCGATAGAATAAGAAGTGGTGGCCGTAAAGCAAAGAGGTGTTGCGAAAGGAAAAGCAAGGAAGGCAGTTGCCGTGAGCGAGAGAAATTTCAAGCGCCGCCTTATCGCACCAGAAATGTGGCGCCACGCTGACGCCGAACCGTCTTTGAACCTTCTTCCATTTCCCATGATCAGACTGCTGTGTCGAGGACATGCTAGGCTATACACGTTTCCGTTCCGGGTGACCTGAGGGGAGCACTCAATAATACAGCAGTGTCTGCTTTTGTCTCGAATCATACTGCGCTCGAGAGACCTAGGTGATATTGACATTTGCTCTACTGGGACTTAATCGTGGCAAAATCCATGTCTACTAGTCGTGCACCCTACGCTGCCCTTGCACAGGATGCTGACGAGGTCGAGCTGAAGGAGCACTTGCTTGAACCCGACCAGCCAACAGAAGGTGGGCCATCGACGTTGTCTGATGAATATCGTGCTAAATAATGCTTCCATAGTTTCTTCAGCAGGCTCGCCCCCACCCCAATCATGGCACATCTCGCCATTCATTCGCTATTCTGTCTACATCATTCTCATCTGCACTCTCTTCGACGCAGTAATTGTCTCCTACATTGCGTTCCAATACGTTCGCCTCCAGAAACAGCCTACGGCATCCTCGTCTTCGGATGAGTTCGAACTCCGAAGCACGTACGTTAACTTCGACAAGCTATACGGACTAGACGGAGGCCAACAATCATTGAAACCTGCCCCTCATGAGCCGATAGTCAATCTTCCTCGGGCATGGGCACAGGTCTCTAGGGCGGAGCCGGATAAGGTGTTTGAGATGTGGCCCGAATCATGGATGAGTGAGCATGGACTTATTCCGAACGACGAAAGAAGACTTTGGGTCACGACCGAGGTCGGTGCCTTCGCTTTTTTTTTTTTTTTTTTTTTTTTTTTTTTTTT